TAATTTGGCAAGATAGTCTTAAAACTTATAGGAAGGCCCTCCGTAATGCCAGAGCAGCGTACTACTCGTCATTAATAGAGGAAAATAGGAACAACCCCAGGTTTCTTTTCAGCACTGTAGCCAGGCTGACAGAGAGTCACAGCTCTATTGAGCCAAGTATTCCCATAGCTCTCAGTAGTTACGACTTCATGAGCTTCTTTAATGATAAAATTCTAGCTATTAGAGACAAAATTCACCAAGACCTGCCCTCAACTGGCACCGACTTATCTCTAACTCAGGAACCTTAGAAACAGCTGTAGAACCAGATACATGTTTAGACTGTTTTGCTTCCCTCAATCTTTACCAACTAACTTCAATAATTTCTTCATCTAAACCATCAACCTGCCTCTTAGACCCCATCCCGACTAGGCTGCTTAAAGATGTTTTACCCTTAGTCAGCACCTCTATACTAGATATGATCAATCTATCTTTATCAACAGGCTATGTACCACAGTACTTTAAAGTAGCTGTAATTAAACCTCTTCTGAAAAAGCCCAAACTTGATCCGGATGTTTTATCAAACTATAGACCTATATCTAACCTTCCATTTCTCTCTAAGGTTCTGGAGAAAGCAGTTGCTAAACAGCTGTGTGACTTTCTACAGAGCAATAGTTTATTTGAGGATTTTCAGTCAGGATTTAGAGCTCATCATAGCACAGAGACAGCACTGGTGAAAATTACTAATGACCTCCTTATTGCATCAGACAAAGGACTTGTCTCTGTACTGGTTTTATTAGATCTTAGTGCTGCATTTGATACCATTGACCATCAGATCCTATTGCAGAGACTGGAATATTTCATTGGCATTAAAGGAACCGCTCTAAGCTGGTTTAAGTCCTATTTATCAGATCGATTTCAGTTTGTACATGTTAACGATGAGTCCTCCATGCACGCCAAAGTTACTCATGGAGTTCCTCAAGGATCTGTCCTTGGACCAATCCTCTTCACTTTATATATGCTTCCTTTAGGCAATATTATCAGGAAACATTCCATAAGCTTTCATTGTTATGCAGATGATACTCAGTTATATCTATCGATCAAGCCAGATGAAACTCATCAGTTAGCTAAACTTCAAATGTGCCTTCAGGATGTTAAAACCTGGATGAGCTGTAATTTTCTTATGTTAAACTCAGATAAAACTGAAGTTATTGTTCTGGGGCCTAAGCACCTCCGTGACGCATTATCTAAAGATATAGTTTCCCTGGATGGCATCGCCTTGGCCTCCAGCACCACTGTGAGGAATCTTGGAGTTATCTTTGATCAGGACATGTCGTTTAAGTCCCACATTAAGCAAATTTCAAGGACCGCCTTTTTTCACCTACGTAATATTGCGAAAATCAGGAACATCCTGTCTAAAAATGATGCAGAAAAACTAGTCCATGCATTTGTTACTTCTAGGCTGGATTACTGCAATTCCTTATTATCAGGCTGCTCGAAAAAGTCCATTAAGACTCTTCAGCTGATCCAGAATGCTGCAGCACGTGTTCTGACAGGAACCAGGAAAAGAGATCACATTTCTCCTGTTTTAGCTTCTTTGCATTGGCTTCCAGTAAAATCCAGAATAGAATTTAAAATCATTCTTCTTACCTACAAAGCTCTTAATGGTCAGGCACCATCTTATCTTAAAGAGCTCATAGTACCTTACTACCCCACCAGAGCACTGCGCTCCCAGAATGCAGGGTTACTTGTGGTTCCTAGAGTCTCCAAAAGTAGACTAGGAGCCAGAGCGTTCAGCTATCAAGCTCCTCTCCTGTGGAACCAGGTTCCAGTTTGGGTTCAGGAGGCAGACACCATCTCCACATTTAAGAGTAGGCTTAAGACTTTCCTCTTTGATAAAGCTTATAGTTAGGGCTGGCTCAGGTAGTCCTGAACCATCCCTTAGTTATGCTGCTATAGGCCTAGACTGCCGGGGGATTTCCCATGATGCACTGAGCTCCTCTCTCCTCTACTTTCTCTCCCTCTGTATGCAACCTTATCCCATTATTGCATGTTACTAACACAACTTCTCCCCTTTCTGGTAGTCTTGTGCTTTCTCGTCCCTCTCCTCTCTCCTCCTATCACTTCCTGCAGGTTTTCTGGCTCTGGAGCTGTGGAGTCTGGATCTGTGGCTGCGGGTCGCCTGCTGCCCCCGTGTTCCTGCTCGACACCCTCTACTGCAGCGACTGTTGTCGCTGTCTTATTGTTATTATAATCATTAACATTACGATGGTTACCATTAACACTATTATAAATATCTGTACCATTTTTCATTTAGTTTATAGCAACATTACCTTCGCTGTCTGTACCTCTGTGTGTATATTGTGTAGGCTGCCTCCCTCCCCTCTCTCTCTCCTTACATCCCTCTCTCTCTCTCTCTTTCTCTCTCTCTCTCTCTTCACTCTCTTCTCTCTCTCTTTCTCTCTCTCTCTCTCACCCCAACCGGTCGAGGCAGATGGCCGCCCACCCTGAGCCATGGTTCTGCTCGAGGTTTCTGCCTCTTAAAAGGAAGTTTTTCCTTGCCTCTGTCGCCTAGTGCTTGCTCTTGGTGGGAACTGTTGGGCTTCTGTAAATATCATCACAGAGTACGGTCTAGACCTGCTCTTTTATGAAAAGCGCTGTGAGATAACTGTTGTTGTGATTTGGCGCTATATAAATAAAATTGAATTGAATTGAATTGAAACCTAAATATCAGTAAAATAAATTATATACCTGACATCAAAATACTGAGTGAAGTTTAGAAAGAATGAGGAACTCAGACATCAGTCAGCATCAGTCCTTCCTCCTGTCCTCCTCCTCCTCCCTGTGCTGCTGCTGGTAGAAAGGAGCGGCTGGTGTGTCTCAGACAGTAGCTGAGTTTATAAGGACTTGCTAAATTTTAAGGTACATGGAAAACTAAGCTGAAAAGACAGCTAACAATTCACTGTTAGCATAGCTAGCATGCCGTGCTTGTGTAAAACCAAAACACAGCTGCGGTGGATGAGAGACAGAGCAGATTAATATTGCTTTCTTCATGTCGTCAACTTGTTTAATCTTCACTGATCTGCCCACTGACTTCGCTCCATGTTTGTGTGTGTGTATGTGGAGCTCTGCTGATGGCTCACTCGTGATCTACTTCCATACACTATATTCAGTGTTGATATTACTTGTGATGTGTATCAGATAGTGCTGTGGGAGGGACATTGCTAGAGAGTGACTGCAGACAGAGAAAGGCAGCTGCATCAGAGCCAAGTAGCACATTTTTTTCACAGCAATCTGATTTTTAAAAAAGGTTCCGATAACTGGAAAAATGCTGAATATCTGCGCTAATAATTGGCCAGGCCGATGTCTGGTTGACCCCTAATATGAACAGCATATAATCTGTTAGCAGGGTGAGTAGAGTCCCTCATGATGCAGGAGGCATTTTACCCGCACTCTTTACAACATGCTGCAGAAGAGCAGTTACTGTACCACATGGTGATGCAGGAATAGCATGCTCTACACCATACATCTTTAGAAAGGCGTGAGGACCGAAGTGCTAAGGCCAGTGATCTTCAGCTTCCTCAAAAAGTAGAGGCATTGGTGGGTGTCCTTCACTATGCTTGCTGTGTTGATGCTCCAGGTGAGGTTATCTGAGGTGTGCACCCGAGTGACTCCCGGTTTTTAACAAGAAACAGAATTCTTGTTCGAGGACAGTTCTCGCTCTGAGAGATTAGTGTTGTAGGAAATGCCGGTAGAAATGAGGGAGAGGAGTTTGGTGTGTACATAGAGGAACTGCTAGCAAGACTTTATTTCTTAATTTTACTTCAACACAACACACTCCTCTCTCCAACTCTGACTCACGTTTCCACCGTAGTCTTCCTTGTCAATTGTCCTTGAGCAAGACATCGGTCAAAAACAAAGGGTATCACCGGAAAACACTCAAACAACATGATGTTGTTAGACACCGGGTATAACAGTCTGAGCCTGTCAGTGGCAAAAAGAAGTGCTTTTTGTGAACATAATTTTGATGGGTGCAATTGCCGTGAAGGAATACGTTGCAGCCACTGCAGCCAGTTTGCGGGAGCTAGATGAAGCCAGTTTTTTTTACAAGAACAACCAGGTAAAGCGACGCTGAACACACCAGTGCAGATGTCATGAAGTACCACGCTGGTTTTGTTTCAAAATGCTTCGTCGTTAACGAGCCTCCTTCACAAGTTCTGTGTCTTTTCTGCAACTTTATAAAACGTACTGCTGATGGAGAAAGTCATCAGGGCAGACACATACAGGGAGAGAGAGACAGGAAGAGCAGGTGTAGGTGTGTGCGTGGAGAAAAGAGGGCTAAAGGGAAAGGGAGCATAATCAAGTGGCCTAGGCTAACGATTAAACACTAAAATAAGGTGGAGAATGATGTAGAGTGAAAATGGTAAAATAAGAAATAACCTAAGCTACTACCACCTCCGCCTCCCAAGTGTCATTCTGTGGGAAACACTGGAAGCCATGTACAGCATGGATTCCAAAACTTTTTGCACCTACTAGTCATTTTACCAAATATGTGACAACGGGCCCAGGTTAAAAAAATACTGAAATTTAGGTGTAAATAATGAAGGCCAGAAATAAACTGTACTGTTGCAGCCTGAATTTGTTGTGAAAGTCTTATAGATAGATTTTATATTAATCAGAGGTCCATCCTGTGTTTTAGTGAAACTGGCTTATACCTGTCCCAGTTACCCCGTAGTTTTTACAAATTTTCTGCCATTTAAAATAAACATAGTCATAAACTTTTAAGAATTTGACTTTACAAAGTGACGAGGGCCACCTAAACGCCCAAGCACTACTGGTCTGTGTGAGGCTCAACTCTCATGAAGGCACAGCTTCAACCTGGCATTTAAGCCTCCTAAGGACTCATGGACCATATTATTCAGAAGACCCAGCCTCTGAGCTAGGTTGCTCACAACATGACCCTGCTGGCGTAAAGAATGGTGTAATCAGAGAGTGAATGGATGAAACTGTGTGTAATAAATTACCATGTGTTGCACAGGTGCTGAATGGTTGTTGCAGGTGGCAGTAGAGCTTCTGTGAAATCCTCAGTGCTGACATTCCAGCTTTGGTAAACAGTCGGCAGGGACAGCAGTGAACAAGGACAGTCAGCGTGGGACACACAGGAGCCTTCATGCAACACCTACAATATGAGGGACACAGTGAGACTAGGAAGAATCAGATTATCGGTGGAAAATCAAATTCTATCACTCACACACACACACACACACAGACACACAGACACACACACACCTGTCCAGGAGGGCAAGTGCACCCAGGGGTGCATGGTCCAGGTAAACACTGAGTCTGTGGCCCCAGATCCAGACAGGTATATGGACAGGAATTTGAACAGTCACTAAACACCTGCCCGCTGGGACACTCTGCAACACACAAAGACAAATAACATACAATTAATTACATCATGTCACATACTGTATATTACATTAATTTGCTAAATTTAGAACTTTCAATGATGTGTGGGTTTGTGTTACCAGGCAGGCAGCTGTTGGTGTTACAGACAGTGTGCTGTTCAAGTGGTCCAACGCAGGCCGTCCCACCAGGCTCTGGCTCTATAAGGACAGTCTTGTTCCGCACTGACAACCCACCACCACATGTGGTGCTGCACTCACTCCAGGGTGACCACTCACTCAACAAACATCCCACTGGAGAGAGTGAGGACACAAATGGAGAACTGACTGATTGAAGTCTGAGACATTGTCAATTGTGCATGTGTGTACTTGTTCCATGTCAGACCTGGGCATGCTGGAACATCGCAGCTCTCTGTCTGCATGGTGACATCACAGGAAGGACCACCCTCTGTGTCCTGGCAGAGGCGTCTCCTTGTCCTCTGACCACTCCCACAGGAGGCTGAGCAGGAGCTCCATGGACTCCATGGCTCATAAACTGGGCAGGCAATCTCAGTGCATACCAAAGTGCCATTCTCACACACACTGCAGATAGATGGGTGTTTGGAGAGGTGAGACAAAATCTTAATCTCATGCTTACTGGAAAAGAAAGGTATCTGAACTCTAGAGCCAAGTGTAACAGAGGTGAACAGGCTATAAAGTCTGAAAGAGATCCTTTACTAGTATTACAGGCCAATTTAAATGAACCATTCTACAAGCTCAAACTTCTAAAAGTAAAACTGACACTGAGTCATTCTCACCAGGTGTTACAGTCAATGGAAAACTCCTCTTGAGGGAGGAACTCCAGCGTCCCATTCTCTGATGGGATACCACAGCGACACTCTGTCACTGACACACAGTGGCCATCCTGTAACAACTGTCCCTCTGGACACCGACAACCTGGGAAATGAGAGAAAAAAAGAAGAAAATTAAAGAGAAATTAAAAAAAATAAACAGATACTTTGCTGGCTGATCCAGTAATCAAAGTATTTTTAACTACTGTTCATGTTAGAGAAGTAAAAGATTACCTGGGTGACAGTCTCCTTGGAGACACTGCACATGCTCCCATAAGTCAGTGCAGCTGCGAGGACATTGATTGGCACAGCTCTCTTGGTAGGTCCGCCCCCTGTCTTCACAGCGCTCACCTAGGAAACAAGATCAATCTTTTCCACTTTCCCTGATTAAAAGATAAAAGGAAGGCTTACTGTGTTTTTAGGCATTTTTGCCAGTATTAGTGGGGGAATGGAAAGATTTCATTGGTATGCAACAAAGGTCTTTCCAATAAGGATCTGAACCCACAGACAACAGACATTGCTAATTGATGATTTGTTAACTTCCTTTGTGTTTGTAAATAGCTAAGTCTAGTGCGTATTAAACAGAGAAGCAGTTGTACCTGGGCAGAGTCCTGTGTTGCAGCTCTGGCTCTGTGTCTGTTGGCTCTTACAGAGGGGTCCTGGAGAAGAGGCCAGGGGCCGTCTGTAGCGCTGCCTGACTCCACCGCTGCATGGCTCTGCACAGGCTGTCCAGGCGCTCCACACACTCCACTGACACAGATCTGTAAGGGTAGAATGAAAATCATAACCACCATTAACTCTGTACTCAGCCTAATTATAATGACAGTAATTATTATGATGAATGCTGTAACAGCTGATTGCCATCAATGATAACAAAGCATATTTATTGTTTAAGGACTATGTACAAGCATACTTGAGCTGGGGAGATGTGTGATTTATGTGTTAGAGATTAGAGTTTGTTCTATTTATTCATTGTGAATAAAACACCAGTTTTTCCTGCTGAGTACTTTATTCAATATATACAGTATATATGCATCAACTATGATGAAATACAATACTTGAAATATTTGACATGCAAATCTAAACTAAGGTCCATTAGGCATGGTACTGGATAATAATAATAATAATAATTCAGAAATGGGATTAAATTACCATCTTTATTCAAGAGCGTGATCTTTCAATTTGAGTGCATGACTTTTGGATTTCACATTCAGATTTTGTGATGTCCTCACACAAAACCGTTCCCTCACATTCAAAACATTCCCTTGCACTCAAGAAGACCCTGCTCATGCTCTGCTTGGTGTTACGGCTGTGGCTGGCACCCTGTCTGTTTGTTTAACTGTTACTATGGTTTCAGCACAACATGTTGAGAAGGATGTGTAATCCTCCGCTGAGGATTGGCCCGAGCTGAGTCAAGACCTGCCTGTTTCCTGCCTCCTTCTCCGCTGATTCTGGTTGGAGCAGTGTCCAGCTACCACCTCCAATCTGGAAGCTGCGATCGAGCCCACCTCAGTTCTAAAAGCGTGTACTCCTGCAGCATTGGGCAGCTATTCGTTCTCATTGATTAGTTTGCCTCGGTGCCAGAGGTTGTAGCGTGTCTGTTAATGTGCTGCCCTACACTAGCCAGAGTTCAGAGTTGTGCTGTGTGTAATATCAGTAAAGTGTAAGTGGCATGTTTTGTGTATGTTCTATCTAGAGGAAATGAGCGAGGACGTTAGCCTCACGTGTAGATTCCCAATGTCTTGTTTTGCTAAGCCCAGGTGTGCTGTGCTCCTTGTGTTTGGCTTTAACCTACATTAGATAGAGAGGTTTTATTCAATTCAAATGAATTCAAATTAGCTTTATTGGCATGAATGTCTAACAACAATATTGCCAAATATTTGTATTTTGTTCTTCTATTTTTCTGTTGCTTAGTTAGACTAGCAATCCCTCGTTTTGGAAGAGATCTCTTTTTTTCATCGTTTTCATTGATTTACTCAGCACCCATCAGGCCATTTCCTTTTGTAGATTTTTGTTGAACTCTCTATTTTAAATAAATAACTTCCAATTTCATTTAAATGATTGAGAACAAGTGGTCTCTTTTCCCTACACGAGCTGGAATGTAACACTTGGATAGATTTCCTCTGCTCCGGCTTCAGCCATTCTCCTCCCGCTCAGGTTGCTTCTGCGTGTGTGTGACACGTCTGCTCTTGGATTTCTGCTTGTGGATTTTTTTTGCAATAATCCTGTCAAAATTCCTCAACCAATTCAATAAATTCAATAAAACGTGCATGCAGACTGAAATTCAACCGTGGTGTTGTGTCGGGAGATGCAGCCTTGAGAAAGAAATTAGAGCCCGACCAATTTAATAGAGATAATTGCATTTAAATCAGTCTTTGCTTTTATAGCAGCTGATTAATGATAACTAGAAAAGAAACGGAGTGACAGATCCTTAAATCGTGTCATGAGAGTTTGTCATGCAGTAGTGTGTGTATTCCGGCGATTGGTCCACATCCATCAACCTCTCATTTCCCGAAGGCTATTCTATTCTATTCTATTCTATTCTATCAGTATTCTATTCGAATCTGTGGCTTGCATGACACACCTCTGAAATAGCTGTCGGGAAATGTGAGATTGGATTCTCCTGAATGAGAAGCGCAGGAATTTCCTCTGCCAAGGGATGCTGGGGAAATGAACATAGGCGTGGATCAATCGCCAGGACGCACACACTGCAGCACATACTTTATTGTGATCATGTGAATTAGTCTCTTCATAATTAATTTGTTGAAGAGAATACGTGAAATCAATAAGTCATGCACTCAAATTGAAAGATCACGCTGTTGAAAAAAGATGGTTATTTAATCAATTTAGTCTTTTTATATTGGCTTTGTGTCTCATAAATGCCTTTTCATGTCTTAGGTAAAGTACTTTGAATGTCCTTGTTGTTGAAAAGTGCTTCACAAATAAATTGTATTCCAACATTTTTTTGGCATGAAGGTTTGTCCCTCTCCTCATTTCTTTATCACAGTCACTCTGACACAATTTGTGATTCATTTTTTCTATGCTGCCATGCTAGTCTAGCTCTGAGGAGTTCACTGTGTTTTCTGCATACCAGCTCATGATGGGATCAAAGTATCAAACTGCTGCAACATGCTGAGGGGAGCAAAATTGTCCCATTCATTTCCATCCCTCACTGTGAAGTAAAATGAGAAAGTGGACCTTAACAGATGCAGACAGTTCAGAGTACACACCATTACCTCTGCACATGTTAGAATCTGGACAGAGCCTCTCCTCTACCAGTGGTCTTAGACATTGACTCTCCTCCTCTCTAGAGATCGGAAGACCTGAATCCAGGTCCAAACAGGCCCGGAAACGTCTCTGGATTGAGACCATCTTACTGCCACTGATATCTCCTCCTTGGGAGGTACTGTGTTGCAGGGGTACACATGGAGAACAGGGAGTCCATTCTGACCACTCGCTGAGAATGACTGAAAGAAGAAAAAGCAGGGTTAACAGGATGATGGGATTATTCAACCAGGAGCTCTTTAAATTACTCTCATTACTCTGCTTTCTTACCTTCACACTCTCTCATGTCACAATGCAAAGTTCCATCATGGCAAAGGCTGGAGGACAGAACAGCCAAAAAAAATTGATTATAATAACAATACATCAAACTGAGTGCACTGATCCACGACAAACAGACAAACATAAAGCAAACAAAAGTGGTTAAAAGGAGAAATAGCAGACATTGTTTAAGATGAAGCAGAGAGGCACAATTACAGTGGTAGCCATGTTCAAGTCCCTCATACTGCATTTATCCTGTTTTAGTGTGGTGCTTGGCACTGAAACAACAATTGAATTGAATTTATTGAAGGATAGCCCCTTGAGATGCAGCATCTAATTTTCAAGGGGGTCCTATAACACAAATACATAATGAACAAATACAAAACAAAACATTACAAAACAGTACATATATTACACATAAACATATACAGATAACTTGCACACCACTCTCACCCACACCCAACACCCTCAGTTAGTACAAGGAAAAATAACAAAATAAAACAATCCTATAACTAACTATACCAAAAATTCAACCCAAAGCAGATCAAATTATTATTTACTCTGTATGTAAGCAAAATGTATAACAAACCAACATAGTTACCTGATAGCATTAATAACATGAACAACCAGTTTTAAGCGACAGAGCTAAAGACGACAAGAAGCAGCGAAAAGTGCTGATAGATCTTAGGGTAGGATGAAGATTATTCCAATCACATGGTGCTTTATATTGAAATGATTAAAACATAGCTGCTGTTTCTTAGTTCAAAAGTGTTTCTTTTGTATAGCCCCTTTCTAGTCTAAGTGCTTTACACCACATCACATTTACCCCATTCGCACATTTTCACACACTGATGAGCAGAGGCTAAGATGCCAACTGCTCATCAGAAAAAGAAATTAAGTCATTCACACACATTCACACACCGATAGCACAGCCACAGAGCAATTTGGGTTTCATTGTCTGAGCCACAGGGACAAGGGACTGATACAGAAAACATTAGGCCCATGGCTCCATATGCCTCTAACAGACAGGGTCTTACCAGGTACTGCAGCCTATGGTGACTGTGGCCCCCTGAGGGACAATGACAGGTGTGGATGGTTGTTCTGAAGCCTGGTTCTGCAGGTGGATGCAGCCACATTCCTCTCGAGGAACACAGCTACCGTTCTGCTGCAGCAAGCCCTGGAAAGGAAACCGCAAAATTCACAAAAAAGAACTGTAGCAGTGGTAGTGTTCTTGTTTTAGTTCATTTGGAAGCCAAAAAGGTGTACAATAGTTCAGTACTTTTCAATAGTTCAAGGTTGTAATGTCATGTGACATGGTGATGCTCTGCAGTGCCGGCGAAAGTCTGACAAAATTTCTAACCACCGCATGAAGTCAAACGCACCTATTATCTGAATCTGAAAGGATTAAGATTATGGGTGCTTCTCAAGTCTCTTTTTTGTCGTTTCCTCGATCCTCGCTTGAACCAGAAGTCGTTCTGCTCCGCCATCTTGCTGACCGTCCCAAAGCTCTTATTTGCGCTCGGAGGAGCGAGGATCAAGGATCGAGGAGTGATCTCTGAGGAGCTATGAGCGAGGATCAAGGATCGAGGAGTGATCTCTGAGGAGCTATGAGCGAGGATCAAGGATCGAGGAGTGATCTCTGAGGAGCTATGAGCGAGGATCAAGGATCGAGGAGTGATCTCTGAGGAGCTATGAGCGAGGATACACCAGTGCATCCTTCGCGGAAGTCTTTTACTGACTGACACGCCCCCTTATTGAGTAGATGTTATAGTGATTGGATGCTGCAGCTGATCGGACTGATCTGATACATCAGGACAGATGACATTAAAGTGTATCACTGCAAAGTCTTTTATTTGATTTGTTTTATGATTCACTGTCTTGTTCAAATCTGAGTTCATGGTAGGTCTGAACAACAAAAGCCCCACACACAACTTTCTTCATTTATTAGAAAGATTTTTCTTTTAAATAATAAATAAAGCCTGCACATCCAGCCATCTCACCAACTGCATCCGACGAAAGCAGCCAGCGGCTCCATGAGTAAAATCAGCTGATGAAAGAATGAATGAAAGCTGCTGCGCTAAAAAAAATAACTGGATTGATATGATGGAACGCAGGGGTCGACTTGCGAGTGATGTGACTTGCAAATAAACTGTAGGCTTTGCAGTAGGCTAGAGTTAAAGGATTTCAGAAAAGGAAATAAACAGAAAACCTAATATTGAGCATCGACTTTGATCTGAGGTACATCATTTCAATTTCCCTGAAACATTTAGCCTAATAAATCCCAAGACACCACAATCATATCCTGGGTTAGGCCTATTCAATCACAATCAGAATCAATAAATCTAAATGCAGATATTATAAGCATTGTGCCAGTAGAAATGATCCTGTGCCTCTAAGCAGGACATACAGTAGCCTATAATTAGCCTATTCATGTGCAGGTGTTTGTTAAACAGGTAACAGAGAATGCCAGAGACAGAGACTTTATTAGTACCAACACGGTGCACATCTGTGCAGACAAACTCCATCAAAGGTCTCTACAGCTGTTAGAGCCGACTGACAGGTGATCCAGCTGTGAACAGCTGTCGCCGTCATCAGAAATGGACATCGCTTCACATAACGCTTCAGAGGAAAGGACATCTCATGTCTCTAAAAACATATTTCCTCGTTTCTTCTCTCCTGGCTTGGTTTCCTTGCGTCTTTCCATGCATCCCGGTGGGCGGGACCAAGACGTCTTGTCTTTGACTTAATGTCTAAGCTGTATAGCCAGTTTCTTGTGTTTCTCTGTGTGCTTTGGACATTCTTCCTGTGTTACTGGACCTCTTTTGGATTTTTTGGCATGTGGATTAAGCCTGTGCCCTTTGGATTTGCTTGCTTTCTTTATATCTGCATTGCTTACCTGGTTTGGACCCTTGCCTGCTTCTACTTGCCATAAGTCTTTTAACTTTTTGTTATATTATTAAAACCTTTGAATTGAATTTGCTCTGCCTCAGTGTGTTGCATCTGGGTCAACTCCCTTGGTTTCCCTGTGTCCTGCTTGACAATTGGTGACCGTTTTAGTGCATTGTTTAACTCTTAAGCACACAACTTTACTGTTTTGGTTCAGTCTCACTGCTCTCACAGTGTTGTTTTTGGCTACAGCAGGCATCTGTTTACAGCAAAAAACTACGATATACCCACTATACACTACCTGCTCTGCACCAAACATTTGTGGAGTGTAACTGCTGGATATGTAAATATGCTAACAAGTTTGCTATGCCAACCTGGAAGGTGATTATATGTCAATGCTATGGTCACAACAATTTAATATATAAAGTTGTGATGACAATTTTAAAGTGATATAATAAAACTAATATTCATGAAAGCATATTTTGGTTTCCTAATTCATGCCAGTACATATTTGCTTTGGTCTCACACAGACAAACCATTTTCACAATATGGAACTATTTTTCCAAGGAGATAATTTTCAGAAACCACAGTTGTGAACATTGAAGATAATACAGGTTTGCTTTAATGTGAGTATAACAGTGAGTGTGAATGCTGATGTTAACATTTTTAGTTTATCCTGTACACACCATAAAATAGGACTAATGAAATATTCACCTGTGGGCAGTAGCAGCCAGGTGTACACTCCCTGACACCTAAACACAGATCTCCACGGCCCTGCAGTGCACACTGCTTCTCACAGGGCGCACCACATGCTGAGTACACAAACGGGGCTTCGCAATCTATAAGAATGAGAAGAAAGTAGATGGTGGATATGATCACCATGCACAAAATCAAACACACACAAGCATAAGCATGAAGTCAATAAAACTGTGACAAGAAAAAAGCTGCTTGTGTCTGTTTGGGTATCTGCTTACTTAAGGGCAGGACAAGACAGTTCAAGTGCACCTTAATGGGGCTATATGTAGTTTTCAGCGGACGCTAGCTGTGCGGTTTTTAGATTACAACCAGGTGTGTGCTCCTACGTGTGTTTGAACACACAACATGCTGGAAACTCCCATTGCAATTACAGTAATATTTTTATCAGCTTGAGGTTAAACTCATTCATGCTCTACATGATAAAGTTTCATTGGCTGCATTAAGCTGACGTGATACATCGGCGTTAGCTTTTTAATAACTATTTGTTTATCTTTCACTAGAGACTCAGCATAACTAAATGTATTGGATGGTAACAAAACAATTAGTGAACTAGACTGAATATTAGAATGATATTGTTGCCACAGTTTGACTTTAACGTTACTGTACTGAATGGGTCTTCCTGTGTGGTGTTGTCCTGTGCCGTTATGTTACATTCTTGTATAATATGTGGGTCACGTAAGTTACAGCGACTGAGACCAGTGGAGAAGCTGTGTACCCGAGTACCTTGCACCATGCTGGGGGCGTGGCTACCGGTATACTGAGTGTCAATGAACATTAACACACGTGAAAATCAAAACACAACACTTAAATTAATTATTTTTGTTCATGAAGTCATCTGTCTGTTATTAAGAAAAATACAGCTGTGGATATGTAGGTATGTCATGATCTTTTACCTAATTTTTAAATTTATTTTATTCATGTCATCAGTGCAGTGTCACATCTGTCTGCGCAACGCACGTGTCAGATCCCTCCGCCGTGGCTGCCTGAAAATACACTTTCCCTGTCCTTGAGACTGTAAATTCCTCTAACCACAAGAAAACAAAAAGGGGAAAAGAACAACAACACTGTTGACACAATGTACAGATATCTTGCTCCAGCAGGGGTTGCAGGTTAACTATACAAACAATCAGTATATGTTTAATTAGGCTATAATCAAAACCTCATGTTAGGTCTAATTTTCGGGACAAACCGGAGCGGTCGGGACAACTGCTTGTAATTCGGGACTGTCCCAGATTTTTCGGGATGTCTGGTCACCCTATGAAAGCTGTTAGGCATTTTAGGCAAAGCCATAATGCTGTCCGAAGCACTTTTTTAGATTTCTAAAACCTTTATTTTATTTGTGAAAATAAAAAAGGGCCGATTTCACGTTTGTTTTGTTGTTGTTGTTTTTTGTTTTTTTTTAACATATTGCCCACATTGGAACAGGACCATATGAAAAACCATTATGGCTAGAGCTGTCAAATCTGGACTATATTGTCCCATAAAGGCTACAGACTCCTTAGAACACAGTTTATTTTTGAAGATGAAAAAAAGGTCTATTTCACATATTTTCGCATGTAACCCGCATAAGAGCGGGTCCAGATCAAAACCCAATATACCGACAGCTGTCAAATCTGGACTAGAACTCACAGTTTTGAGTCTGTGTTGTGCTGGGAGCCGGATGTTTTATAGTCTTAGTGGACTCCATCTCATTACATTTACATTTATTCATTTAGCTGACGCTTTTATACAAAGCGACTTACAATTGCTATATACTGTATGTCAGAGGTCACACGCCTCTGGAGCAACTAGGGGTTAAGTGTCTTGTTCAGGGACACAATGGTGGATGGGTCACAGTGGGGGATTGAACCCGGGTCTCTCACACCGTGCGTCTTATCCATTGCACCCTGTGGTAATGGCTGCGGTGTTGCTGCTGTGTGTACAATACAGCAGCAGGCAAGAGGATCGGGAGTGCGCATGCAGTCAAAAAATCCGACCAGAGTCTTCACATAGGATTAGGCAAACTGGCCATCAAGGTAACAGAAAAACCCGGCAAGTGGATTGTTTTTATGTGAGGTTACAACCCCTTCACACTTAGGCAATAAAAAAGAGACTTATTTCATAAAAAAAAAAAATAATAAATACATATTGCCCCTTTAAGCATAAAAACAATGACAGGATCACGAACAGGCCTCTCTCTTCATACAGATTCATACATACATACTTTTTTCCCGTAGTTGTTAACTCACCATCACATTGACTGAGATTGCATGTCCTGCTCTGTGTTTCAACATGAGTACATTGTTGTCCCCTGGTGGATGGGAAGAGAGCTACACGGTAACGCTGTTGCCTCTGAGAAACACAGGAGCACTGAGACCAAACACTCCACTGTGACATGGGACACCCTGCAGATGAAAACAAATCAACCAAACCGGTGCTACATGCAGGTTTAAACCAACACTTCATGTTGAATTTTGATTCACTTAGAATCTGTGAACTACCACTGGAACTTGTGCTTATGTGACTCAGGGTTGGTCTTGGTGAGTCAGTATTTAATTAATTTATAAACATTAAGCTATCTTCTTTACAATCAATATTAATCTATCTTATTCTTGGGCAATTACTTAAGTACAGTTACAGCAGAAACAAAAATTCAATTAGCAACCATGGTGATTAGCACCAACAACAACAAATAGTTCAATAATGTTGAACTGTTTAATCAACACAGTCTATTATTTAATCAATTGCCAAATTTAACTAAGGACAGTGCTGGAAAATCTTATTTACTGAATAACTGACTATCAATCCAAACTGCTCTGTTGTTCTGCCCTCCAGGTCACCGCACATGTCATGTGACTGAAAACTATGAATAGGCACAGTCAAAAAAACAGGTCATAAATTTGCACAGAAATATTATTCAGATGATCCTTCTTTCAGGGTGTTACACGTTTGATTACATCGCAGAAATTTATGCAGAATTGATATGTTTCCTTTTGTAGAGACTGTAAATAATTTAATGTGTACAAAGTGACGTGATTGGCCTGACCTGGGATTTACACCTGGGTTGAATAAGGTGAAGTCTAGAATGTATAACAACCTTCTTGATCACATGTTGAAGATTATCTGATGAAGATGTAGCCTGTATCAAAATGCGGTTATTTAACTTTACAGTGCCTCCTGCTATTTGACTCTGACCAGCATCAGTTAACTAAGCTGACCACAATGAAGTCACAATTGTTGAGTTTTGTCTGTATGTACCTGGACAGGGCTGTTTGTAACACAGCTGGGTCTCCTCTCTGTTCCACTCAGCAGGACATGCTGCATCTCCTCCTTCCTCACACAGACACACCCTGCGCCGTGCCACAGAACCTGCGCCACAGCTCCGGGAACATGGTGACCATGGCGACCAGGGGCAGAGGTCATCTGTAGACAAGAAAGTCAATATGGTCAGAGCAAATGTGAACTGTATTTACTTTGGTTACTTTGGTTACATACAGTTCATAGTATGTAGAGTATTTATCAAAATATTATAACTGGAAAAGATGATCTGTTTTTTGGTAACAGAGAGATGCTTAAGATGGCTATGGATGAATGAATATAATTGAGGCATTTCTGAACAAACCCAAACAGGGAGGAGTGTGACAGTCCTGTGTTTCTCTCTCTGGCCCGCTGCAGTGAGACCCATTGTTACGTGGAGGGGGATTGATGCAGGCACGGGTTCGAACCTGTGTTCCCCGGCCACAGGTCACTGAGCAGTCAGACCAAACTGACCATGGGGTCCAACCACCATCCACTGGAAACAACACAAAGGATTTGGTAATTCAACACTTATCCTTTTAGGCATCTTGGCAGTATGCCAGTCACTTTTGTTGTACAAGGCAAAAATGAATACGTGTCACACAGTGTAAGATTTTTCCTGTGACCCGGTCATATGTCAAATGTGTATTTGCTCTTTCCATTCTCTTTCATTAAAAAGTAACTCATTAACTCTTTGTCTTTAAAATAAAGGCAGTGACCCACCTCTGCAGTCAATGTCTTGGCAGTAACCTCCCTCTGGGGTGCATGTGCTAGGAGGCAAAACAAATCAGTCAGTGTTTGAAACATAAAGTTGTATCCTTTAAATTCTCATTTCCTTTTCAGTGCAAACCCTTTATCTGGAAACCTTCCCCTCTGTGTTTGTGTGCATCCATCTCACCATTGTTTACACTCGCCCTGCAGCCAGGTGTCTCCAAAGCTAACTTCCTGGTCGTCATGGAGACAGAGAGGTGGGCAGGGTCCTGGGTCGCAGGATTTATGCTGGACTTCCTCAAACTGGCAATCTGTTCCTTCAGTCTCTGGGTACAGAGACCTAACACACAAAATTGGCATAAAACAGAACCTTTGTGTTTCTGGTTTACTGGACTGTTTGTTTCTCAATACAAAGAAATGCATTTCCCTGAGGTATTGTTGAAAGTTTTTTCCTCACCTGTATCTGGTTCTCTGGCCCTGCCCACAGGAAACGCTGCACGATGCCCAACTGGACCAGGAGCTCCAAATGCAGGTGGCCTGGCAGCTGTTATTGGTGCAGAGGAGTTGTCCATCAGAACAGTTGCAGGTGTTACAGTCCATCTGATGCCAGCTGCCAGCTGCCCAAATCTGTCCCAGTGAGTCCACGCAGTCACACTGCCACAGTTGCACACACACCCCGTGTTGCTCCAACTGGCCTGGACACATGCATACAGTAGTTATTTAAACAATGCGCTATGTTAATAGATAGACCCTTTATTATTCTCTGTTTGTTAACGAAATTAATAAGTATTAGGGAAATTTGTTTCCACAGCCTATCTACACATATAAAAACAATTAAAGAACACAACAATAACACAGACATAGGGAACACACAGTTTGTTAAGGGCAGTGATGGCAGAGGGCATGAAGCTTTTACTGGAACGTCCGTTTTTACAGACCAGAGATCTGTATCTGCATCTGGATGAGAGTAAAGAGTTCAGGGGATGGCTGAGGTCAAGTGCTGTTGTAAGTGCTCTGCGTGTGATGGCAGAGTCAATGACGACTGGGAGGTTGGGAGTAGGGAGATCAATAATTTTAGAGGCATGTGTATGATTTTTTGAAGTCTGCTCGTGTTGGTGACAGTGAGCATCGTGAAGTAGGATGTGAAACAGTAGACGAGGATGGTTACAGGAGACCAGAAGGTGTGGTGTGACTGAGAGCGCCCTGAGTTTCAAGATGGCAGAGAGCCTCTGTTTGGTACTGTTTATGGATGTCTGTAGTGATGGTCAAAGCCGAGTTTGGTACTTGAAGGTCTAAACCAGCACCCCGTCAACTGGTTTAGGACCATAGCAAAACAACATTTCTGCAGATTGCTGTAGCTCCGCTTTTCACTGTGTGTGTTGACCATTTTAGCTACTGAGTGAAGCATCTCACTTCCAGGGTTTTTCCTGGCTCAGAATGGGCCTTTGGGCGGTGACTTCGCAACAACAGTAAGCATGATCCTTATGTATACAGTAAAGGCAATCAGTTACCTTATGAACATTTTCTTGTTATTTCTGACCATTTCATAAACAAAATATATCCATAACCTGGAGGAGTAAAGGTATAAAAGTTAGTTAATTTGTTAGTATAATAATATATTTACAGGTTACACTTGATTTGGATAATCTGCCTACAGATAGTTTATTAGTTGAGATTCAGCTTTTTTCACAAATACAACCTCTCTCTGATATTTGCCTACACCACTGTGGTTGAGGTTTGATTAGTGCGAATGTTTGTGTATTCATTATAATTTCAGATAATGGGTTAGGCTACTATAGCTTACTAGACTAATTTAATTCCAGTTGGACAAAATAGCAGTTTCATTTAGTGGGTTGTTTTCAGTCATTAAGTTATTGTGCAAGAAAAATGCTCTACAAGGTGGTTAGTCTCTCATTTGTTTATGCAAAGTACTAACTTGTCAATAATAAAAACTGTGCATATAGAACAACGAGTTCAACATTTCTAAAGTTTGATGTAGTGCATCAGCCTTTTTTAATGTCCTGCCTACTCCAGGCTGTGATTGGTCGGTTCACGAAAAGTGACTTTGACTAGCAACTAGGGCACAGAGCTGCATGAAAGGCTCCCGATCCTGATCTCCCTGCCGAGATTAGCAGGCAGGCAGAACGGTAACAGGTGAGCCCAGTGTCCAGAGAACCTGATATGGAGAGGGCAAAGAAGAGGCCCGTGGCCGGTGTAAATGTAAAAGTGACAGTACCCGTGAATACCGGTACACTTCAAGCATAAACTGCTTTTATATTGTGAGAAATAACAGGAAGTCATCGCTCCCAGTACCGCAAGCTTCGTAGCGGAGCGTTCAGGCGCAGTCAAACCAATGCAGTAGCTGATTTATAAATCCAGCACCAGCTGCATGTGTAAAAATAAATAAATAAATAAATCAATCAAACAAACAGCGCTGCGGATGAGAGGAGAGGTGACGGCTGGAAGTCAAGACGTCGTATTAAAGTTTATGTTGTGCTTGCTCAAAAGCTGTTTAATTAATGGCTATTAAAACATATTAGGAGAGTATTTGAAACGCTTCTTCAATTCTGATCATTTTGGAGCTGGTGATTTTCCTATGGCGCTTGCTAAAACCTCTTTGGGGAGTGCCAAAAATGTCTCCATGCAGGAAAAACCCTGACTTCTAATTAATATTTGTTTGGAGTTGCACATGCAGTAAGGACTACTAGTAGGGTGGGTTGTGACAAGCCAATTACCAGGGCCTTAGTTCAGCTGTCCCTGTTCCCGAACCAGCTTTGCAACCTAGGATGGAGCAAGAGTTTCAGAGTGGTAAGTTATTAATTTGTAACAAATTGATCTTTCATACGTAATGTTTTAACTGTCCACTGTCTCTACATCACAGTAACAACTTTATGTCAACTGACTGCCTGGAGGGTATCTAACGTTTGGTAGGGAGGGTGGGGGTGAGGGGAGGAAGCAGGCGGACATCTTCTCTCAGCTCAGTGTGTTTCTCCTTTCTGTGTGTTTTTGAGGGACATACTAGCTGCTAGGCGAGCATTATGATGTGTGTTACACAGTGAGGCAGATAGGTTATGGAAGTAAAGGCTCTTAAATTGGAATGGGCCAGAGCCTTCATCTATCAAACTCCTCTCCTGTTGAACCAGGTTCCAGTTTGGGTTCAGGAGGCAGACACCATCTCCACATATTTAGAGTATGCTTAAGACTTTCCGCTTTCATAAAGCTTATAGTTAGGGCTGGCTCAGGTGAGTCCTGAACCATCCCTTAGTCATGCTGCTATAGGCCCATGATGCACCGAGTTCCGCTCTCCTCCTCCGATGTGTTCCTGCCCTTTGTTAAAATTGTTATTATTATCATTAACATTGCTGTAATTATCAGTACCATTATTCATTTTCAGTCTGTACCACAACCACCTTTACTGTCTGTATTTCTGTGTGGACACTGTTTTGGCTGCTCACCCTCACCCCCCAACTTTTTCTTGCTTGCTCTCTCTCTCCCAGTCTCTCTCTCTCCCTCCCCCTCACCCCCAACCGGTCGAGGCAGATGGCCGCCTACACTGCACCATGGTTCTGCTCGAGGTTTCTGCCTCTTAAAAATAAAATTTGCTCATGGTGGGAATTGTCGGGTCTCTGTAAATAATATTACAAAGAGTACGGTACCTACTCTAGATGAAAAGTGAAAGGAAATAACTGTTGTTGTGAATTGGCGCTATATAATTTAAATTGAACTAAATTAAATTGAACTACAGGCAGTTCAGAGCAGTGTTTTCTGTGGGAGATGGGAACTCCCTTTGGGGTGGACTTGGGGATTTTTCTCATTGCAAACCTATTACATGCACAAAAAAAAAGGTATATAACTCAATAAAGGAGAAGGAAAATATGACCTCTTTAACACAAATGAGTGAGCAGCAAATAATAACGAAAGAAAAAAAGATTACAACCTGTTTACATAACAGGCCACTGATATAATGTACAGCATTAAAACAATGTTTTTGCAGTGATAAAGAATTGATGTCAAATAAAATATATTAAATACATTTAAATAAGTTAAGTGCCTTAGCACTTTTCATTATATTACATACTTCACATCATTGCTAATAAGATCAGGTTTATTATGCATTTTATGTATTTAATGCTCATTTAATCAGTAAAAAGTGACTGTGTTTCTTCTATGAAGCAGAAGCCAAAGTCAGTCTATGGAAAGAATTCAGTTCCTTCTGAAGAGGCTAATCAAATAAATAATCACATTTTAATTACTCGGGTTTAAGGATCCCTGTTTTCCATAAACTGTGGTGGTGCTCCTTTGAAAGAGTGTTTTTTTAAAGTAGTTATTTGCTACATATATCATTTTGTCATTAAGGTGAAATGACCCTTTTATAGATTTATTAGAAGCAGATCTGAACACTGTAATAGTGACAGCGTCCATTACTAACTTTGGGTAAACAGCCACAACGTTCATTCAGATACAACTAGTGCACACATGCACACAGACAAAAATTATATGGTGCTTATCTTTTGAATACATGTAGGCACAGATCCTTAAGGTAAGAATCACTCAGATATGCAGACACACACACACACACACACACACACACACACACACAAGCTTATCTGTTAATAAAATGATAGCAGCCTCAGTGCCTTTAGGGCAGCGACAGCCTGGCTGACATTCGGTGTTGCCTTGGCACTCTATGCCCTGCTGGAGGTCTGAGCAGCGCTGTGGACACTGGTTGGCACACGACACGAACTCCTGGCCCGGCGGGCACCCTCTCTCATCTGACAATACACAAACAGAAGGTCATGAATATTCCCACGATGCTCTAGGCATTTTCTTTGCATAATGTGCCTCACCAAGAATGCTGATCACAGGCTGTGATAACTTTTTGAAGACTTACCTAGAAAAAGTTTTTATTGGATTATTTGTAACCCCCAGAAGACAATCCACAAATGTGTACCATGATCCGCAAATACAAAGCACAAGTTTTTACATTTGTGGATTGCTTTGTGGGTCACATTACATTTGTATAATTTTGTCCAATTTTACAGCAGAAATCTATCGAAAAAAATCCACAAATATCTCCTTATCCACAAACATGTATTTTGTGTTTCCACATATGTGCAAAACCTGTTTCATATGTATAAATCCCTCTGTATTTGTTGATTGTGGATATGATGTTTACACACAAATATAAAAATACATCTTTGTAGATAGTGAAATGTTCAAATGATAGCGGTACATATTTGTGGATTGTTTTTTGTGGGCTACAAATCATAAAGTCCAATGAAAACTTCCATGGCAATCTAAACTTAACGAGCAGTGTGTGTGAACATGCTGGTTCTGTCTCACCACAGGGTTTGGGGTTGCAGGGTTTGACCTGGTTCTTCTCTCCTTCACACTTCTTCCCACCATTCTTGGGCGGAGGGCTGGAGCAGGAGCGAGTGCGTATGGAGCGCCCACCACCACAGCGCTTATCACAACGCGACCAGGGACTCCAACGAGACCAACCTCCATCCACTAATACATCAACACAAACAAACATGAACATAGGCACAGGTCGAAAATGTGAAAGTGTCTTTACATATACTTTAGACTCAGGAATCATTCTAGTTTTTTTTTCTTCAATTGGCTCATTTCTATTGGTTATGATAACAGTGTACTCACCAAAGAAACTGATTGCAGAAATTGACTTGATTTATACAATTATATTATTACAGATCGAAATAATGGTCAAAATTAAAACCGAAGAATAATCCTTTGATACATTTTAAAGCAGACGCTGATGAATTCCACAGTGTTGCTGGAATTTTTACCTCTTTCTGAGTCTATCTAACTATCTGAACATGAAAACAGCATTTGACATTTCATTTTGTGGACATTATTCAAATGCAATAAGACGACAATAGAGATAATAAAACAGCACCCCCAATCTATTGCATTTATATTTACATGTCAACATGCACTTTGTGGGTCAACATGAAAATAAAAATCTAATCTGTCAGTCCTCTCATCACGGCTGGTCTTCTGGTAGGATGTTACTTCCTGTCCAGTTACAATGTTACACATTCTCAAGATTCAAGGTAGTTTGTCATTATCCAACACAATATACAATGAAATGAAACCTACATACCAAACTGCTCAAGGATGGATTGATGCCAACTTCAAACTTGGAACCTGTAAACGCTGCATTTGTTTTGGTTGCTTTATTGTTTATTTTGCATGTTTGCCTGTTGAACATGGCGTTAGCACATTCTGAGGCTAACGTGGCTATGTAAATCTACCTGATAGATGGTTGGCACATGTACAAAACCTACCTATGGCCAATTGCTTGGCAATGTTGAAAGGATGAGGTGTTCAGGCCATGCGGCCCCTGCTCTCCTTGCCCCCGGGGTTAATCTGCAGTACCTGCGGCCTCTGTGTCGGGTTCCTCGGACAATCAGTGCTGCAGAGCCGCCGGTTCCTGTCAGGATTGGCCTGGTAAATGCTAGATCACTAGCAAACAAAACTTTTATCCTTATTTCCTCACATCCCGGGTATTGGACTTTCTCTGTATGACTGAGACATGGCTGAGTGCTGGTGAGTCCAGAGCCTTTTCTGAACTCTTACACCATGACTGTTGCAGTTTGAACTCCCCGGGGATGTTGGGTAGAGGAGGAGGAATAGCAATTGTTTATAAGAATGTCTATAAATGTAAGCAATTGTCGCTATAATTCTTGTTCACCAGCTTTGAGCTGAGCTTATTTGAGCTGGGTCGCTCTCACACAGTGTTGTGTGCAGTGGTCCACAGGCTTCCCAAATACAATAAAAAAAGGACTTTGTAAATGGTTTTTCTGGCTGAAATTATGCCTAAATATGATTGTGTCCTTATTGTTGGAGATTTTAATGTCCATGTGTGTTGTCCTGAAAACGCACAGGCAAAAGAAGTTTTTACACGTCACTGGCTCTTATAATCTTGTGCAGTCTGTGTCCAGACCCACACACGAACGCGGACACACACTTGATATAATCCTATCCAATGTGTTGCCTATTCTTAAATTTGAGACCTGTGACCCTGTGTTTTCTGACCACAAGACTGTATTATTTGAGATTGTTCTTGCCTCTAATACAGTTAAACCTCGCGCTATGCTGTATTATTAACCCTTCCACTGCTGTTCAGTTCTCCTCCACTTTCAGTCAGCACTGTGACATACCGGAGTCTATTTGTAATGATTCAAAGGAGCTTAGCTCATGGTTTCATTACACTTGCCAGTCCCTGTCCTCTGTTCTGCTGTCTTTGACAAGTTTGAACCTGTGACTTTGTCTGTTTTACAGAAGATTGTTGGGCATTTGAAGCCTTCAGGTTCTCCAAATGATACCATCCCTCCTCGACTTTTTAAGGAGGTTTTCCCTCCTATAGGGCCATCTATTCTTGCAGTTTTAAATAGTAGCCTTTCCTCTGGGGTGGTCCCTGAACATTTTAAACATGCAGTAGTGCAACCTTTAAATAACAAAACCTGGTCTGGATCCTGCAAATCTCGCAAATTTAATCTCCAAAGTATCCTTTCTGTCAAAAATCATTGAAAAGATAGTTTGCAGTCAATTAATGGCCTTCTTGGATGAGCACAATATTCTTGAAGTCTTCCAATATGGTTTAAAAACCCTATATAGCACAGAATCAGCTCTTCTAAAAGTTTTTAATAATATCCTTTTAGCTACTGACTCCGGGGATTGTGTTATTCTTGTGCTTCTTGATCTGACTGCTGCCTTTGACACAGTGGACCCTTTTATTGGTCCAAAACTGGCTTCAATGCTCTCCATTCAAATCAGTGGGGTGGCTTTGTCCAGTAATATACTGTCTATGGCTGCGCAGCGCAGCATGAAGTCAAACGCACCTATTATTCACTGAAAGTCATAGAGCCATACCTAGTCATACCTATTGGCAAAAGGAAATGACAAGTTTTATGCTGTGATCTACTACTTCTTGCAGGTTGGCCACATCACTTCAAAACAGTCTCAGAAAAGCCGTAAAACATTGATGATGCTATGATGTGAAGCTTGTAACTTTTTCTTTGTGGTGGAAAAGACCCATGCTTTGTACATGCACAAATCTGTACCAAACTGTATATGTTTGATAAGAGTCCCACCCTTAAGACATCTACATGCCAAAATTCAGTCATAGTCATAGTGCCACCTACTGGCAACAGGGAGTAAGCTCTGTGTGACAATTATCATGCGATTTACATGAAGTTTTTACGGTGTGTTCCACACTTGGCTGACTGGAAAATAAGGTATAATTAGTGTTTTCTAGCGCCACATAGAGGACACAGGAAGTGAAGTTTAAGTTCGTTGTGAGGTGTCCGAAACACGTGACAATACAGAGCCGTGTCTCTATGCCGCAGCCACGGCACCCTCCGTCATGGTGCGAAAGTCCGTCCAATGCTGCTTGAAGCTTTAATTTCATATATTAATTTACAGCCCACCCTGACATAACTTTTGACCTCAGTGTTTACATAAGTTACTGTGCTACACGTAACATTGCATGCTAATACGTTGCCTCCCTATCTCTTTTTACCAAATACTTCCGGATTGGCTTTATTGAGCATAAATCTAAGCCCGATACTTTGTTTTGCTTTGCTTTAGTTGTCACACAAGAGTTGTAAATAGAGAGCAGTTTGTGGCAGGATGCGGCTAAAATATCTGCAATGTGAAAATATTTTAAATTGGAAAATGCCGTTTTTGCATGTATCATGGAGATCTTCAGTGTATTGTGTGGAAATAAATTCCCGCAGCCGTTTACCGGCGGGAGGAGCTCATATTTGATGGCTTTTAATAAATTAACTTTTTAAATTTATATTTTTGGGATTTATCTTCCTTTGCGCTTCTCAACCTGTCTGCTGCAGAGAGCTAACAGGTTTATTTGTTATTGTTGTACTTTGCTTTGAAACAAGTTAGCACAGCATAGCCCTGATTGATCAGAATTCCATTAATAGTTGTTTGCAGACCTGACAAAGATTGAATTAATTTATTAAACAAATCAGCATCATTATGTGACAGGGCTCTCAAGTCGCAAGCATTCTCTGTGAGACACATGGGCGCATTTCAGCCAGTTCACATGTTCACACGTCACACCTTGTATTTCTCACTCTGAGCGGTTAATAGATAACATCCCCGAAGTTGTCTTATATTGGCTATATTGAATTAATGGCCGATCATTTTTGTGCCAAGTTCATAGCTTTCTCTGTAGCCTACTAAATGCCAGAGCCGTTAAGCTGATCATGTGTTGTTTCCGGGTGAATTCCGTGATCACGCTGGAAGCACGTTCGCTACCAAGCAACAACATGGATGCGCGTGCACACACAGAGTGGAAGTTGGAAGCACAGGACCCGATGAATGTGGTAACTGTAGGTTTTTTTAGCATTTTGATTTTACGATTCCTGGACAAAATCATTTGCCTGTAATCAAAGATAGTGAGAGTAGCTGATGTTGGGAAGTGTAGCCAAATGCGTGCTAAATTATTAATGATGCAGTCAAAAACTCTCCAACCTCTATGCAACCAGAAGCTTTGGATTTTTAAGCCAGTGGTGAACAAAGTAACATAGGCCTATTTAGATCCTTTAAAATATATAAAAAATATTATAAAAATACTCTGCAATACTCTGACAGCTTGTGGGCCTACAATACATGCTAGCCAACCATGTTATCCGCAAAACATGCTAACGCCAAGATCAACACGCTAACATGCAAAATGAAGAGTAAAGGTACAAACAATGGCAAAATGTACAGGTTCCAAGTTTGAAGTCGATACCAATCCATCCTTGAGCAGTTCAGTAGGTAGGTTTCGTTTTGTTGTACAGCCTTGTGTTGTATAATGATAAAAAAACTAACTTAAACCTTGAGAATGTATAACATTGTAACTAGACAAGATGATAAGAAGAGAAAGTGACGAAAGACCAGCCTTGATGAGATGACTGACAGATTAGATTTTCATTTTCATGTTGACCCACACAGTGCATGTTGACATGTACATTTAAATGCAATGTCAAATGCTATTTTCATTTTCACACAAGTATGTGAAAATAAAAATGCAAATTGGACTTTTCATTTTCACTCAGATAACACATAACTATGTGGAAAATTATAATATGTTAGAATTACATTTTCATTTTCAAGTTTAGGTTCCAGTCCAGGTTCACCATGTGGCAATTTCTTTGTGGACATTTCATAAATTGATGATTAGTCCACTTAAGCACAATATAAAATTATGCTCAGCATAATTTCAGTCTGGATGACTGACTATCCTCATGCTTATCTATTTATAATTTTCTCTCTCTCTGCCTATTCCAACTTCCAACTCATTCCACTGACTCAGGGTGCTCACTCTCAGAAAAAGCAAATCAGATTTTGCCACAAACTCTGTGAGCCAAAGCAGTGGCAATGCAGTTGTAGTTTCAGAAGGATTTGAAAAGTCTGTACAACATTACTTTATAACAATAATGTAAATCTGATAATGATCACAGATGTGGTTCACTGTAAAATCTCAAATTTTATATCCTATTTAAATAAATGGAAATTAATTCATGTCTGGAAAGTATGGGTAAAACATATGCAAAACTGAAGCTAGATAATCCCTCCAGTGACTATTTATGCTCAAGACAGGCATAAAACAAAATGTTTGAGTAACTTGAATAAAAAATTTCATTCTGAGTCTACATGTTGAACAGTTGACTGACCTCTGCAGGGCCTGATGTTGCAGAAGCGATGCTCCAGATTTCCCCCCAAAATGTCTTCACACCACGAACCGTTGGTCCCAGGGCTGAGGAAGGTTCGGATCCTCTCCTGCTGACCCACTCCGCATGAACGTGAACAGGAGCTCCAATCTCCCCACTCTGTCCACGAACAGTTCCTCCATGCACAGTCGTCCCCTACACATACCTTGCCTCCGTCTGGGAACATATACCAAAACACTGCTTGATACTGTATTACTTAGCCCAAATAATTGTGATGCTTTGGTCTAATTGCTGGTATCTCATCTCCTTTTCTATCTCACCTATTCTTACACCTAGTAAACTACTTGTTTAGGGTATTCATAGTAATGTTTAAATATTTATTCATTAAAGTGAAAACTCAACAAAGTAAGATCAAATGAGCAGTTTATTTGAAGAATAAGGGCAGATACATGTGCATGAGAGACATATTTAGTTATCTTTCCTCACTACTCTTGTATGAGGCACACAATTCACAGAAACACACAACAAACAAACAGGGTATAATCTTTTCTGGATGGTATCACAATTTGTGCATACTAGTGTTTACACACTTTGTTGGAATTAAAAATTTAGATAAAAACAGTTCAGCTGCCTAACTCCTGCTTAGATTAAAATAAATCAGATGTTATGTACAAATAAAACCATATTCTTAAACAAAGTTGCTAATTAGTGGTCAGTGGGTGGGATATGTCAGGCAGCCAATGAACATTTTGTCCTCAAAGTTGATGCGTTACATCCTTGGAGCGACAGAGACAGGGAACACAGGGCTGAGGTGTTTTATTGAAGGGTTTGGCTCTTGGCAATAGGACTGCTAGCTGCACGGCTAACGGAGCTAACTAACTGCAGATACAGACACATACTCATAGCAGCAGTTAGCGGTTTAGCAAAAAGTAAAGCAATCTCCCCGCCATCATTTCCTGCTGGGTCCCCCCCGCCCAGTGCACTGCCCTCCAGTGCTTGTTAAACACTTAACACTCCCCAGGTGCTCCAAGCTCTCAGTCCGGGAAGAGTCAGCTATGATCACTAGTTGCACACCTAACTGAGCTAATTAGATAACGACAGCTAGTTAGCAAACGTTATCAGTTACTTCAGCAGCAAGTACCATTATCTGTTCATCAGCAAACTACATAAATTACAGAGAGTTGAGGCAGAGCAGCCAGGGGACTGTTGCCTTTGGAGACAGCATAGGACATAGCAGAGCTGCCAACTCTCACGCATTGAGCATGAGACTCACGCAGTTGACACTTTTCACACGCCATTCATCAATTTTCTCAAGCATTGGACAAAACGAATAGGCTATATCCTATAACTGATAGCGTCGGCTCCGTGCGATTACACTACACCCAGCTGGAATCAAGCGAAACCGCTCTCGCGCAGTGAGTGGCAGACAGTTTGTGATCGGGCAGTGCGTGTGACTGTTTCTTCATGCCCCTATCTATAGATAGCTGCTATATGACTTTGTATTGGGAGTGGATTACATCTATCCAGTGGTGGAGGAAGTATTTAGATCCTTTACTTAAGTAAAAGTAAAATAGCTGGTAAAGTTTTGCAATATAAAAATGTATAATCTGAAGCGTTCTCTGTTGGGAATGTGAGCTGAACAGAGCTGCTGAAGTTACCATGTGAGGATTTGTGGTGAAGTATTTTCAGTTAGTTTCGTTTTGCACAGGTCTCATCTATACAGTCCCAAATGCGTTCTGTGTCTGTCTGTCTGGCATTCTATCATGTCAGCAGAGCAAGTAATGAACAGCAGAGTATAGGGCAGGGAGATATATACTATATAGGATAGGATAGATGCAAAATGTTCTGAACATTCAGTCCAGGAGTTTCTAACTGAATTAAAATTAATTAATTTATCCTTGAGGTGAAAAGGTGCCACATTTAACTTCCCCAAACAAAGACACAAAGAGGAGGGAAGACTAAAACACGAAAGAAAAAGAAATACAGAATGCTTGAAAGCTATACACCTACTGAATTATATTCTGATATATTTTATATTTTATATAGACACCTGCTGCCTGAGTTTTGTGAGTTTCCACCATAAATTGATGCAGAAAAGGCAGGACGTCGTGCAGAATTTTCATCAGAATGCAGGAAATTAAGTGTTTAATGCTAAAAATTTGCTATGATACAGAAGGCCTAAAATGAACAGACCTCCAATACGGAATCCCACTCCAAACTAAATTAAATAGTTGGCAGCCCTGGACATAGGCAGCTGACTTCCGATGCAGACAGAGCAACTGTCACTGGCCTAAACGAAACGGTGACTGGCCAATCACCTTGCCCGACATACATTTTTACTGACGACGGGTCATTGGTCCATTGCTTGTGTCGAACCGTTGCGTAGGGATTTCAGCAACTTTTATAGCGCCAAATTGTAATGGCTAGACAACTGGGTCAGTGCATCTCCAAAATTGCAGCTCTTGTGGGGTGTTCCCGGTCTGCATTGGTCAGTACCTATCAAAAGTGGTCCAGGGAAGAAATCGGCGACAGGGTCATGGGCTTATGTGGTCTGATCCAACAGAGAAGCTACTGTAGGTCAAGTTGCTGAAAAAGTTAAAGCTTTTGTGTCTCTTGCCAGAACATGCTTTGGCTGTAATGCGTACTGTCTTTAGTATACTTTGGGCTCTGCACAGACACCTCATCTCATCGATATCAGTAATAGTCGGTACATGGACACCAATGATGTTCTGGGTGGTTATAATCATGCTGCAGAGCCCTCCGGCCCTAGGCCATGCAAATGTGTTAATGTTTACAGTAAAGATTCTTTCTATTGTAAACATGTCAAGGGTTGTAGTCATGGGTGAAAAGCATAAACAGGAGGGGGCTGAGCATACAGCCCTGGGGGACTCCAGTGTGAAGCACTACAGTGGAGTAGGTGTGACCACCAATCCGAACTTTTCATTCTCAACTGGATACTTTATAATTAGCAATTATTGGAAATTGTGTTCCTTCCTCAAAAGTGAAAAGTAGTTATTTTACAGACTGACAACAGTGCATTTTCCAACTCCAAGCTGGTCTTGGAATGTTGCCTGTGGCTTCCTGCTTGAGAAGGGTCCAGATGCAGCCTGCAGACAAACGTGGAGCTAACCGGAGCTAACTAGCTAACTATTCCTGACAGCCCCCTGAAGTATATTACTCTTACACTAACCATCACACGGTGTGTGCCTAAAGTTACTGATTGTATGCATGTCGACTGGTTAACTCTACAGCGGTGCAGGTCGGCTGTAAGCAGATAGAGTTAACTTCCATTGTGTTGCTGTGCAGCGTCCGGTAACGTTGGTCGGCACTTGTGGAGCTTCTCAATTCCGAAAACGTTTGAACACATTTTGGATTCGCTGTCAATTTTCGGAAAACTGCCGATATTTGAAATCTACACAGTTGATTTCTCGCCAAAAAACTTCTCAGAAGTGTATTTAAAGTTCTGTTGGCCTCTTAAGAATAAAACGGTTTTCATTAGGATCTATACTGTACGTCAGCCGAGATTAACGTTATCACGTTTTTTGCGAGGTGGCTTCTGGGACAAACCATATTTGGAAGTTCAACTTCCGTCAGGTCTGCGAGCTGCAGCTGGATATGCTTGTCCTGCTTAGAGTCAGTAACCTCCAGGCTCCCATAGACTCTCAGAAGATTTCTACTGACTTTTAGCTATTAGTAGTGTTTTGTTCTGTATTGTCAGCCGAGTATGTTTTGCTATGTTTTGTCTCCCCATAAGTTTAATCCATAAACGAGCATCGTCGGTATGTAAATGTTCCTAAAAATATCACCTATTATTACAGAGGGATATGTCTATATAAGCTGATCTTGGATTTATTAGAATGAGCATTTATATATCAACAATTTAGCCTATGCTGGTTGCTGTAGAAGCTGGATAGTACTGGACTAACCTCATGGCTAAATACCTTTAAAGAACCTCTTCATTGTGTTGAACTAAAAGGGTTTCATTTATACATGTAATATTTGAACAATGTGAATAGACTTATTGCAGCCATTTATTCATGTCTCTTTTTCAGTTTTGCCCTCTGGTATTCATTAAAGAAGTGAACAATTGACCTTCATCCAGCGTGGTGATAAGAGGAGGAGTTAAAGAACCTGTAGACTTCCACAAGGGGTTGTAAGAAGGACAGAAAAGTACGTGTTGTATTCATGTTTAACTGGTACAAATACAGTTCAAACTGTGGTCATACCTGGACACTGGGGTAGATTACATGCCTTCTCTTGGCGAGAGCTTCCAGAGCAGGGAGGTTTGATACACTGTCGATGACGAAATTTCCTGGCTGGGCTGCGAGCATCAGTGCAGGTCTTAGTGCAGGGACTCCATAATGACCACTGAGAGAAGCCAACATCCTCATCTAAACAAGATGGAGAAGGAAAAACAATTCAAATAGGCAGAAGTCTTTCAAGTGATTTTGTTTTGTCTCGTGAGAGAAAAGATGGTAGCAGACATGGTTTAAAATTAATGTAACAAATCAAAATACCATGTACCATACAGACAAATAAAGTGTGAAGACCAGTAGGGGGAGAAGGATGCAAAAAAGACATGAAGAAAAAAAAAGAAAACAAAAAGAGTTGTTGGCAGCACGGAATGAACGCAAAACGGTGAATGACAAGCAAGAGAGAGAGATGGAGAAAAGGGTCTTCAAAAAGCCTCAGTTTAGCTGGAAATTTACAGCGTAAGTTGAATGAATAGAGACTGCAGCTCTGCAGCTTCTCAAGATTAAAAGTGGAGCTACCGTGTGTAACCCCCCTCGCAATCGTCACTCACAGAAACCCATATGATTCAACTACCAGTCGGCTATAGGCAGGACTTGACAATTCTGATTCGACTATGTAAATACTTAGTCGGGGACAGCCCTAAAAATTAGTAAAAGAAAAAAAGTAAAAAGTAATTGAGTACTCAATACTGTAAATGAACAAAGGAGAAGATTCTAGCTGGTATTAAACTTTTAATAAAAGGATATTTTACCTGATAAAACTGGTTCTTCGGTAGCACCAACAATAACTGCCAACAACAAGCAAAAGTTCAATAATCAGTACAAACTCCACCATTTAGTATTGTGCACAAAGAAGCACTTGGCAGAATATACTGTCTGTGTTTTGACTATTTAGAAAGGCTGAAAATGAAGGATACAGAATAGACCATTATAACTCAATAACATTTATGATTAAATTCAGTGTATACACACTCACTCTCACAGTACCAAACCAATCCTCCCTCACTGCGACTGGTAACAAAGTGTCATTTGTTTGCTCCATCCCTAAACACACCATTACATACCATACCTACACTACCTAAACTAGCCCCTGTACCTTGGCATTCAGGGGCCTGGCAGTACGTAGTTTCCTGGCGTGGCCCCTGGCAATCTCTCCCTCCGTGGCTCCGGGCAGGCTGTGTGCAGCTCCTGGTGCGAGTCTTCAGTCCCAGACCTCCACAGGACAGTGAGCAGGGGCTCCAGGAGCCCCAGGGCGACAGACCTCCATCGACTGGGCAATGCTGCAAGGAACAGTTCCACCTGCCATGTTCACAGCCACTACAGACAAAAGAGGAAAAAGAAGAGTGAGGTATGGTGCTAGTGGTCTGAAGAGTTTGACAATGAAAACAATGATGATGATGATGATAAGATGAGAACTGGGGTGATTCATTTTGATACTTTTTAAGATTTTAAAAAGATTGGGATACCTTATGTAAAATATTTTTAGATACTGTAGGAACCTACAGATACCCTGTAATAGAAGACATTGTGTGTACTGTATTTGTAATATTTTACAATTATTAATATACAAAACATTTTCTGCTCACCAGGTGCTGCAGTCATGGACCAGTCTGTCTCCAGATTGTACTTCCTCTCCCTCAGAAATGTTATGGCGGAGCAGAGATGAGAGCAGTGTGACAGAAACACTCTGCAGAGAGGCCAGAAACTCTTTGTCCACCAGACACGGACACTCCTGAAACACACACATAAAACTCACATTGGATAAAGAACAGTTTTGAGATAACAATTTCAACGGTATATTCACTGTAACACTGTTGGAAACTTGCAGTGAGTACCTTCACACTATTAAATTCACTAAAGCATTTTAGCTCATTTTGCATTTTTGAAAATGTGTTAACTATGCAACTTTTTGTCTTTTTGTGTTCGCAAGCCTTAATGTTATCCAGATGACCCACCTGCAGACAGACTCCGTGGTGTTGGTAGGTGTGTGGGGGGCAGTGGCAGCCTTCCTCACAGCCATCAGAGTAGCAGCCCTCCCTGCCACTGACCTGAGTGCAGCTAAACGGACAGCCGTCACCTCGTTCACACTCCCTGTACAACCTACCAGGAGGGCAGCCCACCTCTGCGCAACATGATGTCAGTTTAGACACATGGACTTAATATGCTCAAAAACAAACACAAATCTGTAAATGAGAACTTTTCTACAGCTTACAATTAAAATACATTTTATGCTATAGCTACAGGTATTCTACAGGACAGGAGGACTCACCAAGGCAGACCTGGGTGTTGCAGGTCTTGCTCTGGCGGCTGAGGCCACTGCAGGATGAAGAACTGCAGAGACGAGAGCGGGACTGCTGTCCTCCACCACAGCTGACCGAACACATAGACCACTGAGTCCAGGGTAACCACGGGCCCAAAGAGTCTGGAAGCAAAAACACACTGAAATGTAAATACAAAACTGCATAGTAGGCAAGAACTTTTTTTCAAATTAAAATCATCTTTTCTTTTCAAAGGGTAATGCAAGAAATCAACTCCTCTTTTACATATTAGTAAAGCTGAGATAATATTATTTTCCATGTTGTGTTTCAGTCCAAAAACTCAAATTCTAAGTTGGAGTGACCTGACAGGAATACCTGTACACGGGTGTACGTTGCAGTCTTTCTGCTGTTCAGCGACTCCCAGGCAGCCTCTCCCACCACTCTGAGGGGACGGGTTATCACACTGGCGTCTCCTGAACTTGACTCCTCCTCCACAAGAAAAGGAGCACTCAGTCCAGGCCCCCCATTGGCTCCAGCCACCGTCAACATGACAACCTGGGACTGATTGACACTGCAGAACCCCAGCCTCGCATGAACTAAGACACAGTGAGAAAGACAACAAATCAAAAACAAAAATAAAAAGGAAAATACAGACTTTGAATCTTTGGGTTTTTGTACATGAAATTGTTTTTGTACATGAAATTGAATTATATTATGCATATACACTGATAATTCTATCTTCAAAGCAGATGTGTTAGAAGCAGGTAAAATGGGCAAACGTTAAGGATTTCAGCGACTTTGACAAGGGTAAAATTGTGATGGCTAGACTACTGGATCAGAGCATTTCTAAAACTGCAGCTTGTGGGTGTTCCTAGAAAACTGGAATCTGACTTGTTTTAACAAGCTAAAAAAGGTAACGCCCTGACACTGGCAAATAGCTTTGGTTTTATATTTGATTTGATTACATTAATGTTAAGTTGAGATTTACAAGAAATATTTTATTGCTACTGTGTAAAGGGAATACTGCTCGTAAAAAGCACCTTATTTGTTTAAAGTGTTTGGAAACCATGTTATTATACTTGTGTATATAGCAGTACATTTAAATTAAATAATACACTACTTTAGAATTCATTATTCAATGAATGAAAATTCAAGTGAATGTGTGTATACGCACACACACACACACACACGAGAAAAATTAGCATATCATGCAAAAGTTCATTTATTTCAGTAATTCAACTTAAAAGGTGAAACTAATATATAGACTCATTACATACAAAGTGAGATATTTCAAGCCTTTATTTGATATAATTTCGATGATTATTGCGTACAGCTTATGAAAACCCCAAATTCAAAATCTCAGAAAATTAGAATATTACATGAAATCAATAAACAAAAAAAACAAAAACAAAAGGTATAATCATGCATATGTACTCAGTACTTGGTTTGGGCCCCTTTTGCATGAATTACTGCCTCAATGCGGCGTGGCACGGATGCCTTCAGCCTGCGGCACTGCTGAGGTCTTATGGAAGACCAGAATGCTTCAATAGCGGCCTTCAGCTCTTCTGCATTGTTCTGTCTCATGTCTTTCAACTTTCTCTTGGCAATGCCCCATAGATTCTGTATGGGGTTCAGGTCAGGCGAGTTTGCTGGCCAGTCAAGCACAGTAATCCCATGGTCATTGAACCAGGTTTTGTTACTTTTGGCAGTGTGGGCAGGTGCCAAGTCCTGCTGGAAAATGAAGTCAGCATCTCCATAAAGCTCGTCTGCTGAAGGAAGCATAAAGTGCTCTAAAACATCCTGGTAGACGGCTGTGCTGACTCTGGACTTAATAAAGCACAGTGGACCAACACCAGCAGATGACATGGCTTCCCAAACCAACACAGACTGGAAACTTCACACTGGACTTCTCAAGCATCTTGGATTGTGTGCCTCTCCATTCTTCCTCCAGACTCTGGGACCTTGCAAAATGCTAAATTTGCTCTCATCAGAAAAGAGGATTTCGGACCACTGAGAAACAGACCAGTTCAGGAACCCTTTGCAGGTGTTGTGGATTAATTAGCTGATTAGAGTGTAACACTTTGAGCCTACAATACTGAACCTTTTCACAATATTCTAATTTTCTGAGATTTTGAATTTGGGGTTTTCATAAGCTGTACGCAATAATCATCAAAATAATATCAAATAAAGGCTTGAAATATCTCTCTTTGCATGTAATGAGTCTATATAATATATTAGTTTCACATTTTAAGTTGAATTACTGAAATATATGAACTTTTTGAGTTTCACCTGTGTGTGTGTGTACACACATATATATATATATATATATATATATATATATATATATATATATATATATATATATATATATATATATATATATATATATATATATATATATATATATATATATATATATATACATACACACACACACACACACATATATATACATATACATACATACATACACACACACACACATATATATTTAAAATGTTGTAGAGCTATTCATTGTGCTGTACCAGTTTTTGCAGTCACTGATGATGGTGTCTCCTGGATTTGCCATCTGCCAATCAGATCCACCAACCCATGACCATGATGCATTACTGGAATCTGGTCTGCTGAATGTCATTTCTATATCAGGGACAAAAATGTATTGTTTAGACTAATCTCTCTTAGTCCAACACCATTATTTTATACAACTTAATCACTTCCATTGGCAATGTTCACATAAATAGATTGTTGATATAACCAGTAGCAGAGCTGTTGTGGTATTTGCAGCGACACTCCTCCCTGGCCACACACACTCCATCTTGCAGAACCATGTCTCCCGGACATCCGCAGGTCTGTCTGCACCCAGCAAAGTCCATGCACTCTGTGTCACCATGGAGATCCGAACATGAACGAGGACAGGGCTTCCCACAAGGCCATTCTTCCTGGCCTCCACCACAGTCTGCAGTTAGCAGGAGAAATCATAACACATACAGTGGAGTAATGGGTTTTATGGTCTAGTATGCTTTGATAGAGTTTAAGATCATTTCAAAGCAAACTTGAAAATAGCCCGACTAGACATGTAGGAAAATGGAGTCTTCCAAGGACAGTGGTTGAGAACTGGTTCGGTGAAACGAGTGGCCAGTGGAAACTAGAAGCTATGAAAGCAGGAATGAAAAACCAAAAAGGGTCTTGATTGTGTGTTAATAAATGAAATGCATTCCTGAACTGGATGACTGTTAAACAGTGTTTGGTTGCATTCGCTGTTGTCCATCACAGCAGTGCAGGAGCCTGCTACCTTGCTGTTTATCAGTCACCCGTTACCATTCTCTGGGAGTTGGACACGCACAGGAACATGGACGGGCAGGGAAAGTTCAACCAAAGAAAAGAGTTCATTAATATTCTCTTTCAGGCAGCCATTTCATTTTGACCGGCTTTCTGAAGCCTCTTTTCTCTCCCAGGCTTTTTCACCAGGGACAGATTCAAAGCCACCATTAATATACAATCCTTCATTATATTGACCTGAGCAGACGGTGATGTTGTCATGGCAACCACGCCTTTGCCTGCCCTCTCCAAGACAGGGCAGGCCACCAAACTTGGTTGGAGGACTATTACACTCCCTGCTGCGGGTAGACGACCCAGCACACCCATCACACTGTGACCAAGCAGACCACGGACTCCACAAACCATGGACTAGAGGGAGAGTGAGGAAACAAAGAGAGCAAGGAAGAAAGATAGACAAACAAATTTTGTGTGATTAGAGTAAAGATAGGGATAACAAAGAGATGTAATATTTTATATCTAATATTTTTACCTGTACCTTATCTATCTATACAACAGGACATCAAACGGCAATAAAAAGACAGATACATGTAGATACAAAGACTACAAGCATAATAGGATAATATATAATATGAAGAATAAATTAAGACAGGAATGAAATTTTGCCTTTGTCAAGGCAACATTGCCTTATATATAAAGGAGTTTTCATTCACCAGTCACATAAAAAATGTGTTTCTTGGGGCTAAATAGTTTTGCAAAAAACTTCTTAAATTTGGTTGGTTAGCTTAGCAGAGGTTCAGTCATTAGGAACCAATGATAGTGGGGAAGAGTAGCAGCATCTTACCTGGACAGAAGGTGATGACAGTGCAGGGCTGTCTCTGGATTTGAACTCCGACCCCATTGTGGAATTCCTGTTCTCCAGAGCAGGCCTCTCCTCCAGCCTTGGGCTCAGGACAGCCACAGCTCCTGTAGCGGGACACAGACTCTGCCCCACAGGTTCTGGAGCACGGAGTCCACTCTGACCACTCACACCAGCCACCTGACACTGGAAACACACAGAAGGATGTAAAATAATTTTTTCAATTTATGGCCCTCCCTAGACCTTAATTTTCTTCTTTTGTTGTTTTTGCATGGGTGAGTTTGTCAAAAAAAGAAAGAGTGCACACAAGCCAGTAAAAAAAATATCAAAAGTCAAGTTTTCGATGTTGTTTATTGAACATTCATAACTTCCACTTTTTTCCACATACAGATACCTACAGCTGGTCTTACTCACCAGGACATGGCATTCCGGTGCAGTTCAGCCTCCCACCCTCACATGTACTAAAACAAATGTGAAATACCAACATAATTATTTTCCTGGATGTTTTGTCTGTTAAATATAAATGTGGTGTGCATACTTGCAACAGTATATGCTCCTTGTGTGTGTATTATTCTGACCAGGTGTTACATCTATCAGGGGCTTCAGTGGTCTCCCCTGGTTCCAGCCTGCGTCCAGTGCTAAGATCTAGGCAGGGACAGTCTTCTCTGTCCACACATACTGTCCCGTTAGCGGACAGGACCTTTCCCTCTGTACAGTAGCACCCCGGCTCACATTGCCACTTGCAGTGCTGAGGGGACAAGAATCAAATTCACCAAAGTTCTCAAAGTATGACATAATGTTAAAACAGTAGTAACTTCCAACTACATGCCCACTGGACCCGATTCCTACGAATCTCCTCCAAGCCATATCTCCTACTGTGGTCCCGACAGTCCCTCATGTGATAAATACTTCTCTGGCTTCAGGAACCTTCCCGACCACTTTCAAAAGGGCTCGGGTTACACCCTTGCTCAAAAAGCCCTCACTTGACCCAACTCAAGTTGAGAACTATCGACCAGTGTCTCTTCTACCATTTTTATCCAAAACTATTGAACGGGCAGTATTCAAACAGGATCTCAGAATTCCTCTCACAGAATGACCTCCTAGATCCATATCAGTCTGGTTTTAAAAGTGCTCACTCTACTGAAACGGCTCTTCTGTCTGTAACAGAAGCCCTAAGGTCAGCTAAAGCTGCAGCCCAATCCTCGGTTCTTATCCTGCTTGACCTATCAGCTGCCTTTGACACAGTCAACCACAGGATCCTGCTATCCGCTCTCTCAGCAATGGGCATCTCCAGTAAAGCACTCCTGTGGTTCGAATCCTACCTCTTGGGGCGTTCCTACAATGTTTTGTGGTAAGGACAATTATCCTCCTCCCACTGCACAGGGGTGCCCCAAGGCTCAGTGCTTGGGCCCCTTCTCTTCTCAATTTACAGCACCTCACTGATCATTCGCTCGCACGGCTTCTCTTACCACTTCTACGCAGACGACAAGCAACTCTACCTATCCTTCCCACCAGGGGATCCCACCGTCTCGGCGCGGATCACGGACTGTCTATCGGACATATCTGCATGAATGAAGGCTTGCCACCTTCAACTAAACTTCTCTAAGACTCTTGGTCATTCCAGCTAAGCAATCTATCCACCATAACATCAAACTACAAACTGACTCCGCAACCATCACTCCAACCAAGGTGGTGAGAAACTTGGGTGTCAGACCATGTTGCTGCCGTCTCTCGGTCATGCCGCTTTGTTCTATACAACATAAGGGAAATCAGGCCCTACCTCACCCAGTACGCCACCCAGCTTCTGGTACAGACCATGGTTATCTCTCGCATCGACTATTGCAATGCCCTCCTAGCAGGTCTTCCAGCTTGTGCGGTGAAACCCTTACAAATGGTTCAGAACGCAGCAGCGCGTCTGGTTTTTGATCAACCCAAAAGGATTCATGTCACTCCATTACTCAGTGACCTCCACTGGCTCCCCGTGGCCTCCAGAATCAAATTCAAGTCACTAATGCTTTCATACAGAGTGACTACTGGGTCTGCACCCATCTACCTAAACTCCATAATACAAACTTACGTTCCTTCTCGGCCACTACGCTCCTCCAATGAATGCTGCCTGGCTCTGCCATCCCTTCACACAAAGCAATCCCGGCTATTCTCATCTGTGACACCACGATGGTGGAACGAGCTACCACACGCCATCAGAGCAGCGGTGTCCCTCTCTAACTTCAAGAAGCTCTTGAAAACTCACCTCTTAGGAGAACACTTCCTCTTATAACACCTCTAACTCCTAACCTCTAACATACACTTCCTGTGCTCTTCTTCTTCTATCCCCTACAATGATCTTGTATTGATTTCACTTTTTGTTTTGATTGCACTTTTTGTTAACTCTTACTTACTTCCCTAGGTATCTACCCCATTGATGTGATATGTACTGTGAGCTCTTACTAGTATTTATTGCTGCTCTTACTAGTATGTATTGTCAGTTGTAGATCTGTTGTTGATGCTTGTATGTTGTTCCTCAAATGTAAGTCGCTTTGGATAAAATCGTCTGCCAAATGCGTAAATGTAAATATAAATGTAATGGTTACAAACAGAATGTTCAGTGTGATACTCACAGCCAGGTCCTCACAGGAGCGAGGGCAGGAGGGACCACAGCTACTGAACACTGTGCCTGGGACCTGAGAGCATGGCGCCACTAAAACATAATGATGAGATAATGATGTCAAAACAAGAGAATTGACTGTACGGGGAACAAAACTCAATATGCACATGTCGACCACGCATACTCACAACCTCACCTACATTCTCCATACTTTGTAAACGTACCTGGACAGTGGTTAGTGTTACAGGCTATGGCCTCAGTTCCCAGCCCCTCACAGTAGCTCCCCTCCCCCTCTGGACTGGGACTGTCACACTCTCTCCTCCGGCTTCGAACTCCCCCACCACACGACTTGGTACACTCCGTCCAGTTACTCCACTGACCCCAGCCACCGTCACCTAAAAAGATCCAACACGTCATTATGAAAAAGTAAAAAAGATAAATAAATAAAACTACAAATTCACAGCAAATTAAAAATTAGTCAATTACATGTATGATCTCAATCATTTGCCTTGGTAGGATTAGTCACATATGTGTACTGTGATAGACAGATTGTCTAACATACATGAGAAAAGACAGGCTGGAGATTATCTGGCAATGTGAAAAAACAAGTCTTTTCCACAATCAACCTCTGCAGACTTAAACCCGAGCTCTTCACCACTGAATTCGCCAGATCGTGGTGACTACGGACAACTCTGCGTCTAATCCAGTCTAGTGTGTTTTCCCCTTGTCTTGTTTATTCCCTCAGTCTCAGCATGTGGAAGTTCAGTCTGCCTGCCTGTTTGGGGTTTTTTGGAACTTACCCCCCTGCCTGCCCTCTCTCTGCCACTGTCCTATAGGATTTCAACATTGCATGTTCTTGTTATTGTTCAATAAATCTTCTGGGTGAAATCTAACCCCTGCTACTGTGTTTTTTCTTGGATCTTTTGTACTTAACTTAACACATTTTTATGGAATAACAGTGAGGAACTTATCTTTGTGAAGTTTAAGTACTTTAATGTAGGACAATCTGGAAACGTCATCTTGAGAACTCCTTTAGATCACATGGACTATAATTTGTTTGAATAAACTATACAAACAATGTGACTATTTTCTCTTTACTGTGTTACTTTGTGTCAGTCATCCATACCTGTCATGGGGATTTCAAAATTAGGGAAATGTTCAAGCCCCTTGTCAATAATCATAACCATTCATGCAGAAAAATTTCTGTAGGTTGTAGTTGCACGCTGTGCTTTTAAATAATTTTTCCGGTTCACAAGTATCTATTTTTAGCAGCATATGTGAGTGAAATACTCTGTAGAGCACTGCACCATACATCCTGGATTCCTTGCGCTGCTGTTCTGCTTCTTATTTTTCATCTTGTTTTAATGGTGGGTGCCGTTGACTTGCCGTCACTGTTAAACTAATGTTCTACATACTGCCACCTGCTTTACCGGAGGGGAATGTAGCAAACATCTTTTTTTTTTTTTAAGTTTTTTTTTTTTAGAAAGAGGGGCAATCCTGGGAAAAACAGCAAGGGTTGACAGGTGTGCAGTCATCCTGTGTTGTCCTAATTTAATGACTTAGTAATCAAGATCTTCTGGTTTGACTGCACTAAAAGTGTAAGTCTTCTGGTTGCAATTTAGCCAAAATGTTTAGGGGGTGGAAAATGATGAATGAAAATATCAATACAGTGTCAGTCAAACAAAATATACACAAAACAAACTCACGGTCACATGGAGTGGTGAAGCATACTTGGTCGTCTCTGTGATGGCCCAGACATGGCAGGCCACTGCCAGAGCGCTGAGGACTGGAACAGAACCGGTACCGAGACTGGAGACCTGCTCCACACGACACTGAACACTGACCCCAGGGAGTCCACACTGACCACTGGCCATCAACTGGACAGAGAGTGTGTGTGTGTGTGTGTGTGTGTGTGTGGAGGAACAGAACATGAAGACGTGTGGAACAATGAGGTGAACAAGGACAGTAGGAAGAAGTGTCCTCATATTACATTTTAAGTTTTACTACACCTGCATTCTCACAGATAAGGGTAATTTACATTGGCTGTGACTAAATAAATATAATTCAATTATATTTTGCCTACCATTGCAGCTGACTTGAGAGCAGTTAACCAGCCTCCCTGCGTTACATGTACTGAAAAGTAAATGAGTTAAATCATGATTGTATCTAATCACATGCGGGTGGAGTGAAATTCATTATGGCTTATACAGAAATTAAAGAATAAAGTCAGTTTTACTTACCAGTTGTTACAGTCTGTTGGCACAGTGTCTCCTGGTTTGTACTGCTCTCCATCCACATCACAGCGACAGTCAGACTCCCGCACACACACACCATCCTGGAAATATGAAGAACCATCAATAATATGGCTGTGATTACTGTATTATGTGTGTGTGTGTGTGTGTAGGTTTGTTTGTGCTCAGCCACCCCACCCACTTGTTGGACGGTCCCACGTGGACACTGACAGCCTGGTGTGCAGTTCCTGCTAACGTCCATTGTGAGATCTGTACATGACACTGCTCCCATCACACACTGCTTCCACTCCTGGCCTGGAGGACACATCCTGCCATCTCCTGCCACAGAAACCAAGCAGAGACCAATGAAAACCCTCTCACTGTCAGCAAAAATCTTTCAGCAAACTGGACAAATCTGTTTGTTTTTTAAATTGGACATCCAATTTTGTCCAATACTGACAGACAAAAGCTTCTTGATACACTGAAAAATGTTCAGTATCATCCATTAATCTGGCAATGAAATCTATCTTTAAATACTAATGTTGATAAATCTATGCATTAATGCTCTGTACACTCTCACACGCTCAGTTTTTCTTACTTCCTTTATATCATTTTTCAAATGCTTCACAAAGTAGGATTTCAGTGCCTTGATCAAGGTCACTGACTACAGAAATGAACATGTGTGACAGAAGTTGTAAAACACGTTCTGCTGTCTTCTTGAAAAGTACCCATTTACAGTTATGATATTAAACATGACAATATTCTTAGATAGTAGTGTAGGTCTTGCTGTACCACAGGGCTGCAGGTTACAGGCACTGAACTGCTGAGCGGTGCCATGTATTTGGATGGGCCCGCGGGTTCGGGTCCTGTAACCTCCTCCACACGTCACTGAGCACTGTGACCACGCACTCCATGGTTCCTTTACACCTTGTGGACACATCACAACTAGATTAATTCCTATATATTTTAATGTGTGGTATTGCAAAACATGGATTCTGTACATTATAACATTAGCAACCAAGTACTTCTCACCAAAGCAGGGTTCAATGCTGCAGGTATCGATCCCAACTCTGTCTCCTTGGCAGGGACGACCCCCGAAAGCTGGAGGAGGACTCGTTCCTGAACGATACCGCCTTCTCACACCAACATCGCATGTTCGACTGCAAGAGCTCCACTGGGTCCATCTGCTCCAGCCACAGTCCACTGAGAAAAACACACAGAATGAAAGACGGGAAAAGAGAATGATAGAAAGAGACTAATGAGAAGAGAAGGAAAGACTTAAGGACAGCAAGAAACAGGTTGGGAGACAAGTATGTGCACATTCAAAACTGGGTTTAATAGTAAAGCCACTCACCAGGGCAGGGAGCTGTTTCGCACTTCATTTCTCCATTAGTGCAGGTACTGTTTGAGACACACAATACAAGAGCAAGGGACGATTATAAAATGGCAGTACATTGCAAGACTAATTTTGTCTACTTAAAAAAATTGGACACAGCCCAACGGTACCAGTTAGTGCAGGGTTCAACAGACAGGGCGGCACCGGGTGGGTACAGTTCCCCCTGGTGGTAACACGGGCACTGTGCCAGAGGTACACAGCTGCCATTGAGCAGGTAGAAGCCCAGGGCGCAGTAGCAGCCATCATAACAGCCAGTGGCACATTGCACCTCTGTGGACGTCATGTCCAAACACATCCGCGGACATGCGCCACCCTGAGCCTCACACTCTGCAACTGTCATGTGCACCATGCCCTCTGGACACACACCTGAGAGTAGACGAGGGAAAATAAGGACTGATTACACAAGCACACACAGACCTTTATTAAATGAGGTGGATAAAATAACAGGAACTGAAAATCTAATGCAATCCAATACAAAAACACCACAAATTATTATTATATATTTACTCATATTATTCCACGGCCCTTCATTGCTTGAGTAATAAAAAAAAACATGATACCTGAGCAGGGGTGGGAGTTGCAGTCTCTCGTCTGTACATGTGGCCCGGGACAGCTGCTGCCCCCATGCTGTGGTGAGGGTGAACTGCAGAATCGCTCTCTTGTTTGGACACCAGAGTCACACTCTGATGAACACTGAGACCACTCTGACCATACTGACCAGCCACCATTCACTGGAAGTATACAGTATGCATATTTAGTCTACTTCTTTACCCTAACACATCATTAGTGGAGACTGGAGGAAACAGAGAAATCATTAACATGTGGTTTCTCTGTGTGAATCTGTAATACCTGGACAATGTAAAGCGTTACAAGGCTCCTTTTCCTCGCTGTCTCCATCGCAGGCAGAGTTCATGTGTGTGTAGTTCAAGGGTGTGAGTGTGGGGTTGCAGCTGCGGAATCGTCGTCTGATTCCAACATCATCTACATGGTTGAAACATGTCTTACTGCACTCTGACCAGCTGGTCCATTTACTCCAGACTCCATCTGGTAGGACTGCAATAGAGGAGGACAAGGTCATCATATCATCTTTAGGTAATGAGTATGCAAGTGATTTATAAAACTAGGATAGTGACATGAGACTGAGCATTAATTAAATTGAAGAAAGACTTTACTATAATTGTTGCTCATGAAATTGTTCTTAACACTTTCCCAAAACTGGCCTTTTGTATAATGTTACGCCGACAACAATATATTATCTTTGGTAAATGCGAAGAAGCCCACCTGATATTAAAAAATTAAGGACATGTGGGTTTTTAAATGTTAAATACATTCATTTTAGTGCTAGATTTCATTCCTATATGTAGGCCATTTGTTGAAACTTGCCGTGATAAAGTTATGTGTGAAATGAAATCGCTGATCTCAGTTAGACTTGTCTTGGAAAAACAAAGGTAAAACCATCCAGTGCCACTGCATTAGTGTTACTGTTGTGTGCCTTGTGTGGGTTAGCATACCAGGGAGGCAGGGGCTGGAGCAGCTGCGGGCCTCCGAGATGTCTCCTTGACAAGACTGGACTCTGACTGCTCCAGATGGGTTCAATGGAGACCTGAGGAGACAAAGTGAAGGCATTAAGTCTCCTGATCCAAATTAAATATGCTCACAGACCACATATTTAATTTGTCTATATCAAGTGGATTAGAATGTGATTTAAAAGTTCAAATGAACTTACAGTAACAATACCTGTAGGAAAACTAATTGTTGCAGCAGCAAATCAGTAAATCATACAGCAGTGTAAAATAGGGATTAACGATAAATAGGGGTGTAACGGTATGTCTATTTGTCTTGAAACCTTTAATATACAACGTTTGGTTCGTATGTGACTTCCTCGGTTTGGTACGCACTGAGACCAAAACTCAAATACTATCAAAATATCTTCTACTACTACTATAGAAATTGTATAGTGAGTTTTACCTGGAATGATTTGGCATTTGCACCTGTTGCTGCATAGAGAGCATAACATCCCTTCTGCTTCCACCCCATGGGACTTATTTCAGAAATAATGGTTATTCAACGGTGAGAGACTAATTTTGTTTTTTTTTATCTCCTTTGAATTGTACCCTGATTTACACATGTGCTGTTTGTCAATTGAAAAGATAATTTTGTCCGTCAAGAAAGTTGCCTTTGCTGTAGAACAGTAACATTTAGATTTGTGCTAACAGCATACTGAACTACATCCCTCGTCTCGCACAATATATGTCACCAACATGTTAATGCTGTAATGCTAGCCAACATTGCTTAGTTGCTACTAGCTAGGTGTTTTTGCAATGTTCCACGTACAGAAGTATCTCAGCGGATGTGTTTCATTCAACTACTCTTGGTCCTTCCATCACATCATCTACACATGTAAGTTAGCTTCAGTCTTTAGGAAAAACAGTTATGATGTAATTTAAGCGATTTTTGGGTTTGCCCTGTATGTAACCACATTACCAGAACAATTATTAAAACCAATGGTGACACCTGCGGACTTATTCACTACTGATCAACAGTGTGGAGTCCGAGGACCATGAATAAGTTTCCTGTTTCCTGTTCTTTACAGAATAAAAAAATAGCTTTACATTGCACGTTATCCTTGAGACCCTCATGTTCAAGGAGAAAAAAGGTAAACTGCTTTTCACCTATTTTTCAGTCTGTGTTCTTGTCTGTACTTGTGTTCGTGTGTCCTTGTGAAACATCCTCTTTTGTGGCCCAAGTACTGTCCCAATACACAAGTTCACAATTTACCAAGAATGGTTCAAATTCACGGAATTGGTCTTGACACTCCCATTTTACAGAGGATGCATCGGTTGAATGAATTTGACAGCACAGATATCCCAGCAATCATTTGGGCATTCAAGTGAGGAGTGAAAAGCAGCAGAGAAATTGAACACCTGAAAGTCTTTTATAAATGTCATATGCTATTTCATCACTGTATTCACTTCTGAGAAGTTTTGAGGGAAGAAACAAACTGTAGATTTTGAATATTTCATGAAAATTGATAAGAGAATCAAAAAATAATTTTAGGGTGATGATGGCGCAGTGGATAAGACACATGCCTTTGGAGTGAGACCTCTGACATATATAGCAATTGTAAGTCGCTCTGTATAAAAGCGTCAGCTAAATGAAAAATGTAAATAATTTTTGGAGTTGTGAAACTCCACAAGCGCCTGTGGGGTGACTAGCGACCAGCCAGTCACCTCACAGACCCCTCTGGCCCCACAACACCACAGACCACTGCAGTCAACAGAGTAGATGAATCCAGCAACATAGGAGTAGAAAGGCCCACAACTGTAAGATAGTTTTAATGTTCATACACCTGTTGTTCTGTCCTTACATTCTGAGTAATGTTGTAACATTTTACCTTTAATGGAGAGACATTTTGCCCGTGATATACAGATAATTCTTGGCTTGTGAAATTTCTTCGTTTGGATACTTATAAAATCTAGCCGTCTATTCTCCAAGTTGTCTATTGTAGCTTTAGAGCAGTTAGAAAGAGTGCTATTAGAGAATACAAAAGACATCAACCACAGGAAATAAGTACATAATGTACAGAATAATTTATTAAATTCACCATAATCACACTTCTGTTGTGAAAAGAGGTGAAAGTGAAAGGAGGCTGAGATAAGGCCTTTGAAAGTTGTTTGATGTTCCAAAAGTAAGTAGCTTTACAAATCGGATTATGATGAATTAAACAGGCTCACCTGAAGCGTTGCTGTAGCCCCAGACCACAGGTTACATCACATGGTGACCATGACGACCAGGTTGACCAATGACAGGTCCCCACACAACTGGAGGTGTCACAAGTTATTTGTCCATCTCTGCACAAACTGGTGGTGAAACACATACATTAGCCTGTCTTTACATTTAGATTGTCTTCTTGTTTCTATTGTCTTTTTTTTAATCAACATCAACACAATGCTACATCAGTCCAGTGGTCCGAGACATTTCTGGGAAAAACTTTGTCCATCAACTGAAAAATATTACTCCTCCTCCAAAATAAACAGTTGCAAAAGTAAAAATAATGAAGAAATTATGAGTGAATTATTATTATTTATTATGTACAATTTAAAATACTTATAATTTCAGGAATACCATCAGTTTTGAAAACATAGCTCGCTTTTCAAGTAGAAAATTAAAAAAAAGAATGAGTCTATGTCTCTCACCACGTGGTACAGTGGTCCCTGCTGACCGTCTGTCCTGGCTGCAGTGTTTGACCGTCCCACAGACAGACACATTGGCTGGCATTCACACATCGCCCACCCTGAAGGTACAGACCATCAGGACAGCGACACCCTGGAGATGAATGAATAACATGTTAATCAGCATTTCAGCTACCAGTGAATGAACCTTCAGGGAGCCACTATCGTTCCAGCAAAAATATCCTTTAATACAGGTTTGTTGCTTTTGAAAATGTTTGTATTATTGAATAATTTAATAGAGCATATGTAATGGAAACAATCAGGAATCATAAACAACAGACAATTTCATTCAGTCTTACTGAAAGTTTCCAGTAAATTATTCAGTGCAGGCATGATTTCCCTCTCATTTCTTCTCTCCTCTTGTGTGTCTTTTGTTTGGGGAAGTAACCTCTTTAAATGTGCATGTGGCACCTTTTCACCTCGATGAGAAATGAATTATTTTTAATTCTGTTAGAAACTCCTGGACTTTAATAGCTCCGGTGTTTCAGCAGGTTTTCTGCTCATGTTCAAAATATTCTGCAATTCAAAATCCATCCCACATATCTGTGTTCTCTGACAAGTCCAGAAAAACAGTCATAATATTACAAGACTAACGTCATCATTTAATGAGTATTCATAATATTTTTTCTGCCTGTCAGTCTACCTGCCCTGTACTCTGCTGTGCATTACGTTATTGCTCTGCTGATATAGTAGTATCCCCTTTAGACTTTGTTTTTGCATGGCACTTCCCACTCAAATGCTATATATGTAGTTATTAATTCAACTGTATTGTGATAGTGTACCAAGGTTATTATCGTTAACAAAAACTAATGCAATAACAAAAACTAGAAAAATGTGAAAAAACTTTTTCAATAATAAAAATAAAAACAGAGCTTTACAAAAGAATTAACTGAAACTGTATTGCCTGTTTGCAAAACAACTAAAGTCAGCTAAAATTATAGAGTAAATTACTTTAGTTTTTCATCTTAAGCCTAGTATTTTCTTTGGATATGAAATCTATCTTCCAAATTCTTGGCTGTGCCAGTTTTCAGTCCACACCCCTCTTCTGGCATCAGAGTGGTGAAAATCAGGAAAAAGCTGTCCGAAAGACTAAAACAAACTACTGAAACTAACGCAAACCTGCGTTAAAAACTAATTCAAACTAAACTGAACTTGAATACAAAAAGTCAAAGCGAATCAAAATAAAAACTAATAAAAAATGCTAAACTATAATAACTTTTCAATGTACCCAAAATTATGTCAATCTTTCACAATAATATGACATTATAAAGGAGACAATGGCATCACTCCACACACTTATGTCCATAATGACACCCCATCAACCTCCCATGTGTCCTACCTGGTATACATGCTGCAGTGCAATTGCTGGTCAAGCTGAGATGTGAGCACGTCGCAGGACAGGGCTCTACCCTCCCAGCCTGGCAGTCTGCTTCAGTCACCAGCACCATGCTGTTCACACAGCCTGGACAACCAATCAAGGGAACAGAAATAATTCAGACAGTTTACAGACTTAATCATGCAGCAATGCAGTAATCAAGGTGGTCAAAGCAAGAGTAGTGGACTACCATCCTCAGGCTAGAAGAGAATAACTGAAGAATTTAAACACCAACAAGAGATTTTACAGTTTGAACCCTTTAATATTGAGTATGAATCACCTGTCTGTGTGCTGATGTCTTTAGTGCAGGGCTGGCTGTTGCAGCTCTGGCTCTGCAGGGTCATGCCCTCGCAGTCCCGCCCACCATTCTTGGGAGGAGGAGTAGAGCATGTTCTCTTCCTCTGCCTGACACCACCTCCACACTGAGCGTCACACTCCGACCACTCTGTCCACAATGACCACTGACCATCAACTACGAAAGGAGAGAATGAGATAACCGTTAAATAAATAAAAAATACCGTGAAAGATTCATCCCATTTTTGACCTCAGGTTCAGAGAACAGACCTGGGCATGCTTGGGGGAAACATGCTCGACTGTCAAACTGAGCTCCACCACAGGCCCCTCCCGGCAGAGCTTCCCTCAAAATATCCCTCTGCCGGAACAAGGAACCCAGACCACAGGTCACACTGCACGCACTCCATGCTGTCCATGGGGACATGATGCAGTCCACTAGAGGAGAGGAGAGGAAAAATATCAGTATGTGCCTGTTCTGTCCGATTATGCTTTTTTTGAAGTGGCAGAATATCTTACCACAGTCTTTCTCATCTGATCCATCCACACAGTCCTTCTGCAGGTCACATCTGCGGTCCAGGTGAACACACTCCCCACTGCCGCAAGAGAATTGCTTAGTAGAGCAGGGGCCGGACACCGGGGGGGCCGGTGGAGTCACCTCTGGTGTGACTGTGGTGCCTGATAAGATATGGGAATACAATAATAGAACTTTCTTCAACTTAGTTTTATAAGGAATAACACATCAATTAATTTATTCCGAAGGATTTGCTTATATGTATGTGTGAGGTCCATCATGAAATTACAGTAAAAATCTATTTTTCTCCTCTCGCTTTCATCAGGTATTTCTGCCTCTGGAGCCATAGAGTCTGGTGATTATTATTAGTCCTATTATTATTAGGGCTGGGCAAGTCAACATGATATTCTAGTTTTAACGTATTAATTAATTAAAGCTGTGTGCTGTATATCACATACTAATACTTCAAGACAATTCAACTTGCGTGAGGCGAGCACAACCATGGCAGTTTCACAGGAACGCGCCCACTTGTTGCTACACCTTGTGCTCGAACACGTCACCTCAGTCAAACAGGGACACTTGCTACTGAACATAGACTGTTTATGCTGCTGTTAAAAAAAAAACAACAAGAAAACAGATTTCTATACATTAACCTGTTGCTCAGAAGGTGCCTGTTATGATCGTGGCTCTGGACTCTGATGGTAACTTGTTTAAGTGAGATTTACAAGAAATATTTTATTGCTACTGTGTAAAGGGAATACTAGTAAAAAGCACCTTATTTGTTTAAGGGGTTTGCAAACCACATGTTATTTCACTTGTGTATATAGCAGTACATTTATATTAAAAGTGCGTAATACACTACTTATTCATTATTCAGTTTTGTGAAAAACAATGCCATTAATCACAGAAAATCATGTGATTAATCACAATTAAATATTTTAATTGCTGCCCATCACTAATTATTATTCATTGCCATTGCTATCATTATTATTAATTTCTTTATTGATATTTACATTATTACAGCTACAATTAATATTATCTCTATGTGGAACTTGAATTGTGCTGTGTGTTCGCTTTTCCTCCTGCCAATATACACATGTACATAGATATATATAGAGAATAATTCCAAATCTATTCTTCTGTACTTCCACTAGTCTGCCCCCTGACAGGTTGTTGATGCATACCACAGCGTTCTTCATCTGATCCGTCCAAACAGTCCTGTCTGCCGTCACACACCTGCGCCGAGTCAACACAGCCGAATGACTGGCATGCAAACTGCCCCTCCACACAAAGCACTCTGGGTAGGCCACCATCATGAGGGGTTGTAGTGATCCAAACGCCTGTAAATAAAAAATAAAATAGACGTTACAACATATGTCTATTCTGTCTAAAGTGTTAACCCATGGGTTGTGTCTGATTGGAGGATAACCAGCAAGGACCCCTGGGTAGACAGATGGTGTGGTGGTCAATGGCCTGATCATTTAGGACAAAAACAGAATTGATCAAAAGTGTATTGCAAACAGAAACACCAGAAAAGGAGAGAAAAAAGTTTAATTCCTGATTAAAAAAACAACAACACTGAGTAAAAAGTAGATTTGATCGGCAACTGTACCTTTACTTGAGCTTGTAGTCTTCTGAAGTCCAGGTTGACCTGTGACCCCTGGGCTAGGTACACCAGGAAGGCCACCGTGGGAACTGGTGATATGGAGGCCAGGGGCACCTGTTGTACTGTCGCCACGGAAACCTGGTCTCCCTGTTGAGCCTGTCTGGTTGTGCAGCCCCGGAAAGCCTCTAGTTGGAGCCGTACCTGAAGAACAGTATGAGGAGAAAGAGACAGAGACAAAGACAGATGTGGATAAAGGAAAATGTTTTTGTTTTCACTTAATCACATAAGGAGACTAAAAATTTGTGTTGTGGCTTGATAGAAGATGAAAAATATATTGGACCTAATATCGCTTAACTCTCACCACAGTTGATCTCATCAGAGTGGTCGGTGCAGTCCGGTCGACCATCACAAAGCACAGAGACAGAGATGCATTCTTCACCATGCCCGCACGCAAACTGGCCTGGCTTACAGCTCTGCACAGTCACTTTGCCACCACCAGAGGGAGACATGGTCACACTGCTGGGGGTCACCAGCTCATCTACAAGATCAGAAGAAAAGGGTTGTTTCATATGAACACTGATGTGGAGTAGGTGATACTGCACAGCACTAGTTCTGTAAAACAAAGAACTTGTAGATGCGCGCGCATGCAAGAGGAACTGGGTCCTGAGAATTCTGATTGTTATCGTTTAGTGCATTCAGTCCAGTTCCTCACCTCCTCTGCAGCCCATAATCTCCACACGCAGGTAGAAAGTGTGTCTGAACTCCACAGGGATGATACGCAGGTAGCGAGCTCTGACCAGCCGACTGAGCCAGCAGGTCACAGGGGTCCTTCCCACCATCCGCACCTCAAACACCTGCACATACCAGGGGACACTTCCACATAAGTACATAACTTGTTGGATTTTTCTGGATCTAATCTAATCACCACCAACACTGTTAATTGGTATGGTATCTATCTATCAATCTATCTATATATCTATCTAATTACAAAAAAACACTTGATGTTAAATATGGCTCTAAATTTTGAAATCACAACACACATACCTTAGCAGGGCCACCAGGCTTCCCATTCTCAGTGTAGTCTGTGAAGAGACTGCTGTGCAGGGCAAATGCCAGGCGGTATTTAGTGAGGTAACCCCACATGCGTTCACTGCCCTGGGTCACCACCCCTGATACCCATGTGGGCTCCAGGAAGTCTACCTGAAAATATGGATGAGGATCTGTAGGCAATGGGCTCCATCCAGGCTCCATAACCTGACTGCACAGAAGAAGATTTTTTTGCATGCTTTATATTCTCAGTTTAAAAAAATAAAGGGCAATACATTTAAATAGCTTTAAAGTGCATGCAGAAAACCACATCAAATGTTCAGGCTATTATATGCTTTAGGGGCGACAACCATACAAAGATCAGATCACTCACACATTAGGGGCGATGTTTAGGCGTCCAGCATCAGCAGGGTTGTTCTCATGATGTGAGGATGAGGTCAGCTGACCATAGCGAATTCTCCCATCCTCCAGTCCAAGGGAAGAGGAGCAGATGCCTGCAGAATGATTAATTTTGGCACAGTTAAAACACAATACATTAAAACAATAATTGAATTTAGAAACTAACACAGGCTGCGGTTCTGAAAATGCACACAGAAAGTAAATCCATCGAATCTTAACACTCACCACGATAACCTGGTCCCCCATCCTGTGAATACATTAGAACATAAATTAAGTGTATATTGATATATACCTATATTAACACCTGTAATCTTTGGGTCTTGGCTAATTCTGGCTGAAGCAGTTCTATTATGCGTGTAAGGAGAGGTGGGAAAAGAGGGCAGCCCTGTCTTGTACCCCTTCCCAAAATACATTTCTCAGTATCAGTAAATTATTATTATATTTAGCTGTAGGGTATTTATATTATATTTTTATAAAATCTGTAAACTTGACTGAAAAATGTATATTTTATAATACTCAAAAAAACAAATTAAGATGATCACATGTTTTTATAGTATCACTAGTCATCACTGAAATCTTTAAGAATTACATATACTAAAGCATGTTCTTGTATTTGTGGGTATCTGTTTTTAATTAACCGTGTGATATATGGTAGAAGCTTTGACAATAAAAAAAAGGTTAGATTACATTAGAAAGAAATTAGGTGATCATAAGGACATATTGAGGCATACACACAAGTGACAGAAATGCAGAATTTGGAGAAAGTGATTAATTTAAATGTTTTCTTACCATTGGTGTTACTGCAGGATGAGTGACAGCAGCCATGGATGGAGTCCTTAGAGGAGCAGGGGTGGGTGTGTATGGTCTGTAAAGTAGCACGATGAATCAAGATGAGAAGATACATAAACTACTTCTTGATTACTTTACATGAATGAAATTAGAGCTAGATAAAAAGAGATGAGAAAGAAAGTAGAGCGGATTAACAACAACAACAACAACAACATGTTTTATCAAATACTACAACTATTACCACTGCTACAAATAATAATAATGCCCTCCACCTGTCTGACTGGGTAGTGAAGTTGCCGTGGGGATGGCAACCGGTTTCATCCTCTCCTTTGGGACAGTTGGGGGTCCCATCACAACGCTGCCCTGCCTCAATGCAGCCCCCTGTTGAGGGGCAGGAAAACTGACCAGCAGGGCAGCTGCGTGGACTGGTGGCTGTAGGAGACGGCTGCGTACCTGTATGTCGGGAATGGTCAGACTATGTAAGAATCATTTCTATATTCAGTTTTGGTAAGTGTGACTTGCATCATGACAAGGACAGGACAGGCAAAATATCACTTAATAAGCAACTTAACAGCTGGTTTCCTGTCCACAACATCCAAGAAACACTTTAAAATTGCACAATTGCATGGTTCTTATACAGTAAATACTACTCAGATGTATTAGGTTGGAAAGCTCACCACAGTACATCTCATCTGATCCATCTCCGCAGTCATTGACTCCATCACAGACAACTCCCATTGGACCTGCTGGCACACAGCGACCATTTTCACACTGGAACTCCTTCTCCCTACAGTCACCCACTGGGGGGACAGGGGAGGGGGGAGTGGGGGTAGACAACCAGTGGTAACCTGGGGAGGAGAATATTTGAATCACATTTCAGAATCAGAATCAGCTTTATTGCCAAGTAGTTTTTACACTCACAAGGAATTTGTTTTGGTGACTAGGTGCCAAAATATACAAAATATAGAAAAATAATGAAGACTATGTGCTATGTGGCATTTAATTATTTACACGTGCATAAACAAGTGCTTATGTGGAAACAATGACAGGGGAACACAGCCTTGAGGGGAATCGGTGCTGATGGTCCAAAAGTCAGAGACATGTTTAGCCTGCTTCACATGCTGCCTCCTGTCGGACAGGAAGTCTATGATTCACCTGCAGGTGGACTCAGACCCACGTAAGGCTAGTGCAGACTACAGGTGCGTTCAAGATGACGGTGACTGACTTTTGCCGACTTGACAGTGTAACGTGAGCTGCAGGTGACTGCAGGGGCGGGGTATAAAAACGGCGCCATCAAGTCGGACACATTCTACCTGCATCAGCCTACTGTGAGCTTAGATCAATGACTGATCTCGCGGCATTTGCAAAGAAAAATGCCGCGAGATCAGGCAATAGTGTGGTTTCAACTTTGTGCAGCCAGAGAAAAGCAACCGACTTGCTCCCGCGAGGTTTTAATGTCATGTGACATGGTGATGTTTTGCAGCGCCGGCGAAAGTCGGACACAATTTCTAACCAGCATGCCTTATTTTAAGTCCAGCATGCATCACGTTAAGTCAGCGCTGCCCAAACGCACCTTACACAACTTTAAGCGTCGGCAGATCGCCATGCTGTTCAGACTACACAGCTTGCTGTCTTGTGAGGGAGTCTTGAAGTCATTGTGGCGTTCACACTACACAAGCTGACAACGACTGTCACCAGTGAAATAACTGATTAGCACATAGGTAGCAGGGATTGTCTGAGCTACAGAGAGAGCTGGAGGTGAGTAAAAAGTCTTTTGTAGTGACAGAGTAGCTGCCTGCTCTCTTTGACTGGATGTGGACTTCAAGTCGGCCGACTCCTCCAGATATTTGGCATGCTAGATATCTGGCTGACGTCTGCGATGTGTCAGTGGTGAGTCGGGGAGCCGTTTTTTTTAATGCGTTTAATTGGCGAGTGCCGATCAATCGCTGATTTACCCCCTATCACAGCCCTAGATTGGAGCAAGACGGGCTTAAAATCATGTAGTGTGAACTAGGCTTTTAGCTGTCCTGCAGCAGAGCCGGGATGATAGTATTAAAAGCAGAGGTGAAATCCACAAAGAGGATTCTGGCATAGCTCCTGAGGAATCCAGGATTGAAGATGAAATAAAGGGCCATGTTAACTGTATTATCTAGCCCTGTTTGCTCTATAGGGAACTGCAGGGGGACAGGTCTGAAAGTCATTTAGTCTGGTGGTCCTTGATATTTTGGGGACAGGGATGATGGTGGAGGATTTGAAGCAGCTTAGCACATGGCTGCTTAGTCCAGCTGCTTTGTGAGCGCTCTGTCTCTTTGATGATGGCATCATTGGCAGAGAACTGGTTGCTGTCTAAGTACAGTTGTTCAGCTTCTCACACCTGTGGCTCAGGAAGTATTCTTCTTTAACACGAATATACATTTTGATCTCAAGAACGTATTAACAATATTTTCTCCTGTCCCGCTTTATTAATTCTTAGAAATTGTAGAATTGTCTAACTGCTTGTCACATTGAGAGTGTTGACATTGTAAAAAGACATATGACATATGATTTTGCCTCTTCTGGAAGAAATTCCCAGGCTATCCACTTTCGAATCTATTTCAGCAACGATTTAATTGTATTTTACGAGGTCCTGTGAACCTCAAGCTATTATCGAATTTTTACCTTTTTCCTCATTTTGTTTGTTTAAAGTTATTACCTCGTTTAAAGGGGCATTATGGAGTTTCCAGCGGCCACTAGCGGTGCGGTTTTAAGATTGCTACCAGGCTCGTAAAGATTGTTTTAGGATTAATCAAAGCTATCCTCATGTAACCCGAGCTCCCCCAAATGGACAAAATAAGTAGTGCATGCCATCATCCTGAAACTACTGACAATTGTTTTCCTTTTATCAAATTCTGTAAAACTAAGAACGGTATACCCGTTTGACAATTAAGGTTTGATTGTGGGAAGATATTTGATTACAATATGCACAAATAGATTTTTGAATAGATATATTAAAAGTTTAAAGAAAAGACAGTTTCTCAGGAAACCGGAGGGGGCGTGGGGCCGCTTTTTTTATTTTCTTTGGTTTTGTTTTGTTAAAAGGTTATCAGACCGTTTAGTTACACCATTTTAATTCAAGAACGACCAACTTTTTAAGCTTTATTCGTCGAGCTAACTTCCACTGATCCCACCGACGACCCACCCAAGTGGGCCCACCAGCAGTAACAAAGGACAACCAAACTGCTAACCCGATCCAGGGTTGAAAAGGCCCCCACGGCAAGTTTCTTCAATAAGCCGACAAAAGACGGACCTCTGGAGTAATTCCCTGGCAGAGAAAGCGACTGGCCGACGGCTTTAAGCTGTCCTAACCGAGAACGCACGGAACTCCACCAGCGTGGGGCCGCCTACCAACAACCTGGCTGGGAGAAACGACAAGCGGTAAGACCAAAACCCTGCATTCTGTGGTCAGTGATGTCCAATAGTTTGTTAATAGATTATCTTTAACTCTTAAAACTCATAGCTTGCGTTCATTAGCTGCCTGTGTGAATCAAATTCTCCCCACAATAGAAATGTACATCCTCATTATTTAGCCATTGTTTAATTCTTTGATGTATATGTAACTGCATTTTTATGTCACCTTAGTTAATAAATTTCACGTAATCACAGGAATTGTGTGTGTGTATTGCCTAACTCCAAGTCCCTGCCATGAGAATTTACCCCTTCGATATGAGACTGACTGATTAATTTAAGATAATTGAGTGATTATTAACTAACTGATCACTAGTGAATAATTGTATAATTATTAAAACGCTACCCAGAGGTCCGGAGACTCTGGGTGAATTAAATCTCTGGTGGTGCCCCGCGAAACAAGAAGCTTTATGAATTAATATCCCCTGAATATTAAAATTCATAATTTTGTATTAATTCTCATAAGTTTATTAAAACATAAGTAGACATGCTACATAATCCATGCTCGTTACATGATCACGGTACATTTACTGCATTTAGCCGACGTGCCACAGCGTTAGCTTGCCTGCTGCTTTCAGTAACTATCTTTACTATCTGTCTATCTTTCACCAGAGGCTCAGCATTGTCAGCACAGCTAAATGTATTGGATGATAACGAAACGGGTTGTGAGCTGGGCTGATTTTAGAATAAGATTGTGTCACACTTTATATTAATAAGACGGCAGTAAGTAACTTTACTGGAGTGTTACTGCATGGCTCTTCCTCTGGGTTGTTGTCGCTGTGAAGTTGTATGTGGGTCACGTTAGTTACAGCAACTGAGAGGTGGAGAAGCTGTGAACCTGAGTATTGGTAAAACCACAATAAACCTAAAATGAACGTTACGAAGCAAACAGCAGCAGGTCCAAGCTACTGTAGCGCTAACTGACTGTTCCTGGCTGCATCACTATAGCCTACAAAACAAATCGCTCCACATTTGCTTTTTACGCTTACATCCTTTCTTACAGGCTAAATCAACAGCGGTACACAGGATAGTAACATGGGTCGCGTTAGTTGGTGAAGTAATGTGGAAAGCGATATAACTTTAACATCAGCAACTGCTCGGCGTTAGCTGGCAAGATAACGTGACTTTCTCTGTGTTTCTCCATCTTTACTATTGCTCACTTTGTTCTTCCTCGACATCATCTGCACCCGTTTGGTCTGATGGTCTTCAGCATATAAACCTTTATTGTTTTGCGTGGAGCCTGTTTTATGGTGTTAGTGGACTGCATGTCGTTAGCTGCCGTGTTGTCGCTGTGTTACGAGAGAGGCTCAGGAGCACGTACAGAGCGGAATCCGACCCGGAGTCCCCACATTAAAAGCAGAATAGTGGCTGATGCAAGCAATGGAGAAAACAGGCATGTGCTTCATTTCTAAATGAGTTTTGAGCCCATTGACAATCAGGCAATGGAAATTTGAAACATTTAATAACTTACATATAATCCCTTTAAATGAGTATCTTTTCATTAAGAAGCAACCAACAAGTTTTACCTTTTGAAATGTTATCTTGTTTTGAATTAACTTTTACCACTTCATCAGCCAACAGAGTTTGTAAAGTATTTCAAACTAATAGCCAACCAGTAACAGAGAGGACATCAAGCTTTGGACAGTGAACCACAGATCAGAGCGAGCCACATACTGTAAGGCCCAATCCCAATGTCCACTCTCACAGACTTTGAGCCATGTTCCTGGGAAGTCCGTGAGGGCTTAGGGCTGTCCCACTGTCAAATCGTCAAGTGCACGAGGGATCTCTTGCGCACATTTTGAGCCCTTTATAGCCCCTTTCGTAAGTCCGCATTTCTGCCGACTTTGGCAGAGGGAATTGCCCACAGTTCATAGTGGTATGTCGTGAAACATGGGAGTTACCAGGGGAAGCCTGGCAGCGAGAGAAATATCACGGCAAATTCGCGTTATAAGAGAAGAAGAAAACAATAAACAAACAAGCATCAACACCTACGCTGATGTTAAAATTGTTGAAAGTTTTCTTAACTTAAGATGGTGCATAGAACACATGAAGTCAGAGGAATGCAATCACCTTATTACGCACTTCGTTTATTCAACTATTTATTTTAGTTTTTGCTTAATGATGCTGTTTGACCAACAATAGTGTATTGATTAATTACAAATATATATTTACATTTACCTCTCCTCCACTCTGTAGGGCAAGAGCCTGCAGGACTTAAAAATCAGGCAAAAACATAAAATAAAACGTGTGCAACTTGTTTCAGCGTTGTCAAGGTAATGTGATAAAGTGGCAAAGGGCTGTCCCGTTCCTGTTTACAGCATTTTGAGCCCTTGTAGCCTCTTAAACTCAATCATTTTCCAAGTGATGTCAGTAAAGTCTGTGAGGGTTCAGAGTTTAGGGCAAGCAGGAAGCTTCCGGTCTACAATATGAAGCGAATGCGGAAGTCCCTGAAACCTACATTCTATTGAAAATCCAGCAGGGGGCGACTCTTCTGGTTGCAAAAAGAAGTCCGGCTCCATTAGAAATAATGGGAAAATGACCTTCTCTACTTCTCAGCTGAATAATTACCCCAGTAAACACTTTCCTGATGAGTTTATGGTCTCAGTCGCTAGTTTCAAGTCTTCTTCAATACAAAATTATGTTCATTTAGTAAATTATGGTCCCATTTATTTTAAAATAGACCAAAAAGCAGAGTATGTTTCAGGGCGGGATTATCTATGATTGACAAGTCGTTACCATAGCGACCTGTCAATCAGGCTAGAGCCGACTCGCACCCTCGGCACTGTGGAAATTTTACCAGCGTCGTTGAAAAAGCTTATTAGGAGTTGGCTGTTCTCTGGTGAGTACATTTAGTTTTAAGACTGTTGTTCGCTAGACAAAGTTATCAGCCCTGTTAAAATGACAGTTAACGTGAGTTACAGTTGCACCTAGCTAAACAAGCTAGCTAGCTCCGCACATGGCCGTTAGCTCCGCCGTATCGTTACTTCCGGGCACTTCCTGGTTGCAAAAGCTTGACATGGCGGCACCCAACTCGAGGCATCAAAACGGCAGTCCACAAACCAACGGGTTACGTCACGATGACTACGTCCATTTCTTATATACAGTCTATGGTTTAGGGCTTAGGGGGGAAATTGGGATTGGGCCAATGACTGTTTCCTGCTGCTACCAGAAAGCGAAGGACCTCGGAGCAAATCAGCTGTTCTAAACATCAACTCCTGCCTCTCTACCTTCTCATGGGCCTCACCTCTTAAGAAGGATGCCAAACAGCACTGAGTCGACGGACAGTGTGTGGCCTTTGAACCGGTTGAGGAAACAGCAAACAGTAAGGCAAAGATTGATATTCTGTCGTCAGGTCAATGTCCCCGAAACTCCTGAATTTATAGCTTAATTACAACTTGGTGATTGCGTTAGGATTCACCAACTGCTCTCCTGAGCCTTTTGGTGTGCAAAGTCATTTATTAAATCTTTAAATCCAGCTGGCAGGCAGGGCCTTCTCGATTGACAGTATGGCAAGTCCAGATTAAGAGTGCCAGAGAGCTCTTCAGGTAAGATTTGATAAGTTTTAGTTTGTAAAATAAAATCGTTTTGAAAAGGCCACAGTCACTGGAATTGTTTTTTTTTAAACAGTAACAGTGCAGACTAACCAATGTTACCCCAAAGCTTGCAGCGATGCAGTTGTCCACAAACAATATCTAGGTTGGTTGTTTTGTTTTCACTCTTCAGGTGCTGTCTATTAAACATCCGCGAAATGACAGGAGTTTTGTAGGAAATGTTGAGGTTGTATATTTTGTAAATTAACTCACTTGCAAAAAAGTCCATCTGTTGCAACGAACAGTGATTCAGGCTGTAGAAGTTAGCATGTGTCCGGGGTCACATAACGTTACTCATGCACAGCATCACCACGGTGGAGGGCGCAATGCTGTTGCTAGTGGCAGGTGTCCCCTACGACTCTTTTTATTCACAACTCGTGCTTGCTGCTATCCTGTGTTTCTTTTTAAGGAGAATTAATATTTTTGGTGGCTTTGCTTGGTCTTGCTCGATTGCTTCTTTCAATTTTCACTTCTGAAAACCACTTCTGTGTTTTCACTCCGTTTCGTGTTCATTTCCCAGTTGCTACACTAGCTAGCTACTCTTCTGTGTGGATTTTGCTACGCAGACAGTCAATCAATTACCCAGAATTCTATACGGGCCCACGTTACTCATCTTTAACATAAAATTCCATGAATTCATCCTTATTTAAACTTAATTTAGATGGACCTACTGTAGAGATATGTGGCAATAGTGTTTGAGTGTCAAAGTATTTCATGTTCTTTTATTGTTATTGAATATGAATGAAATCAAGTGTGAGACAGAGACACCATGAAGTAAGAAGCTTAATTCACTGACTACTACAAAAACGTACTGTGACATTCCACAAAATACTTGTATGTAAGTGATACTAGTGTACATGATTAGATTAACTCTTCTAAATTAAAATTATACTAATTTAAGAGGTAAATTACGGGCCCTGCAACAATTATGGGCCCCTTTGCAACTGCATTTCCTGCATAAACAATAGTAGTTTTACTGTCGTTCTTTTGATAAAATGTATTAAATTGTAAAACAGAATTCAAAAAAATTAAAATGGAAAACACAAAATTTGGGAAAAATTAAAACAGAATTCATAGGGCTGTATCTATGGTCTAATTCGCCTAATATCTGCATGTAGCATAACCATAGCAAGCAGGAGGTAGTAACTTTAGCGGTAAAAACGGCAGAGAAAAGGAGAGAGGAAGGGGGAAGGTGACGAGCATACCGTAAAACTTTGAATAATAGCCCGGGCTTTTATTTGCTAAAATCACTGAATTGACCCTGTGCACACATTCATTGACCCTTTACAGTTTGCTTACCAGCCTAACATCAGTGTAGATGACGCTCTTATCTACATGCTCCAGAGGGTTTATACACATCTTAACAACTCTGATGCAACTGTAAGAATTATGTTTTTCGACTTCTCAAGTGAGTTACTGGGTGAAAAAATGAGGACAATGCAGGTGGAGTCGGAACTGATAGTAGAAAATAACTGAGGAATTCATTGTACCCTGACATTTTAGAAATAGTATGATAAGATACTTGTAGTGATTTTGGGCTACTTCTTTATTCGCTTTATTCTTCTTCTTATATTCTAGGACTCCAGTATATTGTAGCTTCGTTGCGTTACTGTCCACTTAACGAATTATCTTATGTATTTATTTTTAGACTTTTTTGACAAATCGACTATATGGATTGTGCTGTCTGTGTGTGAGGACTGAATGTGGTTGCTGCTACTGTAACAGTTTTTTAATTTCCTGCAAAGGATCAAATAAAGTATCTATCTATCTATCTATCTATCTATCTATCTATCTATCTATCTTTGGGACAGGGGTCCATATGGGACAGACCTTTCATTTCTTTTGCACTAAACTGAAACTACTATGAAACAGTTTATTTATTTCAAACAGAATAATACTAATCACAACAACAACACGTTGCAGGATGAGAGAAGTTAGCAGACAGAGAGCGATGGACTTCACATGACAGGATTCACAATTTGGATAAATTTTTATGAAAAGCTCTTTTGATTCTTTTGATGGGTGGATCTTTACAGACTAAAGGAATATAAATAATCAAGGAACGGACACATTCGGACTTAACAAGCGGACTTAACGAGCGCTTCAAAGGTAACAGCAGTCATCACTTTTTTTCCTTTCCTATCTTGTACCAGGCAGGTTACACCAGTATATCTATAAGAATTAGACTTTGGGGCTCGTTGTTTCCCTTAAATGAACGGAACTATTGAATTGTGGAGAATCTAACCAATCTAACGATGTGTAGCATGTTAAGGACATATTGATAATATTTTAAACATTAATATTTGTATTAACGATCTAAGCAGCTTAGAAGCCACTAAAGCAGGCAACCCCGTGGGGCTTAAGAGATTTTATACATACAAAGAACTTCTATAAAAACTAGACCAGGTGTTAAATTGAGGCAGGCGTTTATTGTCAAAATGTGTTCCCACACCAGGCCAGTAAACGGGGTAGGCGGCTATTTATTGAAGTTTTACGGTAAACAGACAAAAATTATTTCCGTAGCATACCTGCTTCATACACATTCACACACCGATGGCACACTTGAGGTTCAGTATCTTGCCCAAGGATACGTCGACATACGTGGACAACCTCTCTACCCCCTGAGCCAGCTGTATACTAAATCCTGTAACACCAGCAAAGTACCATTAAACATCTACTAACCATCTCTACAGCCCATGATCTCAAGACGAAGGTAGATGCCATTCTGGAAGTCGTGTGGCAATACCCGGACAAACTGAGCCAACACCATCCTGTCCAGTCGGGTCTCTGCCACCCCTTGATCATCATGGTTACCCTGAAAAACCTGGTGGGAGAATGGTAATATATAAATTTCAAGATCTGAAAAAGCAATGGCAAATGGTCCTTCATTGTATATGATAAAAAGTTGCATGGGCTATCCAACGAAGGTTAAAGTCAAGGGCAACTGGACTGACTGACTTTAACCTTCGTTGGATAACTATGACCTGGATGACTGACAATCTTCATAGACATCTTGTATGGACTAGATTTGTCTAACCTTGGCTCTGGGTCGGGCATCAGTGACAAGCTCTTTATAAGTGAACCACTGTCTACCATCCTGGCTGAACTGGAGGTAGAAGCTGGATGTGAAGGTGCCAAACACACCACCGCCCTGGGTTAGCAAACCTACAGAAGGGCAGAGAGAGATAGAAAACATTTTCTTAATTTTACTGATATACAGTACATACTCTCACACAGGAGTACACAAGTATTTCAAACTTTACTTGTTTTAAGGCATGAATGCTTACCAGTGATGTTGTATGGTTTCAGCAGGTCTATCTGTAGGTAGGGGCTTTGTGTGTTGCTACTGTGTCCCTCAGGACTCCGCTGTGGTAGATCCTTGTACTCCTCAGGTTCTGGACTCCAGCCCTGCAGATAAATGCTTTGCAGATTACACATCGTGTTCATGTTGCAGCAATTATGCTTTGGTGTTAAATGACAACGTTAACATACGGATATTTAGTAGGTAATGTAAACAATCTTAGTTAAGCATGTTAGCATGATAACATTTTGTTAATTAACACTAAGCACAAAGTACAGCTGAGGCTGAATGTCATGTTGCATTCCCATCATATGGATTCCCATGTTAATGACTTGCAAGGATGTATAATTACAGAGTTAGTCATGTGAGGATTAAAATACTGTGTAAGATATTTGGTCATAAACCAAAATATTGGAAAAATAAACAGTTACAAAACAAATGTGTTAGAGTGGCCAATAACTCTAGCTGGAATGCTCATAATGCTCATTATTTTAAATCCTGTAACATTTTTCAGCATCAATAAACTAGGTTTCAACGTTTGGACAAACTGTATTGTCAATTAAGGGAACAGAGATCTGGAACAAGTTACCAGATGCCATTAGGGAATGTCCGTCTTACCCTAGTTTTAAGGACCATCTCAAACAATGGCTCGAGACACATCAAATTTGTGGCCACTAACTGACCCTGTTGTACTGTATGTGTATGTTTACCGTACTAGATGCAGTACTTTACTGTACTAAATAGCACTTTAAATTACATAACCCTGTTTACAAAATTGTCTTTTATTAATATGATGTTGAAAATGATGGTGTCTCTTAAATTGTGTTGTATTACCTTGACAACCTGCTGTGTCACGATCCTCTGTGTGTCTTGTTGGGGAGTCTGGTTTTTGGTTCCAAGTCTTTGTTCCTAGTCCTGTGCCTTAGTTCAATGTCTTAGTATTTGCTTCTAGTTCTTTGTCAGCATTATTTTGGTTTAGTCTGCTCTGTACTCTGTGTTCTAGTTCTGTGTTCTCGTTTAGGTTTTGTCTGTTATGATCCCTGTGTTATAGTTGGTTGGTGTTTGTCTGTTTACAAGGGTTTCTGTTATTGTCTGAAGTTAGATTCTTGTCTGCTATTTTGTAACATGTGCTGTGTCTGTGTTGGTTGTTACTTTGCCCCATGTCTGCCTGTCAAGTGTTCCGTCTGTTCCCCCAGTTATTACTCTGTCTGCTTGTTTCTCTGTTTTCCCCTGCTCTCTCTCTGCCTGCCTGTGTCTCGTTAGCCTCATGTCCCTCATCTGTGTGTCTCCTCCCAACTCGTAAACGCTGTGTGTATATATCCTTGCTTCTTTCCCTCAGTCTTTGTCCGGTCATCGTAGTGTTCACACTCAGTCTTGTGGTATGGAAGAGTATTCTGTTGGAGTCTGGATTACCTGCCTTTTTGGACTTTGTCTGTACCTTCCAGTGTCCGCCTATTTTTTCCGTAAGTGTTAATAAAATCCCAGATCTCTATCTCCTGTTCCAGTGTCTTGCGTTTGGGCTCTCTCCTGTTGCACTTCATCCAAAACCCTGACATGCTGGGGACTACCGATTTACATTGCTGGAAAGCTGAGATGTCATTGATAGGCACTGTCCCTTTTAATTAAATAAATGTAAATGAGGTATGATACAGCGAATACACGTAGTGCAAGTATGTTATTAAAAATAAATTTCTTTCTTGGGCTATTATTTCTAGTATTCCTTGTTTGGAAAAAATACTTTCTTTTAGATATTTTAAACAATATATATGTCTGTTTGCAAATTTGAGGCAAGCAAATACAGCTGTCTTTAATTTGAGTGTTAGGTTGGTTCCTCTAACAAGTCCTCAGGGTTTTTTCATCTCACCTGTGCATTTTCTTACATTATTGTGTATATATTTTTTTTCTTTTTTGATTATATGCACAAATACAGAAGTAATGTCAGAGAGTAACCAAAGACATTCCAATGCATCCCCTAAGATACCCTGAATGTGTCAACTGCCATGGCAATCCATCTACTAATTGTGCATCCTATAAATCTATCATTATGCTTGGTGTACCTACCTGGAGGTCCTTATGCGAGTCCCACCCATGAAGGCGACCTGCTTCTGGGGGATGACCAGTCTGGTGTGAGGAAGCACTGAAACTGGAGGCCGGAAGAGACTGAATGCCCAGAGGAGCCCAACACTCATCTGAACAGAGGAGGAGGTATGATTCAATGAAAATTACAATAATTCAAAATAGATAAACTCTTGGATAACAATCATAGATGCTAAAAAAGTTCAAATGCTCTTCCTCCTACCTGTGAACTGCATGAGCAACTGATATTAAAAAAAGTAACTTACCTCGAGGATCAAGTGGATATGTGGGAACCAGAGGTGTAGTGCCCTCTGCTGGCTTGGAGGTCACAGTTACAGGGCTAATTGTCACAAGAATCGTGTCATTTCCTCCTACAGTTGGTATTGGAGAATAGAAAAATGTTGGAGAACATTAATTTCATTATTGCAATTTTTGCCACAACGAACTGGACCTTATGTCGTGTGTACTGCAATTTTGTTGTTGAGTAATTACAAAGAATTAATTTGATCGATCTCCGACAGACAGCATAGGCATTTTTATTTTGTAGGCATCAAGGTAATGAAAAGAAGCATACCCAACAACACAGTGCAGGAAGCAGAGAAAAGTGTGGTAGAAGTCTAACCGATCTAACAATGTGTAGCAACAATGTCTATACTGACAAAAGTTTAAGCATTTGTATTTGTATTCACAATCTAAGCTAAAGCGGGCGACCAGGTGGGCTTCAAGAGGTTTTATACATCCAAAGAACTTCTATAAAAATTAGACGAGGCATCTTATCGAGACCTGTGTTTATTTGTCAAAGCGTGTACCCACACCAGGCTGTTAAATGGCTATTTGGGACCATTAATTTAAGTTTTACCGTAGTTGTGTATAATTGGTGAATGTAAACAATTGTATTCACCATTAAACAGGAAGACATTTAATTCGTGTAGAAAGCAGAACAGATCTTACCTTTGCAGTAACAGCACCTGTCTCCCTCTCCAGGTTCCAGACTTTGGCCCTGCACAAACAAATGAACACTCAACATTTGACTTACAACCAACTACACCTCACCCATCCTGATCTACCTCCCAACAGCAATCAAGATGTGTGTTAGCTCTTTCAGAGACAGAAGGACTTTCAAACTTTCAGTAATCATCCTCGCCCCAAGAAACCCTCTTTCACAGGACTCGATAACCGCTAACAGGCCTGTCGCCCTGATGTCCGTGGTCGTGAAATCCTTCAAGAGACTGTTGTCAGCTCAATCTGATCTGCCTGACCACATCTGGAGGAAATCTAGCTGTCAGTCACACTGTCTTAGTGTGACACAATCACAATCTGGCATCCATTCACAAAGTAAAATTATAGCCTACAGATATTTGTTTTTAGGAAGGCTGATACTGTGACATGAAACGCAAAACATGCGTTATTTTACAGAACTGCGTGAAAGATTTGAGCAATATAGGTGGGAAATGAGTGATATACACCAAGAAATAGCTGCATGTGTGAAGGGTCTGCATTACTCATCTGTGCAGCTGATCTACTGTTAAAAAAGCATACAATTTATTTAGTCAGAGTAGCTTACACACCGGTACTGCAACACACCAGGACAAACTTTTCAGACTACCGCTGCCTTCCAAAAAAGATGTCGTCAGCAGAGAGTAGCCAACCAAGTAATGAGGTTTCTTTAGATAGAAACAGTATAATAAGAAATTACATTTACTTTATTCTATTCAGTTAAAACCTTGTTATTGTGAATATAGCCCCTTATCAAAAGAACTTATTCGGATACAGATCACATTTTAATACCAGGTGTCTGAGAGGAGTCACAAAGCAGTTACCATACCATGGAAACCTCTGGTGGTTGGAAAAAAAAGCTGATTGTGGTGATGTTGCAGTGGATAAGACACTTATGTGTGTGTTTTTGATTTTCAAAATAAAATCCCAAGATGGTAACCTTATCATAACAGGAAAATCAGGATGAGCCAGCCTTTTCAAAATAAACCCCCCCAATGGTCACTGTATGTAACAGGGAAGCACCTAGTTTTACAAACTAAAAGCCAAACCAGATAGGAGAAACGCATGAATACACACATTTGTGTCCCAGTAGGCATCACAAACACAGCCTTTGAATGCAGCCAAAGACACACAGCTGATTAAGATGACCTAATTAAGTCAGTTTGACACACACACACACACACACACACACGTTTCTCCAACCCCATGGGGACAAGGACACCCTAACCTTAACTATCACAAGTACATGCCTAACTTTAACCCTAATGGTGGTTTCACATACAATGTGAAGCACGTGATTACATACATGTCAATGCAAAGACACGAATAGACACAAATTCCCGCCAGGCAGCGCAAAGACTACACAAGGTTGTACACTGCTCAAAGAAATAAAGGGAACACTAAAATAATACATCCTAGATCTGAATGAATGAAATAATCTCATTAAATACTCCTTTCTTTACATAGTTGAATCTGCTGACAACAAAATCACACAAAAATGATCAATGGAAATCAAATCTGTCAACCCATGGAGGTCTGGATTTGGAGTCACACTCAAAATCAAAGTGGAAAACCACACTACAGGCCGATCCAACTTTGATGTAATGTCCTTAAAACAAGTCAAAATGAGGCTCAGTAGTGTGTGTGGCCTCCAAGTGCCTGTATGACCTCCCTACAACGCATGGGCATGCTCCTGATGAGGAGCCAACTCCTGGACAGTCTGGTGCAACGTAGTGTTGGTGGATGGAGCAAGACATGATGTCCCAGATGTGCTCCATTGGATTCAGGTCTGGGGAACGGGCGGGCCGGTCCATAGCATCAATGCCTTCCTCTTGCAGGAACTGCTGACACACTCCAGCCACATGAGGTCTAGCTTTGTCTTGCATTAGGAGGAACCCAGGGCCAACCGCACCAGCATATGGTCTCACAAGGGGTCTGAGGATCTCATCTCGGTACCTAATGGCAGTCAGGCTACCTCTGGCGAGCACATGGAGGGCTGTGCGGCCCCCCAAAGAAATGCCACCCCACACCATTACTGACCCACCGCCAAACCGGTTATGCTGGAGGATGTTGCAGGCAGCAGAACGTTCTCCACGGCGTCTCCAGACTCTGTCACGTCTGTCACATGTGCTCAGTGTGAACCTGCTTTCATCTGTGAAGAGCACAGGGCGCCAGTGGCGAATTTGCCAATCGTGGTGTTCTCTGGCAAATGCCAAACGTCCTGCACGGTGTTGGGCTGTAAGTACAACCCCCTCTGTGGCCCTCATACTGTTTCTGACCGTTTGAGCAGACACATGCATATTTGTGGCCTGCTGGAGGTCATTTTGCAGGGCTCTGGCAGTGCTCCTCCTGCTCCTCCTTGCACAAAGGTGGAGGTAGCGGTCCTGCTGCCCGGGTTGTTGCCCTCCTACGGCCTCCTCCACGTCTCCTGATGTACTGGCCTGTCTCCTGGTAGCGCCTCCATGCTCTGGACACTACGCTGACAGACACAGCAAACCTTCTTGCCACAGCTCGCATTGATGTGCCATCCTGGATGAGCTGCACTACTTGAGCCACTTGTGTGGGTTGTAGACTCCGTCTCATGCTGCCACTAGAGTGAAAGCACCGCCAGCATTCAAAAGTGACCAAAACATCAGCCAGGAAGCATAGGAACTGAGAAGTGGTCTGTCGTCACCACCTGCAGAACCACTCCTTTATTGGGGGTGTCTTGCTAATTGCCTATAATTTCCACCTGTTGTCTATTCCATTTGCACAACAGCATGTGAAATTGATTGTCAATCAGTCAGCTTATCTGTATTGTTGGGTCTGGTGTCATTTTCCTCTTGACAATTGCCCATAGATTCTCTATGGGGTTTAGATTAGACAAGCTGGCTGGCCAATTAAGCACAGTAAAACCGTGGTCAGTTAACCAGTCACTAGTCAGAATGTTGGCAGATGCCAAATCCTGCTGGAAATCAGCATCTCCATACAGCTTATCAGCAGGTGAAAGCACAAATGCACTAACATTTCCTGGTAGACCTGCATATACTGTATGCATACATTTTGTGTATATCCATTCATTATGTTTTTATTTCACTATTTGCTTTGTTTACAATTTACAGAAAAAATAGACATTGTATGTTGTTGGTCATGTCTTTAAAAAAAATATATATAAAAAAAAATTATAAATGAATGCATTCCTATAAATACAGTGTGAGCAACTTAAAACAGGAGTCAAATTCCTTCTATGTGTACACATACTTGTCCAATAAAGCTGATTCTGATCACATACCCATCAAATATGGGCACATACTCAAGCAGCAGTAAGTGCATACACATAAGACACACACAATTCTACTCTTACCTGTGGGCATCCACTGACACCGTATGGACAGTAGGGGAAACACTGCACTGTAAGGTTGGACTGACAGTGACATAACTGGCAGTGGTCTGACCTCCATCTGTCTCCCACAGCATGGGACTGACCCTGGTACTCACACTCATTACAGGGGTCTGTCTGGCACCTGCATAGACACACAGACATGGTAAATGCATGCAGGAGTAATGGAATTAAATAGACTAAGTGTGTGGTGTTAGAAACTAAGTAAAATGCTATTTCTTAAAACAAGCCACCCAGAGGTTTTGTTAAATGTAGATGATTTCTAAGTATATATTTATTTCTATTTCAAATAGGTTATTTCTTAAAGATAGATATATATAACCAAACCATATATATATATATATATATATATATATATATATATATATATATATATATATATATATATATATATATAGCATGGAAAGAACCTGGAACTCAGAAGTGAAATGATGCAGTCCACGTGGCATTGAGCAAAGGGAGTATTAAAGGTGAGGGAGAGATTGTTAGGGTGGACCTTTTTCCTGTATCTGCAGAGCAGGGACAATCTCTCTGGCAACACCTTGGTTCGTCTCTTTAAAGATTTAAACCAAATTTAATATGATAATTTAAGACTTTTATTCAGATAATTGATTACCTAAATTTTTATTTTTTTTATTTTTCACTTATCATTTTTACATCCACAATAAAAAGCACTGAACTAAGATGACAGTTTATTGATTCTTTCTTATGTGTTTTGACTATATTTGGGGAACATGGCCAGACAAAAAGGACCGACAGTACCAATCTAGTAGCTGAAAAGTAGTTTATAGTCCCATGAGGAGAGGGATACATACCGACGGGCTTTCCTGTAAATTCCTCTGCACGTTCTGCCATCTCCATGCTTGGTGGGGTTGTTTGGGCTGCGGAACGACCACTGGACACTCTGAACACCACAGGGCCCCAAGCAATCACCCCACTCGGACCATGACGACCAGCCACAGTGTACTGCAGCATGACAAAGCTGACTGTGTATGACTGCTCAGACTTTTAGGCAGATGAAGAACTATACCCAGTATGTGGGTAGAAATGAATTGCATTTCTACCCACTTGAAATTAATTTGACAGACTCACCTGAACAGTCTGGGTTAGGCTGGCATCTCTGAGGCCTTCCCCTCTCACAAACACAAATTTCACAGTCCACCTTCATCTGCTGGCCCGGCCAGTAGCGCACACCTGCCACTTCACACATACAGTCCTCTGGTAACACACACTGTTGCATGTAGCTCATCACTTGGCCCTCCGGACACCAACAACCTGAAATGAGTTAATTGTGACATAAAAAATTTAACATGGCAATTTCAAAATGGCAAGAAGCAACAATTTATTTTAGAACACAAGATAGTCCAGATTCCTCCTGACTGACCTGAGGAGCAAGGTGCTGTGGGATCACAGGATGTCCCACTGCTGATGTGGGCACAGGACATCGGGCAGGGAGCACAGCTGTGTCTCACCAGCCCAGTGGGACAGCTGGTATTGACACATCCATCATCAGGACAAGGCTCTAAAGTGGGACAGGGAAGAAGAAAACACTTGCTATGCATTTTGATGGGTTTTTTCTTGTTTTTTTTGTTCTATTTCATGATAAAGTATTTACTCATAAATTATGCACAGATCGATTAGGTCTACATACATTTACATTTATTATTATTATTATTACAATTATTATGTTATTGAGATAACCACCTCTGAGATTTCTGCCTCCATCTCAAAACAATGTAGCTGAATGGAATTTTTTTTTGTCCCAGTTACTGTAGAAAGTCAGATCAGTTTTCATTTTAACTTTCTAACAACAAAACAGTCCTTGTGAAAACTCTTGACATGAGTTGTCTTGTATGGGATTTCGGGTGAACCAAACATTTAAAATGAACACTTTCTTCCTCAGTTTTATTGTGCAAGTTAGAGGTATTTATTTTCATATCTCCAACCAGGAAACTGACCTTCAGTATCATTAATTTCATCTAAACCTTAATTTACAGACAGCTCTTACTAATTTCCATGGCTAGGTTGGATGGTCCAGGGAGTTGGGAACAGTCTCGGCCTCCGTAGCGAGGACTGATGCATCCCCTGTGTCTGACCTGCACTCCACCACAACTACTGGAACAGTTCGACCAGCTCCCCCACGGCAGCCACCGACCATCCACTGGAAGTTGGAGGAGAGAGCATCACATTTTAGTAATATGTATTTATACATATTTAAACTATGCATTAAGACTTTAAACTGTTCTGAAACATATTCATTTTTTAGTTCATGTCCACTTTACCAGGACAGGTTATGTTAAAGCATTGCTGTTTCTGGAAGTCCTGCCCCCTACAGTGGCGCAGTGGGTCTCCTTGAGGGCACGTTCTCTGCCGGGTCATAGAGCCTGTACCACAGGAAGTGCTGCAGTGGCTCCATGGACCCCAGGAGCTCCAGCTTCTACAGCCCTGCTCATCAGTGAGGCCTCCAAGTGGTGCTGGTGAAGATTCTGGGCAGTCTACCACACCGTTACACACCTAAGTAATAGTGCAGGGTTAGTGAGCAAGATGGGTTGAATGTAACTGATGGGGGATGAGCACATTTTTGGATATGTTACGCAAAATATTGCTACTTTCAATAATGTTTGTGAGGAAATGTTAAAATGTCATACATTTTAAGCTTGCTGATTATGGCTAACCAAGGTGCCTTTTATTGGTAGACTTACGACATTAAAGGGGACACAGGATCCATCCATACAGGTGAATTCAGGGCAGGTGACAGTAGTGTTCCTACTGCCAGGGGCCAAGGGTGAGACAGTTTTATCTGGACAGAACAAGATTTCAAAAGTATTAAAAATACCAGAGATTCAAACATCCATCACCATCAATTTTGTGAAAAGGAGAGACTGAGATGAACACCGCCTTTAAGTTTCCTTTCTTCATTAGGGATCCAAGCAGCAAAGCTGCTGGACGAAAACTCACCAAAATTGGCGGTGCAAATTCCACCCACTACTCCGGCAAAAAAATGGCACTCATAGACCTCATGGTGGCGCTATAACAATCAACTTTACGTTTTTGCAATTATCTCGAGATCTGCTTCATTTTGGGTAAAACGTCTTTCATCATTTTAATCTCTGGATTCATCTGCATCTAAAAATTTCATATTATGCAACTTTTTATCACTTTTCTCAAAAACCTATTTTTGCAAACTCATCACGATGGTTTGCCAAATTGACCCATCTTCTACGTCGCTGATCAAAGGTTATCAAAAGAATTTTGATACGTCAATCTGTTTTTTTCCATAAATTTTTACTTTTGTGTCTTTTACATAAATGCTCATGAATCAAAATTGGCTTAAGCTATTGTAACCAAACTTGGAGCGTCTGTTCAGATGCTTGTTTCAAGCTTCACTGAGCAGTCCTGGGATATTCTTCCACTAGGGGGCACTACACATGCAAAAAGTTTATAACTCCTAATTTGCTGCATGGACAAAATTTGGTTTGTAAGATCTAGGGTCACTGATGCATGAAGTTTCGTAATGATTGCTCAAAGTGGGCATGGCTTTTTACAACAAATGTAAATTTCTAGACATTTCTCATTCCAAAATCGAAGAAAATCACCCTTACTTCCTTAAGAGCTGAAAGTTTTTCAGCGCATCCACTAATATGCAATCTATGGTCAATTCAGAAGTCAGTCACTCTATATTTTTCAGAATATGCTAAATCAATTAACATCTATATCTTCACAAGCCTTCAACACAGACATTCTCTAGATGTCCAATATAAAGTGATTCGAAGGGTTTTTACATCGGTCAAACGGTGAGTCTGCAGTGATCTTCACTATCTTGCTATAATTTGTACAGTATGCACAACATTTTATTTTTTGCTCAAGGTTGGTTCAAACGCCACCAAAATAATTGACAACACACCCAAAACCAGCAGAATGATGTGTGATTTTTTTCCAGAATTTTATCACCAACATTTTGAGTGTTGTAAGCATTTTAAGTTTAAACTGACAAAACACGATGTCACTACCTCAACTTGTAAGAAGGTGTGCAGAGGCATGCTCTCACCAGTAGCTCAGTCAGTTAGTTTCCTACAATGAGGTGTTCAGATCATAGTGAATGGAAGTTCTCTATTTTATTTGGATCCTGTGACACTTTCTTCTTATATTTCACTGCTAGAAACTTGGAACCACCAACTTTTGCATTTGGGCTGAACATGTCACCCAGTAGTCGGGTACATAAAGTGACACTTTGATCTCAAGGTGATGCTGTAAAAATCAAGCTTGCGTTTCCGCAACTATCACAAAGTCCAGATTCTTTCATCACTTTAATCTCCAAAGTTATCAGCATTGAGTCTTCTCCTCTGAAATGTAGCATTTTTTCATGACTTGCTTGGATCCCAATCAATGCTGCTTGTGGCTATATTTTCTTCTTTGATTTGGTTTTCATTGCCAGTCAGGTCTTATGCAGTCCTTTGCTCATTTCTTCACTCAATCCATCCTCACAACCATTCTCACCTCTCTCCACATCTCATGAGAACTCACCACACACAAACTCATCATCGCCCCGTGGACAGTCTGGAACACCATTGCACACTTGTGACATGTTTACACAGGTGCGATTGTCACATGGGAAGCTGCCTGGACAGGGAGGTATCCTAGTAGAGCCTAGAAGACAGATCAAATTATTGTCAATGTCCATTAACACATCTTTAGACAAAGACTGTGTTAAAGCTTGATTCCTCAAGGCTCAAAACCCATATTCTTATTTTGTGCCTTCACATTTTTGTTTACACTAACTTACCACAGTTGTTGATACTCTCATCCGAGGCATCCTTGCAGTGTGGGGTCCCATCACAGAGCTGCTGATAGTCCACGCACTGGTCCCCACTGAGGCAAAGCACCTGGCCAGGGCCACAGGGGGCGGTGCACTGCTCCTCATCACTACCATCCATACAGTCGGTTTCCCCATCACAACGCCAGGCCTGAGGTACACACTGCCCACCAGTGGCACAGCTGAACTCATTGGACCTACATGCTGGAGAAACACATAGAGCATCACTACAGGCAAACTGGTCAGTAGCACAGGTCACTGCCACACACACATGGTTGGCATAGTTGATTACTGATTGACCATGCAGGATGGCTTTGGGCAAAAATGTATATGACTAACACTATTTTATATTAATTTTATATTTATATTATTTGGATGCAAGTTATAAAACAGCCAATGCTCTATTATTATTTGTACCTTTACTTGGACAGACAGCTTCGTCTTTTCCAGAGGGGCAGTCTTTGCGTCCGTCACACACTCTGTTTGCAGGCACACACTGGTCCCTCGGGCACTGAAACTCCCCTGGTGCACACACACACCTAAATCCATGCAAAACATTTTGATAATTATGACATCATGTGTTCTGAGAGCAGTGAGAGCCTGCTATGAAAAACAACATAAATAAAGTACAATCTGAAGAGTATTACTATCATTATTTATCATTATTTGAGGTATTGTGTAACTGTTTTAAAATATTTATATTGGGCGTGACATTGGTGACATTCAGACAATGTCAACTAGAGCCTGATAAAGAAAGTGTCACGATCTTGTCGTTGCCTTAACACAGTAAAATCTGAATCCTTCGCAGGACAAACTCTGCAGTGCATATTTATAAATGCCAGTTCATTTCACAGTGGAAATTTCTAAACGGTAAAATTCAGCAGAACTGAAAACACACCCCCTTTCATCACTGAGGTCCCCACAGTCATCATGTCCATCACAGCGGCGAAGGTACGGAATGCAATGTCCTCCAGCACACAGAAATTCCCCTTCGTCACACACCACACCACAGTCTGGACCAGCACAGGTACAGATCATCACAGGGTCAAATACATATCGTACAGAAAAGTATTTATTCAAGTATGCCCACATGCAAAAATATCGAAAGCAAAACCCACCAATTGTGCTAAATTGTGAAATGAACTACCCTGCATGATAAAGAGTGTAAATAACATCTTTCTCAATAGAACACTCTGCAAAAAAAACATGTTTGATAGTTTGTCAAAAGATCTAACTTTATATATGTATACGGTTGGATTAAGTGATAGAATACCTTGTTCATCAGATACATCTGCAAAACCGCAGTCCAGCCTTCCATCACAGACATGGCTGGCTGGCAAGCACTTTCCACTGGCACACTTGAACTCCCCTGGTGGGCAGAGGAGCACGGGGGTGGTAGGTCCACAGAATTCCTCATCTGACTGGTCAGCACAGTCTGGGTGGCCATCACAACGTAGAGCCAGGTTCAAACATGGTCCACTGCAGGGTTGGGGTCAATTCACTTTAGGAATTGCATGTTATTAGCAAAGACTGACTCAAATATTACTAGAATTATCGCCCTGGATATGCCTCTATGCCTCCACCAACCAGTCAAGTTGCAGTTTACATCCATGTCTGTCCAGACTATCATATGTGCGCATATAATATAAAGTGTATTTTTTAGCTAAATGGAATTTATCACTATACTGATGATGCGTATGTATGATTCCAGTGAATATATTGTTTAACTGATTAAAGAAGGATTATCATGGATGTATTGGCTAACAGGTACACATGTACTTTATTAACTATGTAAAGACGGATTCTTATAGGAGTATAGTTACACAATATGTGTGTATGTGTGTATGTGTGTGTGTGTGTGTGTGTGGGGGGGGGGGATTATTGGATATTTCTTATAGTTTACATTTCTCTGGGCCAATCGGAATCTTAGCACTTGAAGCACAGAGCGTGAAGTGAGCTCGCCATAGGATGAGACACCTGGCTACCACGCGAGTCTGATGGAAACTTATAACGTGAAGGAATCTAATGTGAAATTCGAGGTAAGTAATTGCTTTATGGAGCAACAACAGCTGTTTGTTTGCTTGATTCAATTAACGTTAGCTACCGCTTTTTTATGTGATATAATTTACTATAATATGTATTGTCGTCATACCTATTACGTTATTATAATTACGTTAAGCTATGCTAAAAGTGGTAACGTTACCGCCAGACCCGGAGATCGGCTGAATGGTTTCCAGAACGGTAAAAAACAATTGTTTTACTCGAGGGGAGGTGGAAAATGAGCTTAATTCCCCAAATGGTGGAATATCCCTGTAACGTTAGTTAGGCTTATCGTTAGCCGGGTGCTCTGCCCTGAACTCCGAGACATAACGTCACGGCACTACTCGAATTCTGAGCTACCCTGAATAATAGGTTGTCGTGCGCGCTCACGCGTCACGTCATTCGTGGTGTGGGTAAGTTAAATGAGTGTTGTGTTTACACAACAGCTGATGCGAGAGTGACGCCGGGAATCCACTGACTCCGTCTACAGCACGTTACGGCTGCGTCACGGTTTTGATGCGTCCACTGGAAGCATGTCAGAAGCGTTTCAGCAGCGGAGCGTGCAGTCTGACCCACGTTATTGAGTTGTTATTAATTTGTCATTTTCGTGCTTCTACTAGCTTCTTCAAAGCTCTATGTGACCCCGTTTCTTCAGTCAACTTCAGAGCGTTTTGCCTGCCTGACAAGATGATATGTTTAGATTTTGTTGATTTGGGAACCAGTGTTTGCATTTTGTGCTTCTACTATGATTAAGTAGGCTATGCAGTTAAATGATTTCCTTTTGTGTCCGTTTTAACCGTGTTTATTATTGTTTTACGATCGGGAGGCGCCACAGGGTGTTTTATTTTGAAAATTGACCGGATCCTCTGTGCCGTTCTGTGTCTGACTTCCTGCCTGGTTCGATCTGCTCTGTGCTGCTTGACGCGGCTAGCGGTGAAAATAGACCTGCTACCTTTTCTCTGCGGAGCGGCGCGGAGAGCCGCTTCTGAGACGCGCTGCGGCCGCAGCTGGTGGACTCACGAGAATTGACTGTCCCAGTTCATTCTTAAAGGGTTAGTTTGGTTCATTAAGTTTTAGTTTTTTGAAGTGGAGTTGTATTACTTACAGTAGATGGCGGTCAGCACGCCCCCAATTTGAAGAAGCAGACAGGAGTACCATCTGAGGTTTGTTCTGTGTCTGCATGTTTTGTGTCTCTGGTTGTTTCTTGTTTTATTTTGAAATGGTCTGTGTTACGTGTTGAGTTTGTGCTTTGTTTCCTGTCTGCCCTGATTTCTAATGTCTCTCACCTGCTCTTGGTTCCCTGCTTGCTTGTATGTATGTCTGTCACTACTCTACATATTGTCCGGGTTGATCGTCAGTCTTTGCTGGTCTATTGTTCATCTCTCTGTCGTGAGCACCTGCTTGTCTGTTTGTACTGACACATGCCTTCGATATTATATCACCCTGACATCTTGATTTATTGTTGATTTCTGTTTATGGATTTGAATTGTTGTGGGTTGTGTGGGTTACCTTTGTGTTATTGATTATCTTGTTTTTTGGGGGACTGCCTCATGTCAAGTGCTTGGACTTTATTTAAAGTGACCTTTGTGTTCATTTAATAAATCCAGAAGAATCAACCTCGCTATCTTTGTCTGCCCCCGTCCACAGCAGTACATTGCTTAGCTTTTGTGTCAGAGTGACAGTCTAAGTGGTGGCTTAATAAATTGGCGATAGTCCCAAATATGTCGCAGGCTTTGCTTGAGGTTCCCTTGCCTACTAACCTGGAAATACGTTCTGATAAGTTTATCTATGTAATGTGTACTTATGGAGATATATGCTTCTGAAAGTAGTTTGTACATTGTTGTCCTTCATACTGATTCCCAGGAATCTCTTTGACCTGCAAATTAGTTCAAAGCAAGAACAATGGGAGTGATCATGTAAGTGACTGTCAATGCCTGTTCAAAACACTGCAAACGTCAATTAATCATCCAAATGTGCACGTTGTCTGATTTGTGCCACACTCTCTTTAATGTGTATGTACTTACGTACATCCTAAATGGGAAATAGTCCGAGGTGTTTGACGCTCAGCTGGAACGCAGTGGAGACCGCTGTTAGCTACAGCAGTGGGGTGCGTCCAGATTAACTTGCGATACAGCATCGAACCACCGATCATGTTTATATTCCACTTTCTATGTTAACTTTCTCGTTAACAGCATTGTCTCACCCGTCTTACATTTCTATCATGTATCATTATTCATCTGACATCGAGTTGATTTGAACAGTTTATACCGTCATACTGCCTATCTACCATTTGTCATTTAAGTTGGACAGATAATTCAGGTGGTGCCTATCAGAGGAGAAACTGGAGCAAAGGGACAGTGTGAAATGACACTTCAGAGACCAGATCCAAACATTGATCACTAGCTACTAAAAGTGGGAGAGATTAAAACCTCTCCCTTCTGCGTAAGTAACTTAAAAGACTGGTGTGTGTGTGTGTGTGTGTCCTTTAGTTTCTCTCTGCAGGCTTGTCAGGAGCAAAGGATTGAGGCTTCTGGGCAGATGAGACCAGCAGAGACGCACAAATCCCCTGTTTTAGCCTTGTCATTTTACAGTGTGGCTGAATGTTTTTTTTTCCTTTTTTTTTTTTTTTTAACATAGATTTTTGTTTTATGCTTGTATTTTAACCTTCCATGTTTTTAGCTGTATATTTTAAGGATGACACTGTTTTTATAACTCCCCTCACCCTAGTAAAATAACCTAGCTTTTAATATTCTACTCTTTTTACTACATTTTTAAATCTTGATCAATCTAAAGAGGTCCTAGGCCCCATGACAAAAAACCTCGGTGGTGTTGTCGGCCTATTTTAAACAAGTTGAGAGCTTTACCCCGGTTCCAGTAAACCAAATCATTAGGCATAGGAATCCATTCCATGATAGGTGTCTTAAGTGCTAATCTATTAGTGTGGTTACAAATGCCAAGAATATTCACTAATATAGGCTTGAGGTTATGACCTCATTGTTGACTTATCACAGCTGAGCCTTAATCCCTTTGTTATCAGTCTTTCGTATCTCCACATACAAATTGTGCTTGGTGATATATTAAGATGAGTTTGGATTCACCTTGGTGTGCTGGTACAGTGGAATTGGTCTACAGAACAGGTAGATGGGCAGATCTCATCTGAACCATCGCCACAGTCATCCTCGTTGTCACACACCCACTGAGAGGGGATGCAGCGCCCCCAAGCACAGGTAAACTCTGAGTCCAGACATGGAGGGGAGGGAGGAGGGCATGCCACACCGTCGCACTGCCACACGCCATGCTCACAGGAACTAGACACACAAAGGAAAATAATTCTCTCTGACTTAAATATTGATTATGGCAAAAAAGTGGTATATACTTTTCTAAGCATTTCGATTGACTGACCAGTTCTGACAGAGTTGGGTAATGGTAGTTCCAGGGGGAAACATGGAGTCCTCCCACTCACATGGACACTGACTGGGAACTATACAGCTTTCCCCTATAGAGCAGATAACTATTATTAGAGCTTTGCCAGTTGCAAGGCAAGAAAGTTTGCATAAGACATGGGCTTATTAAAATCAAGAGACTTTCTTCTTGTTTGCAAATTTTGACATAATGATGATTACACTCTGAGGAGCATAAATATCCACACCAAATTTCATGGCAATCTGATGTTGTGTTATCTTCCTCTGGCTCAAAGTGGAAGAAATGACTATCCATAAATGACAGAAATATGCCAACAAATACAAATGTTGTGTATATGTATGAATGTAGATATTTGGTTGGAGTGTGAGGTGCAGGTAATCCAAGACTAGTTCCCTACTTTTGTTTAAAAAATATATATATATATAAAAAATATATATTTATTTGTATTTGACCTACATGAAATATGTGTTTTGTCCCTGAGCAGGTTTTTATAAAATAATTTTAAACAAAATAAAAATAAAAACAAAATAAAAATAAATATAAATGTTCCACTATAATACCCTTGGGGCTCAGGATAAATTTGGTAAATTTGTGTTACCGTGTCGGACTGTGCCGGCAGGGCAGAAGCAGCCCTCCACACAGGAGAGAGCGCCACACTGGGTGTGTGGACTCTGCTGAACACTGGGACATGAGGGAGCGCAAGCTGGACCACAGGGATCATATACCAGCCCATTTTCACACTGTAAAGCTGCAGAATGAGGGGAACAGAAAGAAAACAAAGGTTACAGTAAGGCAGGAGTAAAGGTGCATGTGCAGGAAATTGACTGTGTGAGTGTGGGCGTGTGTGTTTGACATACGACAGAGCTCCTGGGACCTCCAGCGGATGTAGACCCCTCGGCGGTTGCAGTCTTCAGCATAGGCAGCAATGGCTGTACAGAGACACTCACAGTCCCCACCTGAGTCACAGCTAAAACACAAACAATAAAACAGCATGGACTGTTCATGTCATCTTAAGTACTACTTCAAGTACACAATTTCAAGATGAACGATCTTATGGTAAAATATGAACATTAAATGGAATGAAAATTATTGTAAAATATGCTTAGGATATTTTAACCATGGAAACTACATCCTTGCCACTCAATAGAACCCTGTAACACTAGTGCCAGTGTTTTGATGCTATGCTCTGTTGCTGTTTGTGTACCAGCATGCATACAAAGAAGAGCACGCATGCCTTATGCATGAGGATGGAGAAATTCACATTTCTGCTGATTGACCTTGGGCTAGGTGATGTTTTCAAATGTTTATTAATGTGCAATATAGAGGATGACCATATCATCACAATCGAGTTTTGAGTGTTTCCACTGGTCCACAATTTACTTGTGTTACATTGTGCCTTAAAATTTCTGTCAGCATTTTACTATTATACTGTACATGATGTTTTTGGATTAATATTACTGCTGCATTAATGTGTATGTTGCATTGCAATGTGTATGTGTTTGTTCCCAAATATGGAAAAACTGTAATGGTCAGGAAGTTATGTTATATGGCCGGAAATGTTATCACGATAAAAAGTTTAATATCTGTTGATATCAATATCACGATAAGTATCAAATCATTATTTCTTTAAGATTAAGTTTAAAGGCTGCTTTTTGCTAAGTAGGCTGAGTGAAAGTTGAAGTAACCTGATGGTTAATTGTGGTTTAAACTCTTCTTTATGGTCAACACTTGATGCTAAACAGTGGATCACTTGACAAATCAGAGGTGGAACATTCAAAATGCTAAAATCTTTGTCAACAAATATGCACGAGTAAAATAAAGTAAAAGCTTTTTTCAGTCCTTTTTCCTCAACAAAATAAACATTTGTATGATTCAAGTGAATAAAATCAACTATTTATTGAATATTTCTTGAACATTTGTTATATTGCTGTTGAAAAAAATTATATCGTGAGTTATTGTTATTGTCATTTCTGTTGAAATCAGTGAATGGGGCAAGAACTACTGAGAAAGAAGCCATTTATTCACACTGAAGCATTTTTGGCATCAGTTGCAGGTACTCTACATAGTAGATTATACATGTTTAAAAGACAGTTTTGAGATACTTGAATTAATTTTCCTGTCAGAACTGAAGAAGTCCTTTGGATAAGGTACGAAACGTCTTCCAGTAGCTTCAACCAAGTCCAGTTGCCCTTCATTTTAACCCTCGTTGGATAACTATGACCTGGATGACTGAGAATCTTCATAGACACTTGAATAAATAGTGTAGATTAGTGCTGTCACTCACCCACAAGCATCAAAGACACACCAGTCGTAATACTGCTGGAATGGCACCTCAGAGTGGCACAGAGAGAAGAGTTCCTGAGTTAGGACTGCACACCTTTTCCTGGCCCAGGTCACCCTGTGGGGGTTCAGCTGACCAAGACACAAATACAAAAGTTAGTTTGCTTTTGCATGTGTGTGTATGAGAAAGATAATTAAAAACTGGATTCGCCAAATCTGTCCTATTAAGTAAGTAAGTTCAAGTTTAATGTTACTGCAAGTATCAGTGTGCGTTTGTGAATGAACATGTCTTTGTATTGTACTCACAGCACAGGGGTCTCGGAGGTCCTGGTCTGCCACGTCAGGGCAGGAGGGGCTGACCTTCCAGGAGTTTCCAAACAGCTCGACTGCAGATTCCACAATGCCTTGCCGTGTAGTAAAGTCATTCTCTGTGTCCCCATCAAAGTTACCACACAGGCCCCCGACCCGACCCTGCAGGTGGGCAGCCAGACGCACATATACACGCATACCTGGAAACAGCATGTGGAATGGCAATAACGTTACCACTGAAATAACCTGTATATACAGCCACAGACAAACAATGCCTCAGCAGTAAGTGATGGATTAATTTTAATGTTTGAGATTGAGGTGAGAGATATTTAAGGTTGCAGAAGCTGAAGATGTGTGTGTCCTACCTCCATCCCATAGCAGAGTGACCCCAAGTCTGGAGGAAAGGGATACAAAAAGGCCAACTCTTTCCAAAGTCAGACCACTGCCACTGTAGGACTTGGGTAGACTAACTGGCATCCCATTTACTGTCACGGCTTTACCTAAAGGACAGAGACAAGAAAGCTTACCTCAAGCTACCAGTTCCTAAAACTTAACCCTAACTTCCTATCATCATCCTCTGCTTCCCTGCAACACCGTCCCTCCTACCTCTCAGCAGATGCACGATGGTATTCCCCAGGCTGAGGGTGACCGACTTTGTACAAGTGACCCCAGTGCTCCCACAGGGCACGTTCTCCGCCATGACACTGAATAAACCGCTGGTCTCCATCGCCAGCACATACTGGCAGTCGCCCAGGAAAGAGTAACAGCGGCCGTCGAATGTCACATAGTGCGGGTCGCCAGTCGCCACGCACACACCGGCACAGACGGACTGGCTGCAGTGCCAGCGGCGCTCCTTACAAACACTGCAGAAGTTGATCAAATATAGTTGAGATCATGAAATGTTTAAGGGATGTGATGCAATGAGACAACTGGTTACATTACCATGTGTTGCAGTCTTTAGTGATGGTGTCGTTGCTGTAGTAAAGTCGACCGTTATGGTGACATGGGCACTTATCTGGCAGAACACAGTGATCATCCTGAGGAACAGGAGAAGACATCATATACAAAACATCCGTCCAACGTCCAACATCTGTGTTTCCACTTTCAGACATACTTAAACCTTTTGAATGTCTTTTTTGTTGTATATCCCAGTACATTTAGTGGCTAATGGTGAAATGAATGAGCTGACTTTGAGGCATATATAGTTCCAACTCATTCCCTATGTAAGATTGAGGGTTTACCTTGAAGACTGTCACGGTTTGGGTTGGTTGGATGTGTTTATGTGTGGTTTCCTAAGTTTCAGTGTAATGTTCCTAACTTTTGTTTATGTTTTGTTAGTAAGGTGGTCATGCGATGTGTTATGAGATCCTTCCCTGTTTGTTTCTGTTAGCTTTACTTCCTGTTTTAGTTTGTAGTTTAGTCTGCTCCTAGTATGTGTTGTCATGTTTTACTTCCTGTGCTTGTCTCTGATTGCTTTAGTGGATTCACCTGTGTGTAATTATGTCCTCCCCTCCTGTTGTATTTAAGTGGTTTGCCCCCTTCATTTTGTGCCCCATCATTGTAGTTTTTGTGTTTGTTCGAGCCTAGCAATTTCCATGCCAGTGTTTCTCGAGTGTTTTTTGTGCCTCTTATGGATTAACTTTGGATCTACTTTCTGTTGGACTTCTTGGATTATTCACTATTTTTTTGTGACTGCTCACATCACCTGTAAATGACACCGTGTTGCAATAAACCTCACTATCACTACCTGTTCCACCTCCGTGTCTGCATTTTGGTTCCAAAACCTCTGTTCCCTGTGTTCAGCCGGCAGCTGAACGTAACAACGACTTCCCCTACAAATGTGTCTGGTTGTTACACTTTCAAATACACAATGAAATAAATCAAGTGTTGTCTGTCAGTGTCTTTGGTATACAAACAGTTTACATTTTCTAATATAGTCTATTGTGTTATTCAGTTTTGGAAGTTTAAGCTGCCGACATCGTAGTTATGAGATCGTTTCCCCTGTTGGATGTGTAAATGAGCAACTGTTTGCCAACAGTTAAACTTGGTGGCCAAAAAAACACATTAATGCAGGTTTAAGTTAATTACCTACCTAGATGTTTTTAATTGAGGGTATCTGGATATTTGACAAACACCGGGTCAAACTCATTACATTGATAGTGGCTGCATTATATTTAGCTTTATGAGCTCGTAGTGGCTCTCTGTCGGTCAATCTCGACATTGCATATTTCAAAAAGATATCCTTCATCCATTCAGAAAACTTGAACTAAATTAGAGTTTTCACCCACCAGTAGCACCAATCCCTGGGGACAGACACAGCCAGACAGGGGCTCTCTGCAGCTTGACTGTGCAACATTGGACCCCTGCTGTTGGCCAGGAGGGTCCAGGCTGGAACAGGTGAGGAGGCAGGAGCGTGGAGAGTAGACCAGAGAGCCTGGACACTTGTTCACCTCCTCACAGCGCTCCTGTGTGCAGTTAAACCGCCCCCGCTCACACACACTGTGAAGGGAAGAGGAAAATGAGCAGAACAGACTGAAAAGAATTGATTTTAGATTCATTGTATCACACGGACATGAAAGGCTATTGAAGGTTTTTTAAAGCTTGTAATGAATGACTATTTTCAGCAAAGATTAAGCTTTATACTGAAGGTACAAGGTAGGTTTGTTACATTACGACAGGCTGTAAAGTGAAGATAAGTTTGTAACTCCCTAGACAATACGCAGTAATACAAAATCAATCATACGGTAAACAGAAACAAACTATATTCAGTGGAGCAGTGCTGAGGATGAATTTGAATTCCCTTATGGGAAGAGAGAGAGAAGATTCAGCTGCCGCACCACCAGACTGCAGAGCAGCTTTTCTCCCCAAGCTATCAGACTATTCAACTCAAATTCATCCTCAGCTCTGCTCCATTGAATATAGTTTATTTCTGTTTACCAATTTTAGGGCCTGACCATAAAAACATGGAACTGAAGGAATTTTTTTTTCTTCTTTATTTGTTTCTGCAAAGTAAACTCATTTTGGGGGGCCTAAAAATACTTAAACTCAACAAACTTTGCACACATGTCAGAAGTGCCAAAAAATTATGTATTTTATGCGTCCTGCTCATAGGCGTTGAGAAATGGCTCGCTAGCACCACCTACAAAGTTGGAAAAAATTAGCCCCCGTGCCACGTTCAACCCACATGTACAAAATTTGTTGGGGACATGTATCATGTCAAGACAGACAAAACCCTCAAAGACCCATACCCCAAAACTCAACAGAAAGCCCACCATTTTGAATTGAATGTCCCAATTATAACCCATTTTTAACCATGGTGAAACAGGCTACATACTTTAACAAACTCCTCCTAGAGAATTAATCTGATCGACTTCAAATTTTCGCTGTGCAGTCTAAACCCATTGACAATTTAAAGTTATTAACGGTTATTACCAGTCGACCAGCTTGCACGTGGCATACAGAATTTATAATTCACCATGAAAAAGGAAGTTGTCATAACTTCAGTGTACATGCTCACATCTGCACCAAATTTGAAGAGTCTTGCCCTGAACACATACCAATATTCACTCAAAGTCATTGCGCCACCTGCTGGCAAGAGGAAATGAAATGTTTTTTGCTGTAATGTACTACTCCGAGCAGGTTGGCCATGACAACTTCAAAACTGTCCCAGAAAACATTGATGAAGTTTGCAGTTAACGGCGTGGCGGTTGCATGGCAAGTTAAACTCTTCGATATGACACAGGAACTTGTTGTAACTTGACTGTACATAATCAAATCTGTACCAAATCTTACACGTTTGATAAAACTCCCGCCCTGTGCAAGCCAATGTCCAACCACAATCATAGCACTACATGCTGGCAACAAGAAATGACCTTCAAACCCCTGCAGCACGTTTTACCTACATGTACGAAATTTCTGTGACGTATCAGGGAGTCATCGTCACTCTGTACCAAACTTTACATGCTTGATAACTGTCCTGCCCCAAACACATCGACATGTCAGTATTCATTTATAGTTGTAGCACAAACTTAGTTTCCCATTACAACCTGTTGTATATTTTATATCAAAACTTCACATTTCCTCAATCAAATTGTATCGGGTCAGTGGTCAGTACAGTCTCAGCAGTTACAACACAATTACAATGAGCCACACACAAAAAGGACAACGCACAGACACACACGTAAATGATAAACTCAAGGAGAAACAAATTAATCAGTAGCTTTCTAGTACTACAGTACTGCGCTGACCCAGTCCTTAATAGATGACTCAGACCCATAGAGTGATGATGACTGTAGTTATGTAGTAAAGAGATGCAATGAAACCAACCTATCCTGTATCAGGGAGCAGGAACATAGAGTGATTTCATCAGAGCTCTTGCACCACCAGGGACTCACTGGAGATAACATGCTCTCATATACATTTGCATGTCATTCAAACATACATTACACTCACAAAAGGTGGGAACTTCTTTAAGTAGAGTTTCAGCCCAAAGCTACCATAGAATTTATATTGTAGCTGCATCAAAGCTGTGTTCCACAATAGAAAAAACATGTTTACTGCCTCTGATTCTTTATCACAACTGCCACATAATAAAAGCAGCATTCAGATAGCCGTGAAAGAGAAAGGGCTGTTTTTATGATGTGCTGTAAAAATATAATTTACGCAATTGGGTCAGTGAGAGCCTGTGCTCTATCACAATGTTTCCTTACGACAGGTTTAGTATGTCTTCTGTCCTTGTTGCAAAAGTACTGCATCCTGCAGCACCGTTAGTATTGTAGTGTATAGTGAGGTAAAGAATGTTCTGTGACATGACATTATCAACGTAGCAACTAGAAAACTTTCATTTGTGGTTTGGTTTTACTTATACTTTTTTTTTTTTTTACTGTGCCAAATAAATTAGATGATATATCTAGCAAAATCTGATTCAACAAATATTTTAGACCTAATACATACAGTGTCAATCAAAATGTTCAAAAAGAAAATGTGTAGCAAAAATGTGTCTGTAAGAAGTTGAGTATTTTGCCAGTTAGGGCACCTTTTCGGAGGACTAATAGACTCCATGTCTCTTTCATTCCTAGTGCTATTAATATGCTCAATAGCAAGTAGCACTTCGGCTGCATTCCTTGCATTAATCTGGCACATTTGTATGTTTGCACACTTGCATATCCAACAAGTCCTCCAACCTAAACAACAACATATAGGTTGTAACCAACCTCCAAATACGACTTATACGACTCATAGCGCAACAGCGTCCCTACAGGGGGCATTTGTCCATGCCTCTGTTCTTTGCAACCAGACCTACATTATGTAAATCACATGACCTACGTCAAATGACATAAACACGTGGAGACCGTAGAGACACAAAGGAGGTGAAACCTACCCACTAGTAGTGCCAATGTGTGCGGGTATTGGGTTCACCGGTCGACATGCATAAAATTGCTGATTTAGGTTTAGGCACACACCCTTGTGAATGTTAAGGTTAGGGGCTACGGGGGCTTTCAACACCTTTAAGACTAACATAGTTAGCTAGGAAACTAATGCTACTGCGTAACTTACGTTAGTTACGCATCCTACATAACTTTATTAAAAATATAACTTGCGCAACAAATCAATCTTGTTTCACACCGGAAATGAACGCCGGTCTCCAGGGTAAAAGGAGGCTAACTTGCCATCAATTCATCCTACACACCACCAACGAAGTACAGCTTTATGGCTATTTATAATATGTGACCGTCATTGTCATGTGAAAAGTAAACATGACTTGTAATTTTGTGTGGCTGAAACAATCTATATGGTCGTTTTTCTGCTGAGGACAGGCTGACATATCTGGACTCTGGACTCTGGAATCTTTGCGCTTGGTATGAATTTCCATTTTCTTGCCCTAGCTTCATATTTTTATTTTTATCTGATAATGTTGCTGCTGATGTTGTCTTTTTGTGTCCTGTCTGTATCCTTTGGTATCCTTTTCCTGTCTGTCTGTCATTATATGAACACTTGCTGCATAACAATTTCCCCCAGTGGAATAATAAAGTACCTTGACCTTGGAAATACCTGATTTGAACAAATGCGTGAAATCTCAGCTGCAATTTCTTGCTGCTACATACCAGGTGTTACAGTTGTTCTGAGTAACAGACCCAGGCAGGTACATCTTGTCTCTTTGCACACAGGGACACATAGTGATGGGCACACACTGGCCCTGGTGGTCCTGCACTAGTCCAGGTGGGCATTGGCAACCTGGAACACACATCCTGAGACCAATTCCACCATTATCGCAGCTCCAGCTCTCTGAACAGGAGTTTCCACAGACACGACCACATTCCTGGTACACCTGACCCCCTGAACACTGGACCGCTGGGAAGACAGGAGAAAAGGTTTGTAACATAGCTTGGTATGTTATCTAATTATTCTTAAAGGGTGAAACATAAAGGGCACTCAATTACATTGTGTATGGGTTTTTACTATAACAGTGTGGGTCATACATTTTCATAATTCCAAGAGGGCCTAAAATCTTAAGTGACCCTTTGTTAAGCCACGTCCCAAATACACAGCTGACCAATCACAGCGCAGTACAGGACTCGTTCTAACTGAGGTCCGACACTTTCATGGATACGCTCCATTGACTCTAATGCAAAAAGAGTATTTTCTAGCTTTTTTTTGGCTGTAAGATATGGTCAAACGCTGTTCCTGGGGCACTTGTAATAGTTGCAGTCGTTACCCAGAGAGGTTGAAAGGAGAAGTACAATTTATTCTCTTTCCAAAACCTAAAATAAATCCAGAAAAATGGCAGCTGTGGATTGTTCCTAATGTAATGTTAGTTAGCTAACGTTAACGCTAGCTAAGAGTTTATTCCTACTGAATGTAATGTAAAGCCCTGCTGTTCTGCTTTTAATGATTGTAATAGTGAATAGAGGCCTAGCCAGCTTTACAGGAACAGTGTTGATCCTTAATCGTTGTCTTTTGTCTCAATCGTCGGGGGATGCGGTGGTTCACTTGTACTGTGTGATCGTAGGCTTTAGCTTCTGTCTTAATACAACCTGAATACAACCTTCAAATGTGTAATGCAACAGCAAAACTGTGCTTCTTTCTGAGATCGCTTTTTCCAGCAAATTTGACTTTATTTCTCCGGGAAGTGCAGTAATAGACAGTGGCAGCGCTGACAGTTTGTCGGACATTACAACAGTAAGGGGGCGGGGCTTAGCGAAGCTCAATTGAAGCTAAGTGTTTAAAGTACGGCTGCCAAAATTGTACAAATAGATAAACAACTTATTAGCTTTTTTTTATACAGTCTATGCTTTAAGCCTCCTTTCCTCCACATATCTGTGAGATGAACTGCTATTGGACTTCATGCTAGCTTAATACGATTCATCCGTAAGTCACGGTAATTGTGATATTAATTGGGATGCTTATTTTGAACAGTGAAAAACAGGCTTAAAACAAAACGTACTTACTGGAAACACAGCAGACTCCTGAGTGTCGTTTACTACAACCAATTGCTGAACAATACATTTTAAGGCAAGCAATTAACTTTCATGAACTGAAAACACACAAGGGTGTTCTTAGTTCTTAAATGAAAAGTTCACGGCTAGTTAAATGTACACATTGCAGTGGATTGTTAATCCCAAGGTAGCCACGCCTTAAAGCATAGGCTTCTTTATATTTCTATTTTACAAAATGCTGCATTGAAAAAGACTTGAAACTGGCAATTGAGACGGAAATTCATTAGGTACGTGTTTAGTGAGTTAATAAATCAAGTGAGAAGTTGTGTAATTTTTTCATTAACTCCAAAGCAATCAGACTTTTTGTAACCAGTGGAGTCGCCCCCTGCTGGCCATGAGAATGCAAGTAAGACACTTCCGCTTTGGCTTCACTTTTCACACCTGCTACTTGTTCACACAGATAGTTTTGTGCAGTACTGGCTGTGTCTTGGACCAATCATAATCTTATCAATGGTGTCTGAGATTACAGGACAGACGGATGAACAAACAAATAAAATGAAGGCAATGATGACCAGACCAGTAAATTACCAATCTGTAGTAACTTGTAATGGACTTCCTGAAATGCAACTAAACCAGAGGCCTCTCTACTTACGGCAGAAGGTCTGATTGTGCCAGTGGATGGCTACGCCCTCTTGAGCGCATTGTTGGGTGTAGGCAGTGAGGATGGTGCAGTGACAGGCTTTTTGTGGAACACAGCCACAAACCTCAGACAGACAGAGACGGAAATAGGGCTCCCTCTCCACAACGTCATGACACACCTACAAAATCAGAGATGGAGGAGCATGTGTGGGAAAAAAAGAGAGGGACATAGAAGAAGATGCGCACTTCTGAGATAGTGGGAGATTTAACAAACATTATGCAAACTACCTGAAAAACAGGGCTGTGTATGACAGAGCACACTGTCTCTGCATACTGTCTCCTCTGGGTGTATGTGGTGCAGGGGTCAGGTGGAGATCCTTTCGGTAGAGTACAGTGCTCGGTTGTGAATTTCCCTGCAAATGATGACACACTGGTCTCCACGTCTCCTTCTGGGGTGGTAAAGTCATCATGCTGGTTCCATGTCAGTGTTCCACACAGGCCACGCACCTTGAATACAGCATTTGCACATTTCAGCTCAAACAGTTCCATGCACTAGTACAGTTGCACTAGTAGAGTTGAAGTTTGTTTGACTTGTGCTTGATCATAAAGGTTCAATTTATGGCCATTTTGTGTCTTTCCCTGTAGTCACATATAGTACAGCATGTTAGGAAATTCAAAATGCCACATGCAAGTTCTACACTTCTGAACCACCTCGGCACTCAAAATGGCACAACAGAATTAACCATATGAGGTGTGCATGTTACCTTGTTTGCGAAGCCAGGTTGCAGGGTGATGAGGACCAAAGGTCCATCTAGGTGCCAGAGTAGCTGTGCTCCAAAAGTCTGGATGAGAAGAAATGAAGAGGAAGCCCTGTGCACAACCAGGTCCCCTGTTACTACAGGTAACAGCTCCCTGTGGCCGTTCAACGTTACTGTACCTGTAAGTAACAATACCACCTGTAAGCAATCTGAAGGCCATAAACACATTCAAAACAAATAATTCTCAAAATAGAAAGCCAGTAACTTGATAATAATGAACAAAAAGGAGTTCAGTTGAGAAACCATTTTTGAATGTAAATTGCTGTACATTCACCTGTAGATTAGGCTTAAAAGGCTTTTTTATTTATTTTTTATTTTTTTTCAAGGCAAGGACAAGCAATTATTTATATAGCAACTTCCAACACTGCAGCCATTCAAAGTGCTTAACAAACCTAAAGATACAAATATAAAGATACTTCAGAAAAATAGTTCACTATAAATTAAAATATATATAAAAGACTATTGATTGATTAACAAATATGATTAAAACAATACAATTAAAAGATAAATGTATTAAACTGAGCTACAAGCTTGGTCAAATAAAATTGTGATGAATAAGTTTGTGCAGGTTTAAAAAGCCTTAGAGAAAAGGAATGTTTTAAGACCTGACTTAAAAGACTGTAAGGTGCCAGCCAATCTCAGGTATTTTGGGAGCTTAAGGAGTATAAAAGCAAAAAGCTGCTTCTCCATGTTTTGTTCTTAAGGAAGGGAACTGCAAGCAGCCCAGTATTTCAAGACTTGAGGGATCTGGTAGGGTTATGCTTTTAAATTAGATCATTGATATATATTGGTCCCATCCCATTTAGTGCTTTATAAATGAGCAACAAAACCTTGAACTTGATTTTTCTCATTCACTGGAAGCCAGGGTAGTGACCTCAGAACTGAACTGATGTGATCAAATCTGGTAAAAACTCTAGCAGCAGCTATCTGAATGAGCTGTAGTTGTCTAATCAAGCTTTTAGGGAGGCCTGTGAAAACACTGTTACAATAATCCATCCATCCATCGTCAAACGCTTATTCTGCGTACAGGGTCGCAGGGGGTTGGAACCAATCCCAGCTTACATCGGGCGAAAGGCGGGGTACACCCTGGACAGGTCGCCAATCCATCACAGGGCCACACATAGACAAACAACCTCTCACGCTCACACTCACACCAAAGGAAAATTTAGGGTCACCAATCAACCTAGGCCACATGTCTTTGGACGGTGTGAGGAAGCCAGAGCACCCGGAGAGAACCCACGCAGACATGGGGAGAACAGTGACAGTGCTAACCACTGCACCACCGTGCCGCCCCTGTTACAATAATTCAGTTTCCTAAAAAATAATGCATGTATAATTTTCTCAAGGTCCTCCTTGGACATGAGATGATGATGATCTTTTAAAAAAATATATTTTTAAAGTGATAGTAAGCTGATTTTGTAATTGTTTTGATATGTTTGTTAAAGTGGTCATATTATTCATTATTTTATTCAGGGGGTGTACCCGAACAAATTTACATGGTTTCATTTTCAAAAAAACATGTTTTTGTCATACTGCACATTGCTGCAGCTCCTCTGTTGACTGCCCTTTTTTAGCTACGGAGTGATACATTTAGCCTCTATAAGATCTTTGTTTGGAGTTGCACATGTGCAGTACCTAGTTAAGGACTACTAGCCAATCAGAAGCAGAGTAGGGCGGGTCAGCAAGAAGCCGGTAAACATGGCTTTGGTTAGGCTGTTTATGTTCCCCTTACCAGCTTAGCAACATGGACTGAAGCAAGAGTTTCAGAGTGGTGAGTTATTAATATGTAAGAAATTATTATATAGATAGTATTTTTGATCCATAAAGTTGTAACTGAGCTCTGTCTCTACATCACAGTAACAGCTTTATGTCCATTGATTTCCTGGCGGGTAGCTAATGTTTGGGTGGGAGAAGAGAGGCAGCAGGCAAACGTCTTGTCACTCTGTGCTGCAGCTCAGTGTGTTTTTCAACCGGTGTTTTTGAGGGTGTGTCGGACTAGCCGTTTGGCGAGCATTATGACGTGTATTTCGCTGTGACGTTACAGGGATCAAAGGGAAAAGGCTGGACTACAAACGAGCTGTTTTCAGGCAGTTCTGAGCAGTGTGGGAGATGGGAACTCCCTTTAGGCTGGACTTTGTGCTTTTTCACTTTGCAAACCTATTACCTGCACAAAAAGATAAATAACTCAATAAAGGAGAGGGAAAAAGCCAAAAAGTATAATATGACTTCTTTAAGGTTTACATCTGTGGCAACCTGTTCCACTGCCCTTGGGGGCATTTACACATCCAGCAGACACAGCAACGATGCAATTTATTAGGCGTCGTGCCCACCTGATAAATGTAATCAAATTCACTCTCCTTTTGCTCTGTTTTGCTTTCCATCATGTCCTTATGGAAATATTTGGCTAAATGTTTACCAAAGTTTTTTTTTTTTTTTCCAAGTTGTGGGAAACCAATACTGAAAGATGCTAAAAAGTTTGACAGAACTGAGGAGAACGGCATTGATTTTCTATGGTGATCATTAGATATGAGTCATTTGACCCATTGGTAATTAAAAACAACGCAAAACTTCAAATATGAGGACACCTTCTCCCACCCACAGATTTGATTTGTGGATACAGAAAATAAATGGGCTGAAACCACATATATACTCTTTGTCAGAATTATTTAATTTCTGTACTAATAAACTGTTACGCCATCAGAAATAGTTTAAAGATGCTATGATCAAAAATAATTCCAGACATCCAGTAGGAGCTTTAATATTAGTCATGTTTCCTGTCCCCACTGTGTAAAATGATCTCTGTATTACTGACAGTCAGTAGTGGGTAAGAGTGAACAAATAACTCACCAGTGTCTGTGATGGAGACTGTGGTGTGGAGGGCTGTCACTGACATCTCCCTAAGACAACCCAGGCCTCCTCCTTCTCCCGATGTACACACTCCACAGCGCACACTCACCACTAGCTTCCTGTCAACAAAGTCCTGAACACAGACAGAACATAATCACAAAAGAGAAGTGTCTGCAACACACACAAATGCATCTCATATCTCGAATGTGTAACTGTCCATGGTTGCATTTTATGCATCTCACCTCAACAGCAGTGAAGGGACAGTCTCCTCCATTTAGTGAATACCTTTTTTTGTCAAAGGTGGTCACCTGTAGTGACCCCATCAGGCTGCACTGGGCAGCGCACTTCTCCCCAGTACACTGCCATTGGCCTGCTCTGCACACACTGGGAGGATTAAAAAGAGTAATAAAATAAAAAGAAGGAAGGAGAGACAGAAAGAGAAGAATGGAAATGGGTGAAATATATAGAAGAATATGGGAAGGAGGGAAAAGAGACTTAGGAGACACACAAACAGTTTCTCCTTACCAGGTTTTGCATCTCTGCTGTATCCTGTCCCCTGACTGGTAGGTGCGTCTGCGATGGAAACAAGGACAATCGTCTCTTTTTAGACAGAATCCCTGGTGAAGATACAGGCCCTGTGGACACTCACAGCCCCCCACACACTCCTCCCTGCACTGCCCCATGGCTGCAGCAGGCCCAGGGGGCTGGGGAGATGCACAGCTGGGAGGACAGGAGGAGACACAGTCCGAAAAAACCTGACCTCTGGGACAGACACGACCTGGAAAGACGAGAGTAAAAGAATAGTCAACTCACGAATTTCCACTCCCCACTCCCTTTTGCAATAAATACCCTTTGCTCTTATCACTATCTTCCTCTGAAACCTGCTTTTGGGTCTGGAAGCTGCCAATTCTAAAACTGAATTGGAATGTAGTACATGCAGTCACTGTAATGGTTTATCCACATTATGGGGAAATTATTATCTGTTACAAATTAAAAGTTAAATTCATAAGCATATAAAACCCAACTTTGCTTAATTCAATACAGTCATGACATGTGTCACTACAGCCTGAACTTGGTCTAGTCTTGGCATGTCATATTAATCTTAAGTTTAAACTAGTGCTGGGCAACGATTAAAATTTGGGATTAATCGCATTGTTATGCGTAAAATTGAATTCTGAATTCTGAAGTAGTGTATTGCGCAATTTTAATTTAAATGTAGCCTACTGCTATATACACAAGTGTAATAACGTGGTTTGCAAACACTTTAAACAAATAAGGTGCTTTTTACCAGCAGTATTGCCTAACTTAAACATATCTAGCTTGTTAAAACAAGTTACAATCAGAGTCCAATTTTCTTGTTGTTTTTTTTCTGAACAGGTATCAGCATCAGGTATCTTTTATCATTGAAGTCAAGCCAGCCTCCACTTCAAAAACGACAGTCAAGCCAGTCAAGTTTTGCGATGCGTGTTTTTTCTAGGCATTACGGGTGTCGCAAATAGTGAAAATATTAGACATTTTCAAGGGCTGTAACTTTAAAATACTACATTAGATTGCTCTGATATTAACAGAGGGTCACCCTGAGGTGGTCTGCTGTCACTGTGAAGTGAAATGAGTCAGTGGAAACAGGACATTTTCTTTTAACATCCATCTGAAATCAGCAAATTCAGTGAAAATATTAGACACTTTCAAGGGCTGTAACTTTAAAATACTACATCAGATTGCTCTGATATTGACAGAGAGTCACCCTGGGACCAGGCGTCTAATGGAGACCTGTGTTTATTTGTCAAAATGCATTACAACACCAGGCCAGTAAACGGGGTAGGGGGTTATTTAGGACTCGGCTATTAATTGAAGTTTTACGGTAGATATTATTGTGTCACTTACATAACTGAGTAACCTCACAGACTGTTCTCTACTGTTACTGTGACATTTTAGCATTTTATGCAATTACTAAACTTTTTGCAGTAAATTTTTTAGGGATGAATAGACAGAGAGGATGCTTTGCCAAAAGTGTCAACTCAACCCAGATCAATTATATTTCTGAAGCTCAATATCATAAATCACAGATTTCCTTCAAGGGACTTTACAATCTGTACAGCATACACTACCCTCCATCCCAAGACCCTCGTTTCAGATAAGGAGATGTGTCTAATCTAAAATTGCAGCATCGCATGTCCGAAGCCCTTTGCACACTTAGTCAACAGGATACTAAAATCAGTTTATTTAATTACCACATAGGGCGGCTGTCCTCCACATTATGATGACATGTTGCTGGGCACACTCTCGGACATAGCTGGCCAGGGTGTCACACACTGCCAAATCCCTCTCTTTGGGTGGAAGGCTACAGTACAGGTAGAGACAGGCATCTATGTACGCTGCTGGGTCCAACTGAAAGATACGTCACAATCTTGTCACTTCTGGGTTATTCAACAGTAAACCTGCATCAAAGAGCATGCACAAATAAGTTTGAAACTAGGAGTCTCTAAAGTCAGAAAGGTAAAAATCCATGTGCAGGATTATAGCTTCCATCAACTGAAATTTATAAATCATTAACCAGACTTTTATTACACTCAGATTAATTTCAGTGTAAGATAACGCCAGAGTGATGTCAAAAGTACCCCTTGGCAATGCTGTAAGTTGAATTTAAACTAGTTATTAATTCTGTCATTGACAGTTGTTACTTAGTTACTTATAGACATCCATGTAGTCACTACAATGTAGTCTCTAAAAGCAGTACCATCAAGTGATAAACAAAGAGTTCACTAACTGAGACCACACCAACTGAGGTACAAGAGGTAGTTTATTTGGGTAGCGAGAAGGTTTGGGAAGGGGAGGGATGAAGGGGTCGAGAAGTTAGGGATGAAGGGGGTTGATCGGGTTGTGGTGGTAGGAATGGCTAGGAACCCGGGGGTCGAGACTCAGGATCGTGGCACGACTCTATAAGCACTAGCATTATGATCCCCAAAAAATGTGTTGCTAGACTGAGCGAAAATGCTAGACTGAGCGAAAATGAGCAAAGCGTGGACGTCGTAAGATGTAAGAGGTAGGAGCTCCGGAAGGAGTCTGATGAAGGAGTTTAACTGCTAAGGTATATGGCAGGGCTCCAGACTAACGTTTTTCACCTCTGTCCTTGAACTGTCCTGAAAAACAATTTGAACCGTCCTGAAGTTTGTGTAAAGTGTCCCAAAATCAAAATGTTGTTTCTTTACTATGTTATTATCCTCTATAGTTGTTAGCAATAAATAATAAATAAATAATAAATGGTATTAAAAAAACTGATAAAATTGATAAATAAATAATATTTATTGTGCTTGATTCAAACTAAAATATTTAAAAACAAAAATGAAATGTTATCTGTTTGGGGCACATTTTTACCTCGATGATAAATGATTTAATTTAAATTCAGTTATCAACTCATGGACTTTAATAGCTCCTGTGTTTCAGCAGCTTTTCTACTCATGTTCAGAACTGTCTGCACATTCAGAATCTCTCCCACATATCTGTGTTCTCTGACATGTCCGGAAAAAAATTATTGTTGTGGACCTGTTGTGAAGCCGTTGTCAACTTCTTTTGATAAGAACTTGGCCACTGTATAGGCTCGGCGAGGGCGGACTGGAGGTTATGATGGATTGGGGATATCCTCGATGAACCGCAGATCCAAATGCAAGATCATGGAGAGGTAGTCTTCAAACTCGGCCCTGCGGTTGAGGACACTGAATAGATGGTATTGCAATAAAGAGAAAACGCAGAGGCAAATTCTATGGTCGTAAGTTCCCTAGATCGTGAAGGTTGGACGTATAAGCTGGGTCGTGCTGTTGGGTGGTAAGAGCTCCCTGGGGCTGGTGGTGTTGCTAATGGATGGCTGGAAAAGAAATGTGAGATCGAGGTGGGTACCTGAGAGGATTTTTTCTAAGAGAAGGTGAGGGTTGTACGGCTGAAAGTGGGTGGAAAGGGGAACGGTGGAGACCAATGTGAAAATGCTGGTGGTCATGGGATTTACGATGAGTGGTGTGGGCAGACTCAGGGTGGGGGTTGCTGTAGGATGCAGTGTGATATAGAGGGAGGAGTGGGGAGGGAGGGGAACAGAGAAAGAAAGGTAGAAATGGAGTAAGTCCATAACATGGACCGATGTGGCTTGTTGTTGTGACTGTAGCGGAATAGACAGCAGCGCTAGTAGTGGTTGCTGCGAGAGAGAGAGAAAGAGCTGCTTGACCATGGACTGGTCGTTTAAGTGGTTTGAGTGTTAGTGTCTGAGTCTAAACAAATGGTAGTGGAAACTGAGACAAACGAGAGAGAAAGGGATTAGATGTGTTTATATACGTATGTGCAGGTGATTGGATTAGAGAGGCACGGGTGGATGAAATAAGTGAAGCACGGGTGGTTAGATTACTGAGAGAGAGGCGTGGTCTTGTTCCTGACCCTAATAACTTAATTTAGCAAACACTGGTAATGTCGTCTGTGATGCACATCAAGGTTGTCTGACCCTTAGGTGGCAGTGTGTGAAGGGGTTTTCCAGCAATCGGTAACACACTGATTCTGCCTGCCTTCGTAAGGCAGGGTCAGCTGACACATCACAGCTGTGACCAAGCTCAGCTGCATCACTGCAGCCCTGAAAGAGACAGAGACACAGAGAGACTCAATTACAGAGGGTTCATCTCAGGTGTGCACTTTGTCATTTATTGTATATACAGTAGAAGTGTCATAGAACTGAACTGCTGAAACCATATCAAATTAGCTTCAAAATGATGCGGTTACTTTCAGTGTGTATTCAGAGAGCACAAATATAGCTCATAGTTTCTCATAAAGAAAAATAACAGTGGTAACAAAGAGCTATAACGGAAATACTCATTCAGTGTATTCAATGCAGTACTTGATTCTCCTGGTCAGGAACTTTCCATGAGTTGCCGAAGCTGGCGGCGTAATGGGATACAGTTCCACCCATTGTGGTGAAATCATCTATGGCACCAAGACACAGATAGGTTACTAATGCATTGCAAAGATATGTGAACTACAAAACTATAAAGAGTTAGGGTTATCTTTGGTATTTCAAGAGATAATGGGGAATAAATAATTTGTTTGTGTATGTGTGTGTATGTGTGCGCGTGCCTCTATTAGAAAAAGTGAAAAAAGTGACGTTATTATGACCCATATTTACATTTATTGTGGGAGCAACCTCTAGTGGCAGAGAAGGAAGAAGGGTGAAGTATTATAAATAGTGAGAAAGTGTGAATAAGGAGGTAGATAAGGTGGAACCCAGGACTTTCACAAGGGGAATGTGAAACCAATTAAATAAGTAAGATAGTGTTACTGACTTCCGTCACGTGAGTTATGTGACTTTCGTCACTTGATTAATATACGTCATGTGACTTATGTAATGTATTTATTATAACCCAAACCATGATGTTTTCCTAAACCTAACCAAGTAGTTTTGTTGCCTAAACGTAATCAAACTGCGACTGTTTCATAAAGTTAACCATGTTCGGTTGCCTGTCGCTGGACTGGTACAGGAAACCCTCGTGTCGTTTTTGGAGGCATGGACAAACAACCTATTTTGTTGTTTAGGTTGGAGAACTTGTTGATCAGTTTCTCACCATCAGCATAGTTGTTGTAGTCTCCACAGAGACCTCTGGTGGATGCGAGATGCTCGGCGGTCACTGTCAGGTAGACTGTGTTGGTCAGGTCAAACTTCATTCTCACTCCCAGGCCGCTCTCCACAAACACAAAGTCCCCGAGCCAATGAACACTCACTCCTGTAAGAAGTTAAAATAAAGAAAATAATGCTCGTCTCCGGTTGTTATTTTAAATCTCGGATTGCCTGGTTAACAGACAAGAAATGAAAATAAGTTTTTGCTATTATTAGATAGGACAGTGGATAGAGAGGAAAGAGGGAGCGAAATAAGAGGCCACATGCAGCAAAGGGTAAAGCCCGGGTTTGAATCCAGCGAGCGGCAGCAAGGACTTGTGACGCACACTCTATCAACTGAGCTAACTGCACCCCAGAGAGAGAGAGAGAGAGAGAGAGAGAGAGAGAGAGAGAGAGAGAGCTTGATTGATTGCTTGAAAATAGTTTACCATTTTGGAAGAGCGGTTCTCCATTTGAAACAGGGAGGTTGTTCAGTGTTAAGTTCCTGTGATGAATTGAAACCAAATCTAGACCCAGCATCATCCTCAAAGCCTGAAAGCAGATGGCCACAGACACATTAACATAAACCAGCAGACATTTCCATCACTGCTTTTCTGACAAACATACTTTTTTATTACATATAAGCAAATCAAAGCAGGCCAACCTGGCTTTCAGCTAAGCTTCACAATGTTACTACCATGCTTATATATACTAACTACTGCTACATTATGGCTAGTGGAGAGAAAAGTATAGAAAAGTATGCCACTAATTATACCGCTTCATCAACTCCATCCATCCATGGAATCTGCCATATTTCACACCTTACTGCAGTTTCCTCTCCTGTCACAGACTGTACTGATGTACACTGCCCAGGTGCCATCAGTAGATGAGGCCAGCAGGTAAGTGCAGCTTCCCTGGAAGTGGAAGTGCTTCCTGTCAAAAGTGCGGTAGTGGGCTCCACCCCAGGACATGCAGGTGGCCGAGCTCTGAGGCAGCCTGACGCTACCCAGCAAACCACCACGTACCAGAGGGGAAGTTTGGGAGTCTGAAGAGGAGGGAGAGAGTAGAGAGAGGAAGTGTGTGCAATTAGCTCTCATGTGATGTCATATGAAATACAAGTAATGAGCAACTGCAGACTTATCAGTGGATTGAAAAGAGAAATAAATTCAGTGCATGTCAAAAATTCATGCTTGAACAACATCTTAAACAGTTAGGTAGGTCCAGTACGTGTGTGCATAATGTGCATCCATGTTCTCTGACCAGGAAGGAGAGTGTATGTGCAAGACAAGCAGGTCTGGTCAGATGCATTCTTCCAGCTCAGCCCCCACATACTGCTGCAGCACTGCTCCATGTGCATGAGGGAGGAGTTATGAACTCCAGGAAACTCCTCACAACTCCATGTAGAGTAACACTGGCCACGCGCACTCACACCTGGAAGAATATAGAGAGAAAAGTTTAGATGAAGGATGGAGGAAGTAAATGGAGAGGAAAGGGGTTAGGGTGAAAGAAATTTTAAAAATGGGAAGAAAATGTGACTGCAAAGGAAAATCCTGATATAGTCACTGCATTTAGATCTTTAAAATAAATGACAAATAGTGGGAGGTTTGTTTATTACATCCATAATAGCTGGTGAAAGACACCATTGAAACATCATTATTAGGTTATTTTCTATTCTATTATGGTTAGTTTAAAGTAGTTTTAGTGATTTGCAATGTTTTCCCATAATCAATAAAATGAAAAAAGGCCTGAGCTTTGGGCTTGACCAACAACCTTTGATTACACAATAAAGAAACACAGAAAAGTAAGAATGTAAGACACTGCTGTTTTTCATTGACTAATGAAACTGTACAAAAGTTATTACTGATTACAGTACATTTCCAATTTCTCACAAAATTTGTGGTATTTTATGTAATGATGCACTGATTGTATAGTGTGTCATTTCACATGTAACAAAGGGATGATGCATGCACAGCAGTTGTTGCTTTCTTGTCCTCACCCTCAGAGCAGCGTAGTCCGCCCCAGCCTTCACAGCATGCCCTCACTGTCTTGTTCACCATCTGGCTCTCCACCTCTGGGGGTCTGAGATCAGATCAGTTGAAACATGAATATATTCACAATACTGTATGTATTCATTTTTGGCAGTATCTACCTTCACTGGACTGTCTCACTTCCTGTTCTGTATTCCAAGTCAATTTATTTCACTAGGAGGGTTTAACATACACGTGTTCATGCGATTCCCCCCACAATCATAACCACCTTCATACAGGTGCCCTTAACAACCAAAAGGAGTCACTGTTGTAGCGATAAGGGAATGATCCCCTGCCACATTCCCACTACAACACATTAACACCAAAAGTAAATGCCATCTGTGCAAATGTTTCAAGGTGGCCGTTTCATCTGATTGAGACTAGCAATACTGCCAGAATGTTTTTGAATCACTGAAAATAAACTGGGAACACTGAGTGATCCTGTCTTCCCCTTCTGAGCCACCTAATGGTATACCTGAAACTCTTCATACCTTGGAGACTAAGAGACAGGCCAACAGACTGACAATTGCTGAACTTTTCACTTACTTGTATAGAAAACAGGATGCCGTGGGGCCCTGTTGTTTGTAGTATAGTGCGATGCCATCATCATCCCCATGCTTGATGCGCATGCGGTCCACATCTAGCCTCCAGCCCTGGGTGTTATACTGATACACCTCAGAACAGCTCACTTCAAGCTGCAGACGTGGGGACAGGACTCGCTCTACTCTCTCCTCCACCGTGTGTTCACACCAGTGTCTGGAGCATGGTACAGAGATTTAATTTCATCACAAATACTTCATGTTCAAGTCTACTGTTGTGCACCAAGGTACTTTCCTAAAGCTTAGTTAAAAGTCCCAAATTCTAAGGTCAAAAAGGGAACTTCTACTTTCTACTTGTATAAAGATTCTTATTATACAACACACACACACAGACACAAGACAGCAACAGACAAAGGTAATAAGCAATGGATTTTGTGTGGGCAATCTTAAATAGTTAATAGTTATACAGTAAAGTTAAAATGGCTTCAATGAGGATCCTTTATAATAAAAACTCATTTGAATTTGTGCTAAAATATCATTAGTAACTGTGTTTCTACAAAATGTGCTTAACTGGTCTGAATCATACCCACCCCATTCCCTTCACTGTCTGCAGTCCAAGCAAAATCAGCAGTAGTGTCTCCATGGTCCTCTCCTGGTTGTTTGTGCTTAAAATTAAATGAAAACAAAATTGTATGTTTTATTTATAAAATATATTTATAATTTCTCATTAAACATCATAATACCAATTTTAAATAATCAGTGTTGCCTTGAAAACTGAGAAAGCTGAACAATTCTTGCTAACATGTATTCATAAAAGTCAGGCAGGATGATCGCCTAATGATAGGACCAATCAAAAGATTGATTATAATGTGTTACGTGTGTTGTGAGTAATCAAACAATTCACATAAATTCATCAAACCAATCAATATAAAATTTAATTATATATTTTCTCTACTACAATTGCAACTACAATTAACAAAAGGTGGACTTACCTTTGTTTAAAATTTTTGCCATAAAATGTCCTTGGCTTGTTCATCAGACGTTTCTGTGGTTTCACTGTCGTTTTGTTTTCATTACTTTTCTTTTTGTTTTGTCCAACAGTGTGCGATACAGTCCTCAGTAAGGTGATACTGATACTATGGGGGGAGCGGAGCCTCAGATGCAGAATTTTAAATGTGGGGTGTCACTGATGCAATGTAAAGTAGCATCTGAACCTGTTACCATTGGATGTAAGTGGCAAGGTCACAGCTGGGAGGGCAATCATTGGTCACCAGACCTGTGACAGACACATCTTCTGACTTCAACCCATCAAACATTACAGTACGCTGTAGGTGATGGCGGGGGTCGTGGAGCCTCAGCCACAGAATAAAGAGATGTTTGTCAGAGCCTAATCCTGTAAAGAGAGGCGTTTCGTGAAGGATGATGGGGGCATTTATTCAATGAAGTGTGTCAACAGACATGGGGACTTAAGGCTTTCAGACTCACCAATATCCCAAGTCTGACCTCCTGACCCCAGAGCGAGGAGGCTCAAACACAGCTGTGACCATAGTAGCCTACACCATAGCGTGAGTCCAGAGGAAGGAGAAGCTGATGTCACAAGGGGCTACTTTAATGTCATAAGCAACACAATGTGTCACAAATGCCTTCTTTACTTTTCCTCCATAAACCCCACCAATTAACTTGCAGCTTTTTTGAGAAAGATAGCAATGAGCTGAGTCACTGTTAGTACAATCTTTCATCGTCATTCATAGGAAGGAGGACAAAAATAAACTAGATTTAGAGTCTACAGCTATGCCAGCAGTTCTGTGAGACTGTGCTTAGGCACAGTGGTGCTTTGCGCCAATTCTGACCTCAGCATGATAACATGTGCACACTGACAATGCAAATGTTTAGCAGGTATTATGTTTACCATGTTCACAATCTTAGTTTAGCATGCTGGCATGCTAACATTTGCTAATTAGCTCTAAAGATCACCACATTCATCCTTTGGGGTGCATGAATGTGTGTATCAATTGTTTCACATTTCACTGAGAAGGTCAGGGGATCACCAAATTTGTGCCTATTCATTTGTACATTTTGAGATATTTTACGGAAAAAGTAAAAATTTTACTCTGCTTTTGTTGTTAGATAAAAAGTCAGGGGAATACCAACACCAGTAGGATCCATAATGTGGGAGCTGTAAAATGACCGCGATTGCCCTACCCAGAACCGTAGCTAAAAATGCCCCTGGCACCAAGCCAAACAATCTATATTTAAACTGATGTGCTTACAGTGTACACTGAATAACGCACAGCTCTAGCAGCAGTCACAGGGTGAAATGCAGTAACTGTCTCAGCACTGAGACAGTTTTAGACATTATGGGTCAACCTGCTTAACCCCCTAATTCAGGTACAGATGTGTGTAACTGTGTGAGAAAAATAAATTTTTCTAGATGAAGATTGCTATTGATCCCAGTCAAGCCTTGCACTTTATATAAAAAGATATATACTGTTGGATTGCATGAAAAAAACACTCAGTACAGTACAGTAATATGACCAAGTTTTAAGGTTTGTTTGTTTGTAACACAGTATTCAATATTCAGATATCTAATTCACAACTAGAAGAAATAACTCTTTGAACTTGTTTTCAATTTAATCTCAAGTGATAAGTCTTTATAACAGTCTACGCATTTCACTCAGTTGGATTAGTTTTCACTTGGCCCTCATACAGTGTTACCTTGGAGCAAATGAAAGAGCAAAGTTCATCCTTGTACAATCAATGTATTGCAGGTTGTAAAACATCAATCAGAACCAGAGTCATTCTACAATGTTGCAGAGAAAGATGAACTGTACTGCTTCATTTCACACATTTTCCCTGGGTGATGCTACAGCAATCCTCAGGACTCTGCTGTATCTCTTCTACCAGTGACTTGTGGCTAACAACACCTTAATGGTTTGACGCATTCATTTGTATTGCTAAATTTCAGAGCTTTATTTTTACTATTTCAATGCATCCATTCCAAACTGTACTCTGCTCCAACTCCCAGTTATTTTAAATCAAGGCTTGTTTGCCGTTGCCTTTTATTAAATTAAAATTGGGGCAATTTATTCATATCTTGCATTTCACTGTAACTACACTGTGATTTGTATTCTTTGTCTCAATCTGATTTTAAATCATTCACATGTGTCTGTCTATACTATATTTCTAAATTGCCTTGTGTTTAATTTCTTTATACCTTTTATGTCTTATGTCAAGCACTCTGAATTGTCTTGTTGTTGAAAGGTGCTATCCAAATAAACCTGTCTTGCCTTCTTCAGAATTATCTAAAAAGAGCAACTGTTATCTCATCATATTTATAACCCACTGTTGACCAATCAGCCGCTGTCACTGCAAAGTAGGAGGTTAAATATAAGCAGCAGTGCATCGTTTATTTTGAGAGGGTTTTCTTCAATTGATTGAAGCAGGAGAACAACTACAGGTACAGTAGCTTGGTCAATTTCTTAGTTCCTGATAGAGAGCTGAAAGTGTTTCTCAAGGAAGATTTGAACTTCTCCAAAGTCAGTACATTATGTATTACAACATTATTACATAAATGCTATTATGTAAGTATCTTATACAATCAGATCAGTTCTGAAGAATGTGACAAACTGCACTGAGAACTTGATGGGAATTTTGAAATTGACATGACAGTCCAGTTTATCTTGTAAGTGTGCAGCACAAACAGTAGATTATCGGAAGATTATCAGAGAGAGAGACGATGTTGACGAGTGTGTTATGTTGGATACTGATACATACTGTTATAAATAAAATATAATAAAAATAAAGTGGTGTTCCTGTGGAGAAGTAACCAGGAGAATGGTAGAATAAATAGCATGTAGGGAAAGAGTAAAAATTGCTCATCCAGCTGTGAAGAGAAAAGAGAAAGAAAGGTAGTAGAGAGATTATCCTTAGTTTGTTAATTCTTCAGTTTACAAGAAGGGGGGAAGTAACAGGCTATAAAATAGAAACTCTCTACATCAAACTGTTAAATACAAGATTTGGAAGATTTTCATTCTTTTCTAAAATGGAACCTTACTAAATTAATTCATTGGACATATACAGTTTTTCTCCTTTATTCTCTAAATTTATGCTGGATATTGTTTTCTCCATAATAGTAAAGCCATGAGGATTCTCTGTCTACTGCAGCTGGTCTGCTTGGCTGGTTGTAGTGCTCCCAGATCAAGAGACTGGGCTCATCATGGTGCCCCCATGTTTGCTGACCTCACAGTACGTGAAATGAAAGCTGTCCGGGCCTACCTGCATGGTATTCCAGAGCTGGAGCTCACTGATGCTCGTAGCAAGACTCTGAAGAAGAATAGCATCCTACTGATAGAACTCCATCTGCCAAAGAAGCATGAAGCCCTGAGAGCTCTGGACCATGGACATGCCAGACCTCCACGTCAAGCCCGTGTGATCATCCAGTTTGGAAATCAGATCAAGTCCAACATCACTGAGTACATTGTAAGTCCTCTGCCATCCCCAAATTCCCATGAAGTCAAGAAGTTCAAGGGGGATATGCCTATCCGGTTTGAGTCAAGGCCTATTACTGCAGTAGAGTATGACCATATTACTGACATCCTCAATAAGATCACAACTACGGCTCACAAGCTTCTGTTTGAGACCACAGGAGGGTTTTCCTTTACTAACTGCTCTGACCGCTGCCTGACGTTCTCAGACATAGCGCCCCGTGGGCTGGGTCCAGGTGAGAGGAGAACCTGGATCATGTTGCAGAAGTTTGTGGAGGGTTATTTCATCCACCCAGTTGGGTTTGAGGTGCTTATCAACCACCGGGACCTGGATCCAGAAAAGTGGACTGTCGAGAAGGTCTGGTACAACAGCATGTACTTTGACAGTGTTGAGGAACTGGTAGAAAAATATGAATCAGGAGGTGTGGAGAAGGTCAAACTACCCGATCATGACATCAGTGACCTCTATTCCACTTACATCCCCCGGGGTCCAAGCAACACTCCCACTAATATCCATGGTCCTAAGCTAGTGGAGCCACAGGGGCCTCGCTATCATGTTGACCACAATTTTGTTGAATATGCTGGATGGTCTTTTGCCTACCGAGTCCGGTCATCAGCTGGACTTCAAGTCTTTGACCTCCGTTTCAATGGAGAAAGGATAGCCTATGAGATCAGCCTCCAAGAAGCTGTTGCCTTCTATTCTGGTGATACTCCCGCTGCCATGCAAACAAAGTACATTGATGCTGGCTGGGCAATGGGCACTTCAACCTATGAGCTGGCGCCTGGAATCGACTGTCCAGAAATTGCCACCTTTGTTGACCTTCACCACTACTTTGACACAGACAAACCTGTGCGATACAAAAATGCACTCTGTATTTTTGAGATGACAACTGCTATGCCTCTGAGAAGGCATTTCAACTCCAACTTCCAGGGGGGATATAACTTCTTTGGAGGGCTGGAAAACACTCTGCTGGTACTGAGGACAACCTCGACGGTTTACAACTATGATTACATCTGGGACTTCCTCTTCTACCAGAATGGAGTGGTGGAGGTAAAGGTCAGCGCCACCGGATATATCCACGCCACATTCTTTACACCTAATGGACTTCACTATGGTACCAAGGTGTATAACTATGTGCTGGGTAACCTGCACACACACCTCATCCATTACAAAGTGGACCTGGATATTGCTGGTGAGTGTTACGGAACAATCACCTAGTTTTTAATGCCCAGTTTAAAGAAGATCAGTGGAAAATCCACCACAGTAGACCATGAATTATGTCCATTTTGGATGATTCTGCACCTCACAGTTTATGTTTAGTGTAACATGTCCTTTATGTAGCAAGGTGGAAAGTAAGGGTAAATTAGGACACATTTTCATGTAAAGGAGACCAAAGTTCACATACTGCCATAGCCCTACAATTAACATTTGCTTTTCTATCAACTGTAACCACAATTCACCAACCTCAGCCAAATGTTTTAGTTGCCTAACCCTAACCATACCTTGACCACAATAGTCATAACCACAATTTTCCATGCCATAGTTGCCTTGCGCAGACATTGGTGAAAGTGATAATTTAATGTTGCCACAGGATATAAAAGAACTTTGGAAATAAACATAACATTTTGTAGAGTCCTCCAATATTGACATTCATTCTTGGCGATGGGGTTGGGAAAACCATCTGCAATATTTTTCAATCTTTTTACTTGAGCAAACAATGGGTTTCGTGGTGGTGACTAATTAATCCCTTTACACCAATCTTTTGTAGTTTTTTGAAGGCAATGCAAGGAGGCAAAGCAAGATAGATGTATTTGTATAAAACCTGTAATGTCAGGGCAGTTCAAAGTGCTTTGAATTGAACTGGTGGTGAAATTAGATGAAAGAAAAGGGAACAAAGAAACTTTGTCTTTTATTGATGCCAGTCCAGATAACATGGTTTTGTGAACATTACCCTGTCATAAAGGAGACATTCCAGGCTATCAAGCCTGTGCAACTGTTCTATTGAAATGTGTGATCAAGGCCAGCTGTTATCAAGCCTATGTGCCATGCATGCGTCCACAACTTTATCTTGACCTGTGTGTCACTTCTACTTCTTAGTATATTCAACTTAACTCTGCTGAAATAAATAGCAAGAAGACTTCTGATGCTTGGCTTGCACTTGTGCTGTGTAGCTCTGTAATCTCATGGCAAGAAGGCCCATGTTGGAACTTGCTGGCCAACAGGACCTCTTCTGTGTGGAGTATGCATGTTCTTCCTGCGCCTGCATGGGTTTTCTTCAGATGTTCCCACAGTGCAATTTAGGCTAATTGGCAACGTTAAATTATCCATAAGTGTGAATGTGAGAGTGAATAGTTGCCTGTCACTACGTGTCAATCCTGTGATTGACTGGCAAACTGTCCAGGGTGTACCCCTCCACTTGCCCATGGATGGACTTCTAATACTAAAGTAAATGTCTAATGTCTCAACAGGCTGCTTGTACCTTGAAAGAAGAACCTCTCCTGACAACTCTTTCATTTCACTGTGACACAGGTCGCGAGAACAGCTTTGAGACAATGGACCTGAAATTTGTCAACTTCTCAAATCCCTGGAGCCCGAAAGATTTCATCGTCCAGTCCAAACTTCACATGACTGAGCACAAGACTGAGCGGTCTGCTGCTTTCCGCTTCGGCAAAAAGTTCCCCCGCTATGTACACTTTAACAACCCCAACGAGAAAAATAAGTGGGGGCACCAAAAGGGCTACCGTATTCAGTTTAACTCACATGCCCACAGTGTCCTTCCAAGAGGCTGGAGAGAGGAAAATGGCATCAGTTGGTCAAGGTAATAAAATACTTCCCCTTATACATTAAATTTATTCATTTAGCTGACGCTTTTATCCAAAGCGACTTACAATTGCTTTTTATGTCAGAGGTCGCATGCCTCTAGAGCAACTAGGGGTTAAGTGTCTTGCTCACATTGGGGTCTCACAGTGGATTTGAACCCGGGTCTAGTCATAAAGAAGGTATAACTTGGGTACAATATTTAAACCCAATATGCCATTTTTATGGTTTGCCCTCAATCCAAATGCATTGTCGACATATTATACAGACTTTTCCCAAATTCAGTCAGTCGTATCTTTTATTATTATTATATTATCATTGGTATTTGTATCTTGGACACATTGGGATCATAGCATTTGAGCAAAGTTTGCACACATGATTGGGATTGAAGAGATTAATTTCTGGATTGGGAGTCTAAGTAGAGTCATAGTTAGGGAGTCACCACAGGTGCATCGAACAGAAACTTGAACTTTTGTCACCTAATAGTGGATTGTCACATTTGGGCATTGTAAGTGTTTGCACCTGAAGTAAATTTAGGAAAACCGCTGATGTTTCTCAACACCCAGGAGGGTTCTGTTTGACTGAATGAGAACAGTTGGACAAAATTAAAACAACAAGGCCCACTTGAAATGAAAAAAGAGGTGCTTTTTCTCTGTATGATTTTTTTTCCAGTTAGATATCACAATTACATTTAGTGTTAAATACTAATTGACTGGTAAACTGTCTCTCCACAGGTATCCTCTGGCTGTGACTCGTCATAAAGATAGTGAAGCCACCAGCAGCAGCATTTATACCCAGAATGACCCCTGGGAACCCGTTGTGTCCTTTGAGGATTACATCCGCAACAATGAAAACATAGTTAACCAAGTAAGTAGTAGTGCAGGAGTTTCCCCTCAGGCCCAAACGAATACGATCTCCATCCACACCAGCGTTTTAGCTGCGTATCAGAGTTGAAAACTTACACTGCGCATGCGCATGCTGGTGTAAACATGAAGCAGAAGGTCTCTTCCGTAGTTACAGAAGATTGGCGAAAGAATAAAGTACTACGGACGAAGAACCACACTAGATTTTGTTTTGCATGGACCAATAACGAGCTGGTATTGTTTCTTGAATGTAACACGGGAGTTAAAAGCGACTGTGGCGGCGGAAAACAGAGTCGTTGCAAAGTAAATATGGCGACATGCACAGTACAAGTGTAGCAAATAAATGTTATTTGCATGGTACAAAATATTTTAATAAAAATACCAAAGCTAAAAACTCTGTCAGTAGCATTGTGTTTGCTTTGCATGACTCGTAAGACCCCATCAGAGAGTCAAACATGAGCGTCTGCGTCATTGTTTCTTAAGTCCTCCGTTTTAAAACCCTACCCAGAGTTTTAAGGTGAAAAACGGGGTCGGCAGCGTTTCCAAACTTCTCTGTTTTAGGTCTTTGTTTTCGCCATTTTAGTCTGGACGGGAGGTGCGTAGCAAAAGGTCTCCGTTTTAAAATGAAAACGCAGTAGTGTGGATGGGGCCTAAGACAAAGCTTGTACATGTATATCACACATTTCCACAATATGCTTTTAAGATCAAAGTCAGGGGACAGTAGTTTTGTCCACGTTAGATTTATACTGATTTTCAGAAAGTAAACAAACCAAATTTCCAAAATGTTGAACTATTCCTCTAACCATAACAAGTGCATCCATTGACTACACACACCCCATTTCCAGTTGTTAAATAATAATAATAACAAATAATAATACAATTGTTTGTAAATATATTGTATGATTTATTTCACTGGGCCCCCTAATGTTGATGAACACTGTTAACAAGTACACATAATTTTGGAAATCAGAGTGGAAAAGTTTGCTCAGAACCGTATTGGATCACACAATATAATTTTATGATTACCAACCACAGACCATGGTTACAACAGTTTAATTACCATTTTTGTTCCATGGCTTTTGAGATTTGAGAGATTAGTGATGAGTCTTTTTGACTGGTGCAACAATTCAGTAATGGCGAGCACCCTTATGTTTTAAGTGGATTCTTAGAAATGTGGTTTACATTTGGGGTGTTGGGGAGTTTTCCTGAGAGGTTATGTCAGTGGCTTGAGGCTGATCTTGCTAAAATAATCTGTTCATCAGTTATGGTCGCTCACCATATAACTCATGAATGCTGACATTTTCATCTATTTGTTCTTTCAAGGAGATAAAGACCACCTGTTATGCGTCCTAAATTCTAATGTAATGTTTGCTCTCCTGTGTGCAGGACTTGGTAGCCTGGGTGACAGTCGGCTTCCTGCATGTGCCTCACTCAGAAGACATCCCCAACACGGCAACACCCGGCAACGCAGTGGGCTTCTTCCTCCGACCCTTCAACTTCTTCGACGAAGACCCTTCACTGGCATCCAGAAGCACCATCATTGTTAGGCCTGGCGAGGACGGAAAGCCCAAGGTCCAGAGATGGACACCAGAGGTCATAGGTCACTGTGTGACAGACAAGCCATTCTTTTACAATGGCACTTATGCAGAGGTATAGATGGGTCTTTTTTGGGTTTCCCATAAAGTATTTTACCACAAATATAATTTTTGCTCCACTTGAGTACATTCACAGTGAGGATCTCAGATTTTTATATCACTTGAAGTATATCTGCTTCAAATTTATTCTCAGCAATGTCTAACAATGTCACAGCCTTATGAGAATTTCCAGTATCTACATTTTGAAAGACTAAAAACAAAATCCATTTTTAAAAAGAAAATAAAGAAGAGGAACATTTACAAGAAACATTTTTTTCATAAATGATGCCTGTTATAGCTGATCATATATAATTTACAATCCGATAAATTGATAAATATTTAGCTGAAGACGCTACACATTTCACATTCTAAATCATATGCATGTCTCTCTTTTTCCGCGTCAAATGAAGAAAAATCATGGACTTATAGCCCAAATAATACACTTAGTTAATCTTAATGTTAAAATTAACGTACCACTCCCAATCAAACCACACATGCAACCTGGCAGTGGGAAGGCATGGGAGGCCTTGAGAACTCCTGTTATCCCATGTTGGGTCTCCATGGCTGAGGTTTAGCAGCAGCGAGCATCCAGGATTCAGGATGCTCTGTATCCGCAGTGATTGTGCTAAACTCCTGGCCCCTCAGCATGCATTGCTTGCCCCTGGGTAGGAATGTTTTTACTGGAAAGAAAACAGGCCTTAAAGAGCAAACAGCCTGATTCCGGATTCTTCCCTGCAAACAGTCCAGAATTCCTGCTGGCTGTGCCGTTGCCCCTGGAAACCTAACACGTACAACATGACACAATAACAGCACATGTAACTGCTTTGTCCTTATTGTGCCCATTTCCTAACAAAGCAATGTCACTTTACAGATCTCAACCAAACGATTCACTCAAGTGCCAAATAAATCAAACTGTTTTAATCACGTTCTACTCTTTTGGGTTTGATTTTAATTGAAACTTTTCTGTATTAAACAATGATCAATACACACGGGCCTATGTGAGGAGAGAGTTGGTTTTTCAGTGGCAAAGTTGGTTTGTGTGAAGGGTAAATATTGAGTGTCTTTGGAGTAGGAAAAATGAACCCAGCCAACAACATTTACACGTGTTTGCTGATGTTTCACATTATGCATGGTAAAAGAAGGGTTAATATGAAAGCTATACACACATAAGTGAATGGACTGGAAAGAATAAAAAACAATTGGGAAACAAATATTTCCATAGATATTTCCAAGGCAGTGATGGTCTTGAAGTCACAACTGTAGAAAACTATAGCTTTTGGTATGTTTTCTTTCAAATCTGTTACTTTAGGGCAGTTTGAATGGATGATGAAGACATACTTTTATAAGCAGCAAAATATGTAAAATTGAACACTGATAAATAATACATGTTTACATTTGTATACAACATATATATTGTTCAGCAAGACAGAGGATCACAAATTACATTAATGTGGTAATAAATATGAGGTCTAGACTTTAAGATACCTATAAAAAAGAACAATCCAGAAGGAAATCTTCCAAAGACAAATAATATGACATACAAAATGTTGATGTTTCTAAATTACTACAACAAATATTTAAGTTTAGCCTGCAGAGGATGTTAAACTCTTATTGTGCCTGATTCAAAATTACCAGGGAACTTAGATGGTGATTTGTTGCCCCCTACTGGTTTCTTGAGTAATTGTTTAGTCTATTTAGATCATCAGTTGATGCTGAAGACATCCTATTGTGGTGGACACATGCCATAAATATGGAGGACCATGTCGGCCACAATTGAAAATGAATACAGAAATTACAAAAACATTCAAAAACTAAACATCCTATTAAATGCACCAAAAAGAGCATATATGTATGCCATATGACCCATACTGCATATATGTTGTGTGGACTCCTTATTTTGAAAACCCGATGTTGTCACATACACTTTCTTGCAATTTGATTAATTATATTGTATGTGGTGCTTGTATCAGGTACAATTAAGACTTAATAGCTTCTCCACAGGTAAGACTCTCATACTGCAACACTTGTCTAAAGTTAGAAAATGACAGAATAAAGTTGCTAACCCTGCCTGTCACCGTGCACTGCTCCATTTCACTGCATTTACCATAAAGGCTCAAATACGTGTACACGCCAAATTTAATTGCGGCTAGCTGACGTTGTTCTCACAAAAGACAGCTCACTTGACCAAAGTTCTGCATCCGTGTATGCCGCTAACTCAGTGTTGCTACAAAAAGAGTGAACAATGGCCTGCCCTGTCATTGTTGCAGAGGAAGCTGAAAGCCAGCAAGTGCTGCTGGCAAAAGAAATGGTCGATAATGATGTTGTTGTGTAGCACAACACATGCAAGAACTAAAAGATGTTACCAATCCCTTTGCCACATTGAAGGCTCTTCTTTACTGTCTTAACATACTTTTGGGAATACACAGTTCGCAAATGAGTGAAGTATACATTTGAGCTAATAAAAATTAAAAAAACTCTCTCTCTAAACTCTAAAAATTTCAAGACACTTTCACTATATATTATAACCTTCAAGTATCTTCAACCAAGTCCAGTTACAAATAACATAAGCCTTCCAAAAACATTGAAATGTAAATGATCACAAGGAATATTGATCAATATTCATATGACCAAAGAGCTCCGGGCTACACAGGCAGATAAACAGAGAATGAAAGGCCCACGTGATGTGTCAGTACCACGAGTCAGCCACAAGATGGAGACAAAGACGTTGTGGGTCTGGGTATCTCTGGATAATCCGTAATTCGTTTGTAATTCTAAAAGGAAAATAACGTTTATCGGTTTCAAAACAAAAAACCAAATAACCATTTTTAGTGTCAGAATCAAAAAACGAAAAACCAATTAAAATCGGCCCGTTTTTCGTTTTTGGCAATTCATTTTATTGTTATTTCTTTTAGAACAAAGAATGAAAGGAGTCTGTGAACTTCAGTCAATTCGTTTTTCGTTATAAACCAAAAACGGAAGTCATGTGGTCTATTCCTTTTATGGAAGGCATAGTAACTGGTAAAACCTTCAAAATAAACGTAGCCCATGTGACATGTAATTAGAAAGGTGATTTTAGACTAAAGCTAAACTAAAATAACCTTTTTTTTAGTAAAACTAAAGTAGCACTGGGTGTGAAAAAAACACTTTAGCTAACTGAAATAAAAACAATAACTAATAAAATAATACCTGTTAGGCTGTTAGGGAGAATTAAACATTTGTAAGGCCATTGGTGACCTGTAACTTCAGATTAAGACAAGTGAACTAATGTTATATGTAGCTTAGGACAGCAGTTTGCCTATTTATTTAAGTTTACATTATTTAGTTCATGTTTTAGTTTTTTAACATACAGTCCCTGACAAAAGTCTTGTCGCTTGTGTACAAATTGACCTGAAGTGCCGCTGAAATATATTTCTAATCAAGATTTTTTTTTTACAAGAAATGGCTCATTTTAATCCCAACAGCTTTTGTAATAATGTTTCAGTGCAAAACGAAACTGTCAAAAAGTATTCTAATATTCACAGCTTGGTAAAGTCCATTGAGTCAATTTTTGCAAAGACATAAGTGTTGTCGCCTTGTCATATGAGCTTCACCTGTGACTAATAATGGATCAATTAGGTCTCAGGTGTGTATAAAAACAACCCCAGTACAACTAGACCTCTGCAAACATGCCTAAGATTCACCCTGAGACTAAAGTTTTGATTATCAAGAGGCTGAAGACCAGATCCACTGCTGATGTGGCAGACACCTTCAATGTGTCTCAGCGTCAAGTACAGAGGATAAAAAAAAACATCTGAAGACACTTTTGTATTTGCAGTAAATTTGTTCAATTTCTGTATAGGCGACAAAACTTTTGTCTTGCCAAAATTTGACCTTTCTGTCTTGTTTAAATGATAAGTCTTTTTTCAGTGAAACTAATTTATTTCAGTGCATTAAACATCATTTGGGAGGGTTTTAGCTTTTCATATGAGCTATTTCTAACACCAATTGATTAATTAAAAGTCCGGTTAATAGCAGGTGTTTCTACAAAATAGATAAGCGACAAGACTTTTGTCAGGGACTGTATTTATAGGCCTTCTTGCTATGTGGAGGCTCAACCAGCAGAGGTCACTCTGCCCCCTTCTGTGGCGCCAACAGGCAATAAGGTTTTGACCTTTTGACTTGTGTTTATATCAAAGAGAAGGCTGGCACTGCTACCAGAGGAAGCTAATCACTGAGTTTGAAGGGTGTGCAGAACTTCACCTGCCTCCCAGCTGCTCTTTCTATGGTGTTATAGCTGCTAAAAACTCTCAGCTTCCACCATCTACTGTTATGTGTCAAAACAAAACTCTTCCAAAACAAATCTATAAAGTTGAAAAAATTTTCCTTTTTTAATTTTTTCCAGTGTAATATACTTGTTAAGTAGATTAAATATTTTTAATGCAGCCTGTAGTTCTCATTAGTTATGTAGGCCTACTTGTGTGTGAAACCTGCTAGCATTAATGTCAAAAAGCATCTCCTCTAGCTCTGGGATCTTTTACTGCCTTTTTAGGGTTTAGTTCTGTTTGATGAACCACCAGGAAAAGGCCGTGCTCTGTACTGTTCATAACCGTGTAAAGTAAAATAAAATGTTGAGTCATTTAGTTTTTCTCCTGATACTCATCTCAGGACCTCCCAGAGTTTCCCCAATACCTGGAGGATGTGAGCCTGTGCAGGGATTATGGATTATTATTATTATTATTATTATTATTATTAGGGATTATGACTGATGATAGTAGCAAGGCTGGCCCCAGTCACCTACTATCACCATCCATCCATCATCAACCACTTATCCTGTGTACAGGGTCGCAGGGACCTACTATCACCCTCTCTTCAAATAAATGCTGGACTGTCAGGACATAGCAGCACACCACTCCTTCCTCCAGCACCATAAAAGGGCCCTGTTGTCACTTTCAGATATTTACATCATGATTTATGGTAACCACACCTTGTAATTGTGGCACTGTTTTTGTAAATAAGGATGATGTCAACTTATGTCTTTTAATACACATTTAAATCATATACAGTAGGCTTTTATGTACAACAGTACAGTGAAGCAGGGCTCTGCAGTGCAACTCCTTCACTCGCATACGCCCTTAAATGATTTACAAGCATAGTGTGTGAGTGAAGACTAAAACCTACTGTAAATTTTGTTATGTTAGTTATATTATACTAATAATCATTTGTACTAGTTCCTCCTCCAGGCTGTGTTTAGAGCCTCTGCAGTGGACAGATGTAGATTTAGCCAGAGCCAGGAGGTCATTGTGCCGATACAGCTTCCTCCTGAGAGCAATACATTCTCCTTGTTCTGTTTTACATCTGCTTTACAGATGTTACTGATATACTTTAAATGTTCACAAATCTAGTTTACATAAAGTGTGGTGTGGGTTGTGTGTGCATGTGGCAAAATCAGTATGTTAAAAAACTTTAACATTTGTAGGCCCATGTCAAGCATTCAGATCCAGTGGTCTTTATTTCCATAGGCCTCCACTGGTTTTCACATCATAAAATTGTCAATGCACACAAGGAGATGGAGCTCAGGCATATTATAAATATGTGTATAATAAAATCATTATAAAATTATTCTGTGCTACTTGAACATTTTTGGACTACTGTCCTCCTTAGAAAAGTTAGCATAACGCTAGAAGCAAATAAGCAAGCTTGGGAACAGATCCATGATATATAAGGTCTCATTTTAACCCATGGGATTTAATTTTTATAGAGCATTTCTTTACAAGAGACACATGCATTTCGACTGGAAAGGTGATTTATGAAACATCAAACTTTAAAAGTCAGGTTTTGGGCTGTTTTATTAACACCACCACTACTAAACCAACAAGATGTTAAGTTCAACTATAAAGTATTTTCTGCTTTCTAACTTTGTTTTTTTGTTTTCATTTGTGAGTAAACAGTTTTACAATGACTGCCTTAACATTTTAAATATGGCCTCACCAGACTGATATCCCGAGAAC